TTCCTCCAGGGCTCCCAGCTGTTTCTACATCGTGGAATCCCTGTCAGGACAGCCTGGGCTTTTGCAAGGGATAACCAAGACACAGTGGACGGGCACTAAAAACAACCGTCCACACGCGCCGGATCCCCGTGTAAAGTTGTTGCCAACAGTGAGGTGGCTTGTCATCCAGCCTGCAAGCCCTTGGAACTTTGTTGGACGCCACTCTGGGGAGAGCAGCATGGTGGGACATGAGTTGACGCTTCCGAGCTGCTCGTTGAGGGATTGCTGGCTTTGCTCGACTCTTTAGCTGTCTGGGATTGTGAGTCTTGTGCAGATACAAGGGGTGTAATAACAGGAAGCAAAAATCAAGAAGGCCGCCGTCGGTGGGACGGACCACTTGGCACTCTGTATCTATCCTCTCGATTCCCGCGAGATAATACGGAGTAAGGTACCGGTAGTGTAAGGTATTTGTATGGGGGTAGAGGTAGAGGTACGAATATGTGATGGTGACTGGATTCTAGAAGAAGCCATAACTAGCTTGGAATGATGTGGTTGAGTACCTTAGGTAAGGTAGCCGTATTTGGATACGTACTCCGAACTGCTTGCGAATTTCGACACATGGCGTCTGGCCTACCTTATGATATATAATGAGAACCAGATTGCCAGGTCGCACATGATGCTTGCTTGTCTTGCCCAGCACTAGTGCAAGGAGTACGGAGTACGTTGTGGGTTATGGTGAAGGAACATGAGGGTGGGAGTATGAAATGGGCGGGCGGATACTGGTCCCCTGACTCTCTCCACCAAGCCTGCCCTACTAGTAGACGTACAGTAGCGCCGCAGTCCAGGTAGTAAAACACAAAGAGGGAGGCTGGACGGGCGAAACAGACGTCTGGTCGGTCAAGAGCCGAGACATCAGGCTGGGGAATGGACACGACTGGGGTAGATGAATTTGGTCTCAGGTCGAATCAGTTGAAAAGCCGAGGTGATAGATGATGACCTTTGTCGAGGGAACATGAAGCCTGAATATCAAAGGCGTAAATGAACGACGGTAAAGATGAAGAGGGTAGAATTAGAACAGTGTTTGGGAAGGTAACGCGGAGTGGCCACCGCCGCATTTCTCACTTGAAGGTAGCAGTGCGGTGGCGTGGTGCAGACTGCAGAGTGCAGTTGAAGACGCCTCCTTCAGTGGCGCTGATTGCCGTACGCTAGAGCCATTTTTGGCAAGGCAGGTTCATTGCAGGCCATGCCGATTTGGTCCAAGTTGAATCTGCCAATCCTTGTACGGAGTACAGATGTTGAACATGTATCCGTACTTTGAGATACGTACTACGTCTTTGTGCTGGACTAGGGTTGCCAAAAGCTAAGTATAGGTAGGGCAGGAAGCTTGAGGGGCATGGTACTTATGGATGGAGGAAGGAGGGAAAGATGGGCAACGGCAACGTGGGATAGGAAGAGGAGAGAGAGACTGGGAACCAGAGTAGGAGAAAGAATAGAAGAACGGTCGGTGAATTAGCAGGAAGAAGGAGAAAGGCATTGAGATACAACTCAACTCAAGGAGATGCCTGAAATTAGACTTAACAACGAAACCGCAATGGTTGTCGCCAAGTTCGAATTAATTAACCCTGATTGAACAGTTGACAAGACATCAAAAGACTAGGCAGTCATCAGCCGACGTTCCTGCTTGAAGTGAAAAAAAAAAAATGCAATGTACGGGTGCCTTACCTTAGGTAAGGTGAAGAGATGAAGAAGACGGATTAAGGAGGAAAGAGAGATATAAACATTCGAACTGGGTACCAGGTACTTTAGGACGGGATGATCCAGGAGACGGGTTCCAGTTTCCTTTTGCACCTTCCATCGTCGTGTGCTACCTTCCCGTGCAGCGTGCTTCCTTGGGTTTCTCACCCACCACCTCTTTCCCCTTTATTTTCCATCGCCCTCATTGGAGCACAGACCCAACGCCTCGCCTGGCCTTGCAGCTTCCTTCATTCATCTCACCTCCATCCTATGATCCTCCACCTTACCTCACCTCAAGTCTCAACCCGCATGACGCGTGGTACGAATAAACTATCTTACATCGAATTCGCTATTTCTGAAGCTGCAGTCGGTCGGAGGTCCTGCTTTGCATTCCCATCCCATACTGAGAGTCGTCTTCTTCCACCTCGATTTTACTCGGTCTAGTCACCTATTACGGCCCCGCCTGTCTGTGCAACATCTCGGGTAGCTAAAGGAACACGGACTCAGTTTGCATTCCGCACACTTGTTTTCTACACTTGGCCCACCTTGCCCATCTTCCAAACTGGCTTCTCGATATCTTCTTCATCCATTATACTACGCGGTGACCCTGCCCAGTATTAAGATTGCTTCCAAGGTAGGAGACAAGCCCCCTTTCCGCATTTTCCGTGCTTTTATCCAAGTGTCATGATCCATGACGGGCTGGGGTTGGAAGAGCCTGGGGTGGCTTTTTCCATGGGAAAAAGTGACTTGGTGAAATGGAGACAGGTGAAGTGGGACGAGTGGAAAGCCAGGCCTTTGACGGGAGACAAACCACGGATAGACCAACGACAATGAGACGGGCAAGGCTCTGGAAGTCCACAGAAGAAACGGACCCTGGAAGCGCAATTACACCAGCCCGCTGCCCGTCAGCGTTTTCCCGCCTTCGCGTTACAAGCCGTCATCTCCAGCTCCCGCTCCAGCTCCAGCTCCATCACATCGAGCGTCCTCGAGTCTTCCGACAGGGGTGGCATCAACCCAAAATCCCACAGTAGCCATGGGAATTGCATGCGCCAGCGCCAGCGCCAGGAACAGGGGCAGGAGACAGTTGCACGAGGACAAGGAGAGACGAGGTATCAGTGGAAGAGGAAGAAGGAGAAGAAGAAGAAGAAGATGACGATGAAGAACCCCACTAATTCTACTTAACAGCGGACGATCCCCCGAGCTACGGGAGGCGGAGAGCAAAGTCTAGTCCACGATTACCTTGCGACGCTTCTCTTTTCAAGAACCGATATTCAACAGCATCCGGCAACCTAGCCTTCAATCCGAAAGTCCCTGCTCTATCTGCACTTCACGCCTTTCCCACCCACAGACCTCACAGAAAGCGTCGTAGGCGCCGCCACCGTTTATCCGCCGGTCCACCCACCCCAAAGCTAGACTTGACGCGACTCCCACCAACGAGTACCTGTCGACGTTGACTTCCAAAGCTTTCAGATACCCGCGTTGACCTTGCATACGGATACTACAATTACACCTCACACCTGCAGGTGCACGTACACACTCATACACAGACAGACGCACACGCACACACACACCACTTGTTCTCTAGAATCGTTCTAGGGCCAAAGCACAGAAAGACAAGCACCAACACCCGGGACATCCAGCGAGCCAGCCAGCCACAACTAGCAGGGACTAGCAGAGAAGCTGTCCTTCTCTCCATCTGCATCACTCGGTCCTCGCTTGTTCACTTGATCGAGTCCAGGGTCCCTCCCCCCTCACAACGCCGTGGAAAGACGCAAAGACACATCTGCCGCGCGGAATCAACGACCTGGCCTGACGTTGAAGTCCACACGACCGACTATTTCTACCTTACCAACCGTGGTTTACATACCAACTCTGCCCGTCGTCAGGTCCCCAAGTCAGGAGCTCCTTGTTTGCTCCAGTGGTTCTGCCCTCTATACAACTCCAGAGTAGAGCGAGCATCCCTACCTCCCTTGTCTTTCTGTTGGATTATTTCTTCCCTTTCTTTTACTCCATACATCCCATCCCATCAGATCGCTGCTCCTCCCGCTCCCGCCCGTCGCCGAAACTAACCCGACCTGACCCAACCTGCCCAACGGAGACTTGAACCTCGTCTCGCCCGCGTCGACCTGCATCACATCTCGTCACCCTGCAGCGTACTCGTCCACGACCACAATCGGGAGCATACCTCGAAACCTCAACCCCCGAACTTTGACCCGGGCTTTGGCCGCGATTTTTAACCAATCTCACCCGCCCTGTCCATAGTATCCTAGCATCTCAAATCGACTGGACAACTTTACCTGTCGCCTTGGCCTCATCTCATTCTGGCCAGGTTCTTCACGTCTTTTACTTTACAGTACCCAAGTCGGTCCATCTCAGCGCCAAGATATCGAGGCAGAAGGTCGAGGTCGCTCTGAAACTCCAACCCCAACCCATCCCGACCCAACCAACGGCTTCTCGCCTTTTGCGACGCCGCTCGTCGTTTCGCAACCTATCGTTTTCCGGGCCAATCTGCACACGACGAGAAAGACGCCGACTACCGCAGCACCGGACCCGGTCCGTACGACCTCTCCAATTCGTTGTGCGACATCAATTGACTCGCTCGACGCCCTAAGCGGCCGAGGAAGAAACCTCGCTCTCCATCCCAAACATGTACGTCAATCGCTGTCTGCTTTCCTTCCGTCGTCTCACCTGTTCTCTGGATGAACCCGACCATATGTTACCTGTTCAACTTGCCTACCTTGGGACAGTATCCACGTTCTGAACTTCAATGACATTTTGGTCGGTGAACATATGTTTTCCCTCGTTCCTTTTCTCGCCTCCCCCTCCGCTGCATGTTAGGAAGAAACCCAGGACTGGTTATGTGGACTAGATGAGCCTACCTCTCCACAAACAAACACAGTTGCACACATACATTCTGCACAATTCCCTTACACCCCCAGCTTCGAGCAAGCTGATGCTGCGACCGTTTACATGCAGGTACATGTACTGGTACGCTGTCAAGGCCCAGCATCCGGCCCTCTCTTCTGCCCTAAGCTGCTGCACCTCGACCCATGTCATTTTCACCCTACATGCCACTCTGTAGGGCAAAAGCCGTTCTGCAGCTCTTCCTCCCTCTCCCTCTCTTCCTTTCTCTTTTTGTTCGCATCATCGCTCGCCGTGTTGTTGGCTGGGCATTAAGTTGGAGTGTCGCGCCAGCAGGGTTTTCCCGCAGCGGAGGGACCATAAACAGACAAAAGCAGAATGATGCGTTCGATCTGGTGTAGGCGCGCGCTCGCGGATATGTGTTGGTCGATGCAAGTGCAAGTGCAAGTGCAAGTGTGGCCTGGTCGAAGAGAGTGTCTCGTGTGTGTTGTTGTGGTGGTGGTGAACACCGCCATGTGTGTGATGGCGTCGGTCTTGAGTGAAAGAGGCGCCTACCTACCTACGTACCGACGCAATTCTCCTGAAATACAAGAAGCTGGCAGCTGTCGCCCAGCCTCGACACAAGAAGAAAACTCTGGCTTGATCACAGCCTCCTTCGTTGCCTTGCCCCCTTTTCCCGACTGGTGTCTGTTACATTTGGCCGTTAGTCGTTTCCCTCATTCCCGGTACCAACCCTCATGACATGAGACGGAGTTTTCTGCTCATGTCACATTTCTCCATAAAAGGCAGTCGTACTGGCAGTGTTATTCCCTGGATGCCATCAGCGTGTGCTCCCATCGACTTGCAGCCGCCTGCACTGCGACCATCATTTCGTTTCGTTTCCCATTCAAGACTTACTACTGCACGCACACTTTAAATTGCCCGCTGCTCGATCCCACTTCTCCAGGTCCAATCCCCTTTCCATGTTTCAAAGTCACCAGCTTCACACTTTGCCTATCAGCCCATGACCGATCTCATCACCACGCGGACGCGGAGCTTCATCGTTAATTTACTAACTTACAGAAGCCCACATCAGTACCGTACCGCAACGAAACGCCAACAGAGTGGTAAGAAGCTCAACTAGAGCAGTATACTCTTAGTTCTTGGACGTTGGTGATAGATCGACTTGCAGCTTTCACGCGCATCGCCTGTCACCTGTTGATGCCAGTCCCGAAGAGAGGCTAGAAATCAACCACAGTCGGCAAATATTATTTTTTTTCGGTTCACGCTGCCATTCGCATGGTAGCAATGTCACAAAACGGGTATGCCATGATGTCAACATAACGGTGGCATTGCTGCCCTGGACACTATCAGAACACAGCGCTAACGTGCCATCTACAGTGGGACTGCTGGTACCGAGTACCCTGACTACACTGAGCATGACCGCCAGTATGGCTCATTCGGAGGCGGGCGGTATCTTTTTCCTGTCGATGAGGTCGGTTAGCCATGATTTCTCGCTGCGGTAATACTTTCCCAATGCTAACTCACTATGAAGGCCGAGAAAGACAGACTAGATATGTTCCACGCTCTGATCACCAGGGCAAGAGGAGGCCTTTGGGAAGTACCTCTGCCTGACAAACCCCAGGTCCTCGACCTCGGGACGGGCACTGGCATATGGGCGATCGACGTGGGCGAGTAAGACCATCCATCCAACACTCCGTGCGCCGAGTACTGAAACCTAGAGTTGCTGACACCCTCACCATAGCAAGTTTTGGGAAGCAAAAAATCAAGGCCAGGTCTTGGGGCTAGATCTTTCCCTCATCCAACCCAAGCTGTATGTTCTGCATCTCCTATTCTGCAGCTCTTCGTGACGCAGGCTTATCGTTTCATAGGATTCCCCCGTGTGTAAGGTTTGAGCGAGCCGACGTCGAGGCGCCACTGCCCACTCATGAACAAATGCCCACTCATGAACAAATTTTCGATTTGGTTCACATCCAGATGCTGCTTGGTTCCATAAGAGATTGGCCAGCATTGTACAGGAAGTCATTCAGGCAAATCAAGCCCGGAGGCTACATCGAGCAGGTGGAAATCGAATGGTTTCCTCGTAGCGACGACAACACACTCGCGACTAATTCGCCTCTCGCCATTTGGGGTGACAACCTGCGGCATGCGATGCACACCTACGGGCAACCTATCGATATAATCGACACCAAAAAGGAGCTCGGTGCTGCAGGCTTCACAGACATCACTGAGAAGGTGATCAGACTACCGACGAACCCGTGGAGCCAGATCCCGGCTGAGGAAGAGTTGGGTAGATGGTTCAATCTCGGCCTTACGCATTGCTTGGAAGGTCTCACACTTGCGCCCTTTATTCGGGTGCTACGCTGGCAAAGAGATGACGTGGACAGACTGGTGGACGACCTCAAGAAGGATATCTGTCGACTCAATGTCCATGCCTACTGCAGAATGTGAGTTACCGCGTGTAGAGTGCCGTCCGGTAGCTCCCAACTTTTTATGATACAGAGTACTGATTGCCGGACGCAGGTTTGTTTGGACGGCAAGGAAGCCACCTTCAAGGCAAATCCAATGATCCAAGAGTGGTCACTCAGACTGCCGAGGGTTACGTCACGTCTCACGAGATGGGGGTAGACCGCTGGCGATTTTCCTGCCGTCACCCTCCCGTCGCAAGCTCATATACAAAACGGGACGTAGCAAGCTAGCAGCAAACGTTCGACACCCTATCGCCAAAGCAAGACATCTCAAGCGGAACACCAGAGCGATTTGTCTTCTGTACCATTACTCTTCGTCTACCATGAATATCAGGCGTGCGACTTAGTCGATCCGGTGCCGTCCTGCCAACAGGCAAACTTGCTACTGTCCATGCGACGTTTCATTCAATAACTCGTGGTCTATCTTAATTTTCTACTGTACGTCGTGGGAGTGCGGCATGTTTGCTTTCTCTCCTGCTTCTCTTACCAAGATAGGCTTGCAGTCCTCGGGCTAGCCAAGCGCGGACCCAACATGCAAGAATCGGCAGCTTCAAGCCGCCTGTACCTCAATTCGTCTCACGATCCTCATCGTCTTGCTCTCTTCGAGGCTTTGGGTGCCCCCGTAGGGTATCGCATGCCACTCGATTCGGTCAAGCTCTTCTGCTTTGCTCTAGCTAGACACATACGGACACAACGGGGAATGCATCAAAAATGCAGTCAAGTTATGTTTTTCTCTTTACGCCATCTCGGTATCCTTAGGCATTTTCTGCCTCGTTATCTCTCTATTTTGTTTTGTGCCTTGGAGACTCGGCAGTCACGGATCGAATTCGAGGCTCCGCGGAGTGGTCCTTTTTCTTTCTCAGCCTCCCCATACTTCATTCGTTCCATCTCTGAGCTCCAGGCTCAGACCTGAGGTAACACCCAAGCATAACGCAACATCTTTACCAGACCGCCCATAGTCATAGTCGCGACGCTTCTCTTATCACTACATCATATTCTTTGTTTTTTCTTTACGGATTCATTGGCGGGGAAGAAAATGAGCCGGATTTACCCAAAAGTTGATGGCGGCGCAGGCTTGGCAGCATTGCAGTTGGGCCGTGTTTTTTGCATGATGCATACTCTGCTCTGTCTCGGCATGGAGCAGACTTAGGCTTGGGGCGTTGGATTCCATTATGCACGCTCCTGCGGATGGCAAGAGGGCGCGATGAGAGGAGTGGCCAGTACGGGCATGTCGGCCAGCGGAGCATTGCACGTCATTTATTTTCGCATGACCAATGTTAATCAGGATGGTTGTCACGTCCGCAGCGCAAAGGCTGATATGTGCGGTCGTAGTTTTTTCCCTCTATCTAACATATTATGATATATATATATATATATATAAATAGAATTTGGCTATGGTGGACGATGACCTGGAACGAGAATCGCAAGATCGGCCCTTTCAGAGGGTGAGTACAGATGAGCCAAATCAGCAAGCTTGGTTGGCGACTCAAGAAAAAGTCGAGTCACGGTCCTGGTGCTACCACGAATGAGACGTCTATGTCGCGATTTACGAACTGAGTCGAGGCGGAAGGTGCCAACGGTCGTTACTCAAGGTTATGCGGCCAGGGGGAGTTGTCATTTCTCTTTTACACTCCTTCGAGGCTCGAGCAAAGGCACCAGCCACAACAGTAGAGCCAAGATTGGTCGATAGGCAGGTATTATTCCCTTACCCATCTCCACATCATCATGCTGGTGTACATGGCTCCCGCATGCCCATCCGCATCGTTCGATCATCCCTGGTGGTCCCCATCTCTTGTTGGTTGCTCTCTTTCCCGCTTCCCCGTCCCGCCAATGGGATATTGCACTGACAACGTTACAGTCTTTCGTTGAGCCCTGCCGGGTTGGGCAACGGCTGCATGCTGTGCGGGCCTGGATAGGAACTTCGCTGTGGCTGCCAACGTTTGAACAGCGAAGCAATGAACCCTTCTCGAGGCAGCGTATGTAGGAGACGTAGGAGACGGCACACCGATACTTGATGAGAAGGGGAACTTGAGCGTCGTGCGATGGGTCATGTCCTGCGAGGCACCATCCTTCTCGACCATTTCATACTGTCAGTCCTGGCGACACGTTGCAGTCGAGGAGGCACAGGGCGTATGCCTTCATCTTCTTAGTGTTCGACCACGTTGATGAGATACGCATCGCTCGCTCTTGTCGTTCTATATCCTGCACAGACTGGACTTAGAAGCATCACAGGAGCCAAATCTCTCGGTTTTTTGTGCTGCCCAGGTCGGCTCTTTTCCCTCCATCGTCTCGCTTGCACCGGGAGACAGGACACGCTATTTTCCCGAGGTGAAGTTGGGCAAATGTTCTCTCTCCATCAAGCCAGCAGCAACCTACATGTACCCTCGACGTGCGACTTGCATGACGGAGAGGAGTCCCGCCGCCCCGAGCCTGCAGCTCATATGTTGGCTGGATTGGCGGATCTCCTTTTGATACGCTACGAAGTACGATATACTCTACACCCACCTTCAAGTCTGCCTTGTGCCCCCCTCTTAGCACTCCACACATACTTGTATTTCATATGCATGCGAGCACACACTCACACACTCACACTTTTTATACTTATCACTGCTACCTCTCCCTTTTGGGATCTTGCCCGCCCCCCTCTTCTGGTGTATCTGGGCGCTCATCGAACGCCCGATGCCCGGATCCGGGAACACGGATCTCGAGATGAGTGGTCCGGGTAGAAAAGGAAAAAGGGCATTGAGCTAGTTTTTTTCTGCCCAACCTTGCGCATCTACAGGTGCATAGGGAAGAGGAGTAAAAGGGAGAAAAAAGGAGAGCTATCCTGCAAGATTGTGGAAACCGACATCTACTTCCAGTCCATCGCCGCGCTCTCCATTCGTTTCTCTCTTTCTCTCCAATCCCCCTCCTTGCCCTTTCTTTCTTTACCTCTCTCAACGGAGCACCATCCGCGTCGTTGCCCAAACAAACTCGAGACCGGTCTGGGGTCTCGATTCTCGGCCTCGGCCTCGGACCGGGGGAGGGTTGGTGAGTGATGAGGGGCCGCCTACAACGAGGCCCTGCCACCTGGGCAACCTGGAGCTAGGATTAGGATCTACCTTTCTCATCTCATGCGGGAACAACTGGCGCTGCAGAATCAGAGGAGAGGTAGGTGAAGAGTGACGAGGAGAAGGAGGTTGAGTCTCCCAGGGTACAGTGTTATGCTTCTTTTGTAGGATCGCGGATGCGATTACCTGGGACACGAAATTCCTATGCTGTCAACGGGCGCAGGGGGTGGGTTTTCCAAGGGGACATGATGCATTGAGGGCAAACGAGCAGCAACCGGGTGGGTTGGCGGGCGTTGCCCGACTCCCAGGGAGGTTCCAACGAGAGATTTTTGAGTTCGGAGATGGCGGAAGTGTACCGGGGGACTGTCATACGTATTTTCTTTTGGGGGGGCGGGAGACTTTTTTGCGTTTGAAGGTGCTTTCGAACCGAACGATCTCGAATGATGTGGTTATGCATGATACAGCGGTGTGTCTTTTGTTGGTGTTCCTGTCTCTGGCCCTTTCTTCCTTACCACCCGAGAGAGGGGGGGGGGGGGGGGGGGGGGGGGTTGTTTGCCGTTGGATCAAGGGAAAGTCTGATGTTGTAAGAATACATGCGAAAAATTCTAGTCTTGCCTACTTTTTACTTCATCTTCACTGGAGATGAATGCTTTTCCGTGTCTTGTTCCGAGAATCTGTCGCGAGATTTGTGCCTCTCTCGACGGTTTGTGGTATACGGAAGCCCGACGGGCTTTGGTCAGGAGTGGTTAGCCTAGACCACTTACTGTACCCGACTTTGCAACCTTGAGGATGGAGTTGGGTCATGTAGTCTACCATCATAAAGGAGCTCTCGGGTGACCTGATGTCGGTGAGTTTCGTTGACGAGAATATGGTTGACTGTAGATTCGAGAAAATGTCACCTTTTTCTGTTTTCTCGAGTATCTTTACAGCGAGCCCTGAAAGACGTAGGTACCTTTTGGTGTTTGTTGACGCATTCGCTTGCCAAATTGCCCCTTCATCTTTATTAATCTACAGTGTAAAAGCGACGGTGACTTTGTCGAACAGAAGATCGGAAGAGATGATGGTTCATCATCCCGCGGAGAAGAGCATCGACAACCATGGATACGAAGTCCCGACGACCCCTACGGAATGACCATGATCTACAATGATAAGCCCATCTACGTCTTTCATAGACACTCTTCAAATGAAGTAGGGAAGCGAGAAAACTATCTTACCAACAGAAAGAACGAAGACCGGCCAGGAAGACTTGGCAAAAGAATATTCGTTTGCGCATTCCTCGGCCTTGAGAATACTACAAATCTCACTGGCTTAACCTAGATTTTGCTGACCACCATTCCTTCCCGAGAGGGTACCATTGCCCTCTTTCGGCACGTCAAGGGAAACCCGTCTGCCTCTTCTTTGTCCATTAGGACCCGAGGGGATGGTAAAGGGGCATCCGCACATACCAGACATGGGGACCAAAGTCCCCAAACATTTGGTCCGTAAGGCTACTCGTGGGATTCTCTTCCTTGACAGGTCCATGGGAAATGTGCCCCGGATAGTTGGTTGGTGGCTGCTTGATCCTTCTTTGCTACGCCGCCGCCAAGTATAAAGGTACACAGGGGGTCGGGGTCGGGGGAGTGAAAGAAAGGGGCGTCGATCCAGAACGAAGTTCAGTACGCCACCATGCAAGATGGAGGCGTTTAGATGGCAGCATGGTATGTGTTTAAAGGGGAGGTTTGTACTGTACAGAAGTACGAATACGGGATGATCTGGCAAACGGTACGGGCCTTGAACGGGATTCGGCGGGTGAAGTGAGGTAAGAGCGGCAGACATGTGGCGCAAAGGTCGGATGAAGCGACGCCTACCACCACTACTATACGCCGTTATATGTCTGGTAATCTGTGTCATGGAGAGGAGTTCGGCCAAACTGGGTCAAGGGGGGTTGGTCGATGAGGGGAAAGGGATCCTTCATCCTGAGGGGTAGAGGCGCGAGTTGGCCTTTCCGACCGAGCTAGCATGAGGACGGTCATGGTATCACGGTTGGTTCACAAAAAGGTGTGGCGTTTGGGCCTGACCGACGACCGGGTTCTTGGACTGGTAAGGAGAAAGAAGGGAAGTGGCTTGGGCGTTTGTGTGACGTGAGAATCCCTGGTAGGGTGGATGAGGCTCGGTGAGGATGATATGGCAGGACGTCGCTGCTGATGGATCTGGTTGTGGCTACCCAAACGATTAGCTGCATTTCCATGTGCGTTTTGGAAGAAGGTATTTATTAGTTCGATGGGCATGGATCGAGGCACTCTAACAATGATGCATACCACAAGGAGAGGCGATGGATGAAACAGAGAAAAAGGGAGGGGGAAAAATAAGATATTGTTTTCCTCTATAGGGAATTGAATAAAAGATTGAGCGATTGATCAACTTAGCTCTGGAGGAACGGGTTCCACTGGCGCCCCTTAAACCCCTCGGCCAAGTTTCCCAAATCACTTCGATTAGTGACAGGAATGAAAGAAAAGAGACCCAATTACCCTTCCTAGTAGTTTTGTAGGTGCCTTTGGAATACTCAAAGGAACCAGAGGGAGGGGTGGTGCATGAGTCTCTGCTCGAATACTCATCCACCTGACGGGTCAGTCATTCCTGGTATTCATGGTCGAGGTTGGAGCATGGGCTGACGATGACAAGGAATGGATCCCTGAAGTGAAAACTCGCCTTTGCAATACCTGCTGCCAAACAAAATCATGTCACGTCTCGAGGTACGAGAGTCGATTATCTCCACGTTGAGGGATAGATCCCTTTAATCGCATTGCTGTTTTGATTCACTATAGACGGCTGGGATACGTGCTCAAGTCTCGTCCCCTACCTATGCGATGTCCATGCTTTTGCATTGTAGTAACCGCATGTGAAGTAAATTCTGAATAGCATTAATTGAAGAAGGGAAAGACGTGATAGTGCCGAGCGACGACTCTCATCCTGAGACATCATCATGGTGTGTGTACATGAAGAAAAGCCTCAGAACGTTGAAGAGACTGCGGGAAGGAAGATGACAGACATCTTCTCCTAAGTATTTGATCAAAAGAAAATATATCACAAAAGATATAACTATACCAAAAAAAAAAAAGAAAAGGAAGGGAGGGGAGACAACTAACCTTATAACTCACGCCCCTGCCCGGGTTCGAAAAGCGCGCCCCTCAGTCAACCCGAACTCTGACTTCACTGGAGTATTTATTTTTATTAAACCACTACACCACGCACACAGCTTGACCTGACCCGCCGACCTAGACGGACGCTGCTGTGCTGGTGACAGGAATGGAATCGAGGGGGGTATATACCCTTGGGTGACTGGGGAAGGTAGGCCAAGGGAGGAGGGAGGTAGAAGTTCCTTCCCAGTCGGTGGTGATTTCATCTCTTTTTCTGAGGAGTGAGATGAATCATGGTAAAGTCTCCTTCCGGGGCCGGCAGCGGAAGGAATAAGAGCAGACGCGCAGAGATGAGCTTCGTTTCATTACTTTTGGTTAGGGTGGGTGCTGGTTGACGATGAAGACAAAAAATTTACCACTAGCTAATGCACAACTCCGCGCAGTCATTCAGTACTATAGCTTAGCATGCTGTTGGAATGATCGGGGCAGATTTGGGGGTTGAAGGCGAATACGGGGCAGGTATAATGGCGTGCTCTCTTACATACGGCTGGGCAAGCGGTTCAGTTAACAGTGATGTGGCGATTCAAGTCCAGATTAGATTCGAAGGCCATTGATGATAGATATATATGCCTGCTCTCAGTCTGTCGCAGCTTTGGCAGCTTCCTGTAGCAGCATCACTCTCTATACGAGAAAATGGAGCAGGATATGTTGTAATGTCGAACTCGCCAGTAAACTCCCCAGTACGTGAGTGTCTTCATAGTCCAACCCGGTCTCTTGATAAGCAGGCTTGCGTAGGGAGAGATTCATAGCCGAGTGGGAGAAACGATGGACAAAGTAATGACATCCCCTTGTTATTTAGAATACGTTTCACGTCTCGAGCCCGGAGCTCCTCGGAACGCAGAGAACCGGATTCGGCTACGCTGCGTACCCAGGACAGTTCACGAATTCGATATCCACCGAGCAGGCCATGTGGTTCAAAAGGTTTCCTGATATTTACCTGCAGGAGGCAGGTTTCGCAGCATGGGTGGGCTGCGGTTGACGTGTGTGATGTACAGAGTCTACATAAGGAAATAACAAGGTGGCCTGTTGAGAAAACGCGTATGACGGCGACCAGATCCAAGGCCCCCGAGACCGATTCTCTTTGCTGCTCTCCCAGTACATCCAGCCCCCCGTACTCGATCGAAAGAATCTCGACCGCAAGGGGACTGTGCGACTGGATAACATGAACCTCTACCACGGGCATCGAGCATTCATGTCATTTGGTTCCAAAATAAAAACACCCCCTTTCCCCCCGATTTCTACAACTCGAAGTCACCATTTGCGCTCTTTTTCTTTAGATGCGGTTTGAATTAATAACCCGGGAAACGAATCTCTCGCCCTCATCCACATCGTCGTTTCGAATCGGTACGAGATGGCGGGGAAGCAGATTTCAAAAGGTTCTTTCTCCGTTTAGTGGGCAGCGGCGTGGGTCTCGCCGTGATAGCCGACGAGCTTGAAGCGGCCGAGCATCTCGCCGACGGTGAAGAAACCGAGGCACTCAGCGGCGACAACGGCACCGGTGGCCACGGTCGCGGTGTTGATGCGGGAGGCGATGTTGGCGGGCTTCGCGGCGGCGGCGGTGTTGGCGGCGGAGCTGGCGGCTGAGGAGGCGGAGCTCAGGAGGGCGTTGGGGTTCTTGACGGCGCCGAGGGCGGTCTGGAAGTAGGACTGGAAGGTGCTGACGGGGCTGTGCATCTTTCATTAGAAGCTGGACGGGCTAGATTCTTCATTCTAGTGTTGGAACTTACGGAGGAGCCATCTTCTGGCCGTGGAAGACAATCTTGGACAGCTCAAGAGTGACTCGGGAGTAGTAGATGACCCAGGGAACCTGCTCTGTAGTCGCATATCCGTCAGCAATTGGTACGCGAAATCGAGGGTACGCGCTCAATTGCGCCCCTCCTGATGGATTTTCCCTCGCGGCCGGATTGTCACGTACTCTCAATGAAGTTGATAACCTTGCCGGTGCGGCCGCCGACCTTGCCGAGGGCGTTGACGGCACCAGACAGAGCGGGACCAGCGGCGCTGGCGGCGCGGCTGAGGCCCTGAGCAGCCTTGGCCGAGTACTCGCTGGCCTTGCCGGCAGCGTCCTTTGCGGATTCGGTGGCCTTCTTGGTGGTGGTCGACTCGAAGCGGGCGGCGACGCGGGAAGGGAGGGTGCGAGCGGTGGTCCGCATCAGCGGGCGGGCGAGGGCGGAAGACATCTTGGACCGGGGGGTTTGGTGTTGTGGAAGAGAGAGGACGTCGACGGATTGAAAATCGGGGTATCTGGATCTCGGATCGGGATGCGTCGATGTGGGCGGCTCCAGGGTCGAAGAAGGAGCTTCGTTGGCTGCCAATTGATGGGAAGGGGGTGGTGATGGGTGGTGTCTTTTTTGCGTGAAGTGAAAAAAAGAGCTCTCTCTGTCTCTCTTGCCAGAGTCTGCCCGACCTCTCGGAAGATTTCGCTTGTGCTGTTGTTGCGAGCCGGAGGATGGATGGCCCGTGCACTGTCCTCTTTTTCTTGCTTATGAAAAATGTCAATTGCTCAGGCGAAGGCGAAGGGGAGCTCAGTGCTCAGGTACAAGGAGTAAGGTACCTTTTCCCTTGCTTCCCAGGGGAAAGAGGTTGGCGCACGCGTCGGCCCAGCGGACTATGCCGCTTTCAAATCGAACCAATCACAATGTGGATCTCTTCAAGGAAAGTGGGGGCACCTGTTCAGTGCAGGCAGGCACGTTCGGTGGCAGGTCACTGGTGAGATCCATTGCGTGAGAAAAGGTTCATCGGCAGGTGCTGGGGCAGAATGGGTTCTTGCCATGAATGGATACCTAGGCACTGCATCCTCGTCTGTCCATTCCCAGGTTGCAGTTTGTCACTGACTTAAGGTACAACCCCGGATCCCACCTTATCATCACCATCAGCATCACCCTTCTTTCACATGGTCCGTCAACTATCATCAACAGTAAAGAATCGTCACTTTGATTGAAGCTTCATATTGTTATACGAATTCATTGGGAACACATCTCTAAAGTATAGTCAAAAACCCATCCATGACACCAAATCGCCAGCATCGCCATATTATGCCCAAAAAAAAATCAATCGTTTCGTCTAACCACCAGGCTTGGCTTAGTCCAAGCTCTGGATCATGACCTTGATAGCACCCGACTTGGGGTCCTTGGCCGCCTCGAAGGCGCCGAGGGCGTCCTCGAGCTTGAACTTGTGCGTCACCAACTTGCTGAGGTCAACAACACCGCTCTCCACCAAACGGATGGCTCTAGGCCACGTGTTACAGTAGCGGTACTGCAACTGAATGTCGACCTCGCGAACGCTGGCGCGCATGAAGGGGAAGCTGATCTCGTTGCGGCCAACACCAATGATGAAGACCTTTCCGCCAAACTTGCAGGCCCAGACAGCTGAAGCGATACTGCTCTCGACACCAGTGCACTCCATAACCACGGCCGGCTCAACACCTCCAAAGGACTCGACGATGCGCTTGGCCTCCTCCTCGGCGGTTCCGCGGCCGACCTTGTGGGTGATGGCTGTGGGCACCAGCTCCTTGGCGAACGCAAGACGTCCATCGTCAATATCCGTGACAACCAGCGGGCAGGCACCCGCAGCCTTGGCACAGAGAAGGGTGATGAGACCAATGGGACCGGCACCGCAGACGAGGACCGGATCGCCAAGGCGCACGCCGGCACGCTGCATACCGGCCAGGGCGACACTTAGGGGCTCCAACATGGCACCGTTCTCATATGTCATGTTACCGATCTTGTGGCACCACACAGCAGGGTGGTTCACGTATCGTCGCAGGAGACCCGGGACCGGCGGGGTGGACAGGAACTGGACCTTCTCGCAACCGTTGTAACGACCGGTCAAACAAGGCTCGCAGGAGTTGCAGATAACGTTCGGCTCGACAGCGACTCTGTCGCCAACCTTGAGGTGGGTGACGCTGGGGTGGACGGCGAGAATCTCACCGGCGGACTCGTGGCCGAGAATGTGGTCGCCATCGACAATCATGGGTCCGATGCATCCGTGCTTCCAGAAGTGAACGTCGGACCTGTTCCTCTCGGTTAGGCTCGTCCTTGTGTTCTATGGGGGGACTTTTGTGTGGCACGAAATGCTTACCCGCAAATGCCGGTGCTTCTGATGGCCACCGTGACTTCGCCATGCTGCAGTCCCTCGCCGGCCTGAACGGCCTCCAACTTGGGCTCGGCCTCGTTGATCCACAGGTCGTGTGCGGGGTTGGTGTAGACGCCAATGTTGGCCTTGGACACCTTAACGGAGCCGACCGCGGCGGGAGGATCAACAGCTGAAGGAGACATTGTGAAAGTCGGTTGTCTCTGTGTGTGCGAGGAGTGGTAGGGCTTAAAAGAATGGCCCTGAAGAGTGGTCTCTTGCCAGGTAAAGAAAGATATGGTATGGAGGCGGGGTGTGAAACGTGGGTGCGAGACTGACGAGACGACTGACGGCGACAGCAACGGCGAGGACCTGAGTCGAGGGTATGGGCGAACGGGACAGACGAAGCGGACAGAGAAGAGGAAGAGTAGAGCGGACTGGAGCACAACGACACACGATCGGACAGTCGCCCGGCTGGATATATACCTTGGAGCTACTCGTGGGATTTTTATTTTTATTTTTCTGGGTCGGCCAACAATCCAGCAGCTTCGTCGGCCCTTTGGTCAACAAATGTTCGAATCCAGCCCCTCATCACCCCTCGTCGCCCAAGGCGAATAGTTTGACCCCAGTTCCCCACGTCGAAACGTCGCGCAGGGTCGAAGCTTGTTGGCAGGGGGTGGGGCGCTGCCGCGTTGTGGGAATTTGTTCGGTCGCTGTAAGACCGATTCTTCCTCTTTGCGACTTTCCGCTCCAATCACGATGACGATCCGTACCCGACATATACCACTCCCCGCGACACGCTTCACTGACATTCTACGCTTTCTCTCACATAGTCTCACTACGGATACAACGAAGCGGCACGTCTCGCGCTTTCCCAGGCCCAGGCACGCCGGGAGGGGCAAGCATCTCGACACACGCGCCACGGGGATTTTTTCTTTTGCGTTCACGTGGTATTCGAACCAGGGGACTTCGTTGGGCTTCCGCATCTTTACGGTTTACGGTCGACCATCATCTTTCCCTTGTCGTCGTATTGTCGCTTGCTGAGGACCATGTCGCTCCACGAATCGCGACTGTGGCCGACGCAAGATCCTTTAGCTCCACGGAAACATGAAGCCCCTCCCTTCCCCATCTCATCTAGTCTCCAAACATTCTGGAGGTCGGCCCCCGAATTACCACCATTCGAACTTCGCCCTAATCACCGGGGAGTCGCAAGCGGCAGACGCCCTAGGTAGCAGCGAGCATCGTGCCTCGGTCCTATACCTCCCTTTTTGAGATGCGCTTCCGTGGGGAAGCCTTTCGAACTTTCGTCGTCTCATCCCACCCAGACGCGCTCCCGAAAGCTAATTATATGCTTGGAAATTTGCTGCCTTGCATACTGATGCAGTCAGTACCTCATGCTGTTGACATATGAGACTGTGTCTGTTTCTCGTCCTGCAGACTGCCGTAGACCGGGCAACTCTCGTTGGCCGCGGGGTCGGGCGATAGCCGCGCCGACGCATATCTTCCCGAAGAACTGATAGACCTAGCTGTTGACACCTCCATCAGATACAAGCGCTGCGCTGTGTTGCTGCTTTGTGCGTGCTCTGCGGGATTTCTTATTTACCGACTTCTTGGTACTGCATGAATGAAATCCGACCTTTTCTTCTTCAACCTATACACACTCAGTGACGTTGACACCCGTCCAATCGCTCCAGACCACTTATTACCCGCAATCGGGGCAAGTAGTGAGCTATACCCGCCGCCGTCGGGATTAGAATATCCGAGGAGAAAACTCGGACCCCTCTTGCGCGTCGTTGTGCCTTTGTCATGCGCCCAGACTTGACTTTTGGCCCGCCGGGCGACGAGTGGCACTACGACAGACCGTCGCGAACCTATGATCTCACCCGGGGCCGGTCGCCGGCTTGGAAGGTCGGCACCACCCAAGGACCAGCGGGGACGTCGGTTTCGGTGAACCCCCACAGCACGGCGCTCGTGATTGTCGACATGCAGAACTACTTTTTGCACCCCAGCTGTCGAGACCACCCGGCCGGGCTGGCGGCGGTGGAGCAAACCAAGAAGGTTGTTGAGAAATGCCGCGAATTAGGTATTCAGGTACGGCCTTGAACCCATTCTACCTTACTCTCCCCCGCCCTTGTTCGGACGTTCGGGGCACCCGGCAGACGTTACCGCCCGTCTTACCGGAGGTACAGAAGCAGTCATACTAGACAGAACAGGACATGACAGAGATGAGGGGCACGCGGGGGTTGGAAGTCTGGAAGGGGATTGGGGGAGGGAACCTTTGCCGGGGTAGTGGTGGTTAAACAAGCGACCCGACGTATCGTAGCTCACTTTTTTCCGTTACGGCACACAGGTAATTTGGCTAAATTGGGGCCTGACCGACGACGACCTGGCACGGATGCCCGCCAGCGTCCAGCGCGGCTTCTCGCGATCGCTCATCCTGGGCGACGAGGGGAAGAGTAGTTCTCCCGGCGACAAGGGGCATACCCTCGCCCGCCTCGGCCTCGGCGCAGATCTCGGCGACGGCAGGGGCCGCTGCCTCGTCGCGGGCGAGTGGAACGCCGACATTTACGAGCCGCTGAAGCGGAGCAGTCTCCGGACGGGGGAGGACGTGCGGTGTGATAAGAATAGGATGTCGGGGATGTGGAGCCCGGAACAGCCGTTGCGGAGGTATTTGGAGGGCGCCCGGGAGGATGGTGATGATGATGAGAAGGGTGCCTCCGGGACCGGGAAGGGAAGAGGAGGAGGAGGAGGAGGAGGAGGAGGAGGAAGAGGAGGGATCCGAACGCTGCTCTTCGCCGGGGTGAATACCGACCAGTGCGTCCTCGGCACGTTGACGGATGCGTATAATGCCGGGTGGGATTGCATCTTGATTGAGGACTGCTGCGGGACCGGGACGCCTGGTGCTCCCGAGGTGTGCCTTTACAACATTTCTGTGAGTTTTTGTTCTTTTTCTTGGCTAGTCTATACCCTCTCCTTCTCCCGACTTGGCATGGCGATGGATCTTGCTTGTGGTTGCGGGTATGGCTGTGATGAGGCGTTCGCTAAGCCTTGCTGTAGGGCTCATACGGGTTCGTCGTCTCGACAGAGACATTTCTCGCCGGAACGGCTTCTTAACACCGCTTCGCATTACTCACCATGTGCGTTTGGTGATGTCAAGCTGAGGAAAGGAGATGGTTGAGTGAGATCACTTGAGTCAAGCAAAACCGTACGATGGGGCTTCACGTCCCAATTTTTTTTTTCTGGAATCGACGAATGCGGCTGTTCGTGAAGCGGCCTTTTCTCGTACCGAATATGCGGGACGCCTATCGTGCAAACGAAAAGCCACCCGCCCGATGTGTGGTTGTTCGCGATACACGGGCAACATGGGGTGGAAAGTGTGAGCGAGGAAGAGAGAGAGAGAGAGAAGAGAGGGAATGTCTCCGAGAGGCGCCCCAGTCAGCACCAACACGCATTTCTGTATCTCGTGGCCCGTTTCTGAAAATAAGTCTGAAATTCTAATGTCTGTATTCTTTTTGGACTGAGCATGTGATTGATGATGGCATGGATCTATCAAGGCCGTGACAATTATCTGTGTAATTTCATCGTATTTCTGATTTCAACACTCTTCAGCCGAAAGATGTCGTTTTGCCCCGAACTTGGTCTACCTATGATGTTATCATATCTTGACAGCCCATTCCCATTATGATGACCCAGTGACGAACATTCGTAAATCGTGTCTACCTAGTGTAAGCCGGTGCAGCCGTCTCACTCCGCCCGAATCACCCAAGAAAGTCGTCTTGGAGGCCAAGAGGGTGAGGAGGGGGGAGCGGAACTCCGACCGAGTTTTCCCATTCGTCAAAAAAATTGAAGAAGAGTGTTTCCCAAGATACCCGACGAGATGCGCATAGTCAGACCAAAGTGTGGTGGATGGGCATCTGCACGTCTGTCGGCCCCGGCGCCGTCGTCCAATCCCGAATAGGAAGTCTGCTAATCCCTGAGTCCTGCTAGAAAAGAAAGGGCTCCAATTTGTGGGAAACCCTAGGTTGCGCCCGTAACGCCGTATCTATCTGACATTGTTGGCCCCCCCCCCCTATGTGAACGCCGATATATGCATGTCGTTTTTTTCGTAGTAGTCGACTCTGGCTTGTATGATTAGGAAGGGTGTGGTTACTGGTGGGCGGCCTTCATCGTCGTCGTCGTCGTGTTAACGTTGAACGCTTTGATGATGTTTGGTGCCCGAGGGTGTGTTGCGGAATTGTTGCGGTATGAGCTTAGATAGCTTCTCATAAAAAAAGATTCTGCTTCAACCACTCATGACGACGACGTCGCCCTTGCAGACGCCGTATGAACAGCAGATTTCAGGACTGGCCTTGCCGTTGAGGATGTCATCTCGCTTCCACTATATGTGAAAAAAGTCAGAATCTCTAGTGATATTGCGGTGGGCACCGGAGGGGTTGGGGGGAGACGACGAACATCAGGACAGGGAGATGGCCGGGCTTGGACGAAGGCGCCGAGAGAGGCAATGGCGAGAACCATAGAGAACACGGCGGGAAACTGCATTTTGTTCCTTCGGTTCTGATGAAAAGAAGAGCTGGGCGAGTTGGTATTGTTTATTGTGGATGTTTTGTCGGGAAGTTTGACTTGTCCGAGGTATCTGATGAAACTGGGAATCCAAACCGTCGCTTTGTTGAAGGTAGCGAAGGTAACGAGGGACACAGGGAGGAAACAAGTGGTGAGGAACGAGTAAAGAGGCGGGAAGGCGGAAGTGGCCAAGAGACTTCTTTATGAAGCTCAGTTACAAACCAGGTATCTCACGGAATGTGGTGGGGTCGAGTCCTGGGTGATGACAGGGTGGGAGGAATGCTCTTTAATATGGACTAACAAAACAAGATGTACTCCGCACACGAGCATTCTGGTCTGATAGGAAAGCCCATCGGAAGCTCAAGGGTGACGGCGTTAGTCCGCGCCACACCTTGCAGCTTCTTGCTCCGGCCGTTAGTCAATGCCCATCTCCCGCCCGTGGCAGTCATCTGGAAGCCCGGGGGTGCTGGGGGTTTACGAGGGGCCGCCTGTTCTGGAAAGCAATTACAGATGATGGAAGGGAGAGATACAGACGACATGTGCCTCACAATTCCCCTCAAATCACGATTTGGCAAGATTAACGTGCATCACTGAGACACCGCAGCTTCAAATTTGCCAGTCGGACACACGACGCCTGGTGCCATCGGTGTTGTAGCAGCCGTGGTAACCTTTGCCTTTGAACCTGGCGGAGGAGGAGACAGCATGTGTTCCGTTCTACAGAGGAGAAATTGACCGGGGGTGAAGTGCCAAGTATACAAACGAAATCGAGTCTGATGGATCAAGATCTACCAGACCAGGGCTATTGCCGGGGGACGTAGGGCGCGAGCAGGAAGAGGAGGGGTTGTACCTTGTGGGTGATGGCTCACTGGACCGGCGACATTCAGTCGCTTTGGCCGAGACCTTGTGAAGGGAAACAAACGCTACTGGCAATTTGTCGCGAACGAGTTCTTCAAAGTGGCTAGCGGTCGGCAGGGACCGAGAATGCTGGGAATCTGGGAAACAATGTCTGTGCCATTAGCACGAGCTGAGGGCGTGGGACTAGGACAGGGGAGGTTTGGCGCTGTTGTGGTGGGGAGCTGAGGCATACGAAGATTCTGACGAAGAAACTGAGGCGCGGGAGACGCAGCCGGCGGGCGACTCGGGGGGCGATATGTGGGACAGGAATAGACACTATGGCTGAGAGGCAACAAGACGTATGTAACAGTTGATGACCGACTCAAGCATTCGCAAGAAGAGTATAGTGCTGTGCAGGGAACGAACAAACAAACGGCCGTTGCCGTCCAAGGTGCCCAGCCTTGTTGCAGCCAAAAAAGCAAATGTTTGGAAAATATCGTCCATGCTTTTTTTCTGATGTGTTGATCGCGTTGGACTTCAGACGATGATAAACAAGGTTCGCCGTGGCTTGCTGCTGAGACCTCTGATGAGATTGCATTCTGGCAGTTCAGACTTTCAGCGGGATCGTGAGTTTCGGTGGGTAGCGTGGCTCTTCCTCGTGTTCACGACGCAGTCCTGGTCCAACCGCCCTTTAAATCGCGCAATGGCTGGCGGGAGGCTGCTGAATCTTCTTTGTCCAACGCTCATGTCGAGATTTTGGTGTCCGTTCGACTCTCGAGTCCATGCAACGAACGACCCGACCGCAAACAGTGGGGGACCAGCGCTGTGAGCGTCAGGACGACGAAAGATGCCCCCAACAGCTTTCCTTGTCAGTCATCCGTGTTGGTGTGATTGCGAAGATAGTTAGCGGCAGAAGCTTTGACGACGTTGTTGGACAGGCCCGAATCCCACGAGAGTCTGAAGGGAGCGCCCGAATGGTGTTATCGGACGATAGATTGAAGTCTCACTCCCCTGCATCCCCATGGTTTCAGGCCGACGAAATCGTAGGACAGCCCGTCGGAGTAGGCATCTGTAGCCTCGACTTGGCTTCTTCTAAACTTCTGTGCTCAGAAGTGTTGCTTCTGCTGCCAGCAAGGAGCCTTGACGGCTGCCGGATTCCGCTGCACCAGTGCCAACGGTCAGTGACGACGCCGTGTTCCATGTATCCGTACGGATAACAACCAGAGTCAGACATGTCGGTTTGTGGTTGGGTTGCTTGGTGTGACCCCACGTCGTGCCGTTTGTAGATGGGGGTTGTGTATGTTGCGTAACGTTTCGTGGTCGGCATCTTCAATTAGGTGACGCTTCGAAGACAAGATGCCAGTGACTCGTTCGTACGCTGCGTACCAAAACCTCGCGCTTTCAATAATACTCTTTGCTTCATGTCCTGGGATCTAAGCGCGTGCTGTTCACCAGCAATTCTCGAGTAGTCAGGATTGCCCTTGTCGACAGACTAATAAAATTCATCAAATGCCTTCGTTGGGAAGCGGCGTACACCAACGCAAGCTCGAAAAGGGGTTGGAGTCGATGGAGCCACGATCCAGGCCATGGCTGGCAATGGCAATGGCAATGAAATGAAAGACAATCTGTGCTGGAATTGGTCAAGATCTTGCAGGATTCCCAGACTTTCTCAGGCATGGCGTTCAAGCAGCCAGTTGAAAACTTGGGGTACCGTTTAATGCAAAGAAATCAGTTGCTCTTGTATGTGAATACGGGTCGGGCCACAAAACTGTCTGCACCTGCTTTGCCGCACGCGCAGTCATTGTTTTTCGGATGAGGTAGGCGGCCCGAAGTGCTCATCATGTCGGAATGTTGAAAGATGATGAAGTCAAGCCTCAGAGAGAGGATGTTAATGGCAAGCAAGCAGCAGCCATCTTGGAAAGAGCAGAGCGCCATTGTGCACCGCCACATGTGGCTGGTGACTTGGTGCCAAGCCACGCCTTCCCTTTGCAAAAAAGCTAAGCTTTTGTGGGTACGAACCCTTGACCGGGAAGTTGTGGGCGGCCCTTCCCTTTTTCGCGATGCACCACTCACACAAGTCATAACTTGTTGTCACTGTCGGTGATCACGACTCGCTGCCGTGTCGGCTATTGATGTTTTCGGTCTCTTCCTACGGAGTAATGGTCCCTTCAACGTCAAGTGTCGATCGAAGCAAGCACGATAAGATCTGACGGGCACCTCCTATCTCCAGACTTCGGAACCGGGCGCTCTTCAATCCTGTCACTTGTGTCTCTCCCCCATCTGGAGTCCCCAAACTTCATCTCTTGCGCTAGACTCTAGTCCGCATGGAAGCCAAAGAAGATCATCACCAATCTCTCGTCTTCTCATGCTTTCGGCTCTGCGGCAGCTAGACTCGGCCCCATAGCGGACATACTGTCCTCCAACAACCAATTGCAGTCCTCCTAATCCCCTCAACCCTGGTCTATCTTATCGTTCAGATTCGTCCGCCAAGATAACGCATCTTCAGCAACCCTCGACTCTTCGATTTTACTCACCGGCCCTCTCCTATTTTGCCTCCCGTGTTGCAGGTTCACGGACTAGCAGAAACCTGGACCGCATACCTGGGTGGCCAATCCCTGCTTCTTGTCAGCACGGATGGTACTCTGCAACGCGTTCACTAAAGGAAACATGCCTCCTTTTTCGAATCACGGAATGGTACCTTCTGCCAGAAAATCAGCACAAAAAAAAAAAGGTCAAAAAAACAGAGTTGTCTTAGAGAAGCACGTCAAGCCCTGACCTACGGGCCACGGCCTCCGCAACTATCGCCTGACTGCCTCCATAGTGACCAACAAGTATCCAGAATCATTGCCCATTCGAAATTCGCTATTGGGCAGATCAGCCCGGAACACCCGAACTTTGCCTCCCAGTTCTTCTTCTAGCTTGCTTGAGGAGCTCCAGTTCCCCTTGCCGAACCTATCCCAAACGGCTGTCAAGTGCCGGCCTACTTCCGAACCACACCAGTCCCGCCGTCAAGGACGCGTCGGTGGGCCATCAAAGGCTCTTCAATGCCGCGGTTCTTATCTTGATCGCTCCATGTCCCCCACCTCCACCAGTTTCGCGTCAGGACTTGGTGTGTGCTCTGCGAAAGCCCACGACTGAGGCTGTATCTAGACTCCAGAAATCTGGGTATTCCGCGGTCCGCCGTCTGTCGCGCCCTGATAAGGGTTCCTCCACTCTCCGCAATGAATATTACTACTCGGCTCGCCACTACCATGTTCTGACTCTTGGACTCTTCGTGGATCTCTCAGTCTCATCCCCTCACAGTTCACCAGTGCTTTGAGCATCTGCTCGTCTCTGCCGGTTTCCCGCCCACGAACGTCCACCGTCCTGTCCTCACTCTCAGTCGATATTCAGGGAAAGTCATGAGCTGTCGGTGAACTAGATCCAACCTCATCACCAACCTCACGGGAATCACCACAGTCCAAACATGGCTATATTCGAGACCAAAAGCGACATTTCGTCGACTGGCGGGGAGAAGAAGTCGGCAACCGATGTAGAGCGTGGGTACTTGGGGGATGACCACGCCGTTCACCAGGCCGACTTCGCAACCGGAACCAGCACCTACGCAAAACTGCAGAGACTGGCGGGCAAGCTTGGTGTCGAGCAGCGTGGTATCGAAAGGGTCCCCGAAGACGAACGAATCAACGATGCCGTCGCCAACGTCGGAACGTTGGTAAGTCCAGCTTGATGGCTGTGCTCATTCCAGGAACCCATCCTGACCCTTCTACAGTGGTGCTCTGCCAACATGGTAGTCTCATCTTTTGCCATTGGTGTTTTGGCTATTCCGGCTTTCAGTCTCGGCTTTGTTGATACGGCTTTGACCATCATCTTTATCAACTTTCTGGGAGTCTTGCCGGTCTGCTTCTTCTCGACCTTTGGCCCCACGTTCGGTTTGCGACAAATGGTCCTGTCCCGTTACTGGTTTGGCTTTTACGCTGTCAAGCTGAGTATGTGACTGACTACCTACCAACTCGTCATGAACTTACTGACTGGTTTAACTAGTTGCCATATTCAATATCCTTGCCTGTCTAGGCTGGTCAGCAGTCAATACCATCGTCGGCGCTCAACTCTTCCATGCGGTCAACAACAACATGCCTGGATGGGCCGGCATCCTCGTCATTGCCATCTCGACTCTGATGATCTGCACCTTTGGCTACAAAATCGTCCACACCTACGAGCGATTCTCCTGGATCCCTTGCGCCATCATCTTCCTCATCGTTCTTGGCGTCTTTGCGCACTCGGGCAAGTTCAACAGCATGCTGCCCATGAGTACTGGCCCAGCAGAAGCGGGCTCCGTCCTCTCCTTCTCTGCCAGCGTTTACGGCTTTGCGACAGGTTGGACATCCTACGCCGCCGATTACACGTGCTACTACCCGGCGTCCACCTCCAGGATGAAGGTCTTCCTCGTCACCTTCTGCGGCCTCTTCTTCACTCTATGCTTCACCGAGCTGCTGGGAGCCGCCGTCATGACTGCCACCGTTACCGACCCCACGTTTTCCGACGCCTACGCCAACTCTGGAATCGGAGGTCTTTTGGCAGCCGTTCTGGTCACCAAGCTGGGTGGCTTCGGTCAGTTCTGCCTCGTCATCCTCGCACTCTCAATCATCGCCAACAACTGCCCCAACATCTACTCCGTCTCCCTCTCTCTTCAGGTCCTGTCCAGAAAGACTGAGCGTATCCCTCGATTCATCTGGGTCTTCGTCGGCACTGGTGTTTATATCGCCATCAGCATTCCGGGCTACGACCACTTCGAGTCCTGGCTCGAGAACTTCATGCTCATCATCGCCTACTGGCTCGCCATCTACGAGGGAGTCAGTCTCACTGACCACGTCGTTTTCCGTCGCGGCATCAGAGGGTACGACATCAACGACTGGGATACGCCGTCGCGCCTGCCCCCTGGATTTGCGGCTATTGTGGCTTTCTTGATGGGCGTCATGGGTGCTGTGCTCGGCATGTCACAAAGCTGGTTCACCGGTCCCATTGGCAAGCTCGCCGGCGGAAGCTTTGGTGGCGACATCGGCTTTGAGCTAGCCTTTTCCTTTGCGTCAGTCTCCTACATGGTGCTGCGTACAGTTGAGAAGAAGTTCTTCAAGAGATAGCCAGCTGAGCGTGCAGCGAGCTGAGTAAGTGAGTGTATGATACGGAGCTGTGGGTTGTATATACTTGAAGTGTAGGCGTATATGGTGTTGGGAGGCGTCCGCAGGACTTTTGAGTTGTGACAACTTTTTGTTTGAAGAAGAACACCCCGGAATTACCTGGGAGATGCATATGACCACTTCATAGTTGGTCTTTGACAGTAAAAGCCTGCTATTGAAATTTCAATAAAACCAATCTACGAATACATTAATAAGAGTGTCGTTGAAGAGGATAGCGTGCCAAGCAATTGCTTCATCTAGTTCCCGGAACTCTAAGTTTAGCTACATAATTGTGGATCAATAGTATCTCCAAGCCCATGTGAAGATGAAATTTGGACGAGCATGCACTTGTGTGTGTTGAATTGATCAGAAATCAAGTTTTTCCCGCTATGTAGTCGAAGCATGATATCTGTCGAATGGAATGGAGCGACGGCGATGCGCGTCATATCATAGCCATCATCACCGCCACCACGCCAGGTTCTACTTGATGGGGATTCTAAGTCGTCGATGGGTTTGCTCATCGTACTCTCTGGCATTCGAAATCAAAGTAGTGAGACTAAAAGCTTGCAGGCCCAAGTAGACGGTTCTTTACCCGACCGTGGTGAAGATTCCCTGATAATAGACCCGGGTAAGTAAGTTAGATTTCTATCTAACTGACTTTTGAAATCACTATATTGAGCTGAGCGCGAGCTTGGGGCATAGTGTGAGCACCGTGTAGTAAATTGTGTACCGTACTGTGTGATTTCCCTCGGAAGCCAAATCCCGTTGAGTTAGATACAGGGACTTGATACTACCGACCGGATCGGACCGTCCAGGAATCGTCTCTTCGGCCCGCGACGCTGCGAAATTTGGTCTTGGGGTCCCGTTCCGCACGTTATTCTCTATGATCTCTATGGAAATGCGGGGGACAACACACTCTTGTCTCAGTTCAGCGTGTGATAACGTTCAGCTCAACGCCAAAGCGAGGGTCGAGACCTATTCCGGCTCAGCCGAAAATACAACTGGGCCGTTGAGTGGATCGTCTCAGCCAGCCCAGAATGTGATGAATATGCATGCATTTCACTCGAGAATGCGGTAGTTCAAGCTATCCGATGGCAATAGGTCAACTGTGGTAAAGCTGAGGTCTAGTTGATGCAAGCAGTCGTCTTGACGACGAGAATTGCCTAATGTTTGCGGCTTCTTCGTGCGGGGGTGTGAGACCTGTCACCTCGCGGGTATGTCTACGGGGTTATGGCAGGTCATATGGGGAGAAAGACACCGAGAGGAAGATGGACATATTGACTAAAGTCTCACGAAGTTGAGCCGACGGTAGTATAAGAACCCACAGCACGTCCCTCTACTGTCGACAATATATCCAACTTATCTCGAAGCAATCTGAACAAGACCACATCCTAAAGAACTTCTCAATTTTCAAAGATCAACCTCCCTCATGTCTCCCAACGAGCCACAGCCCTCGGGCCCCGGAGTCACCGTCGAGGAGTCGACTCGTCCCAGTAATGACTCTTACAAGGCGCAATGGGCACGATACGTCTCCCGACACAAGCTTCAACGCGACCTCCAAGTCGCGTCAAAGAGAATGACAGATATTGCTAATAAAATAAAACCGACCCTCCCCATCTTGAACTCGGTCTCGGCTCTCGCTCAGGTCACAGAGACTGCGACTGGTGGCGGCCTGATTCCGGAGCATCACGGCAAATTCAAGGTTGGCATCGTAGGCGGAGGCGTGGCGGGGCTCTTTACCGCCCTCCTCCTTGATTGGCTCAACAAGGAGCTGGGAAAGCAGAGCGGCGAAGAAGAGTACCTTGACATCGACTACGACATCCTGGAAGCCGCCGGCGAGGAACGTCTCGGCGGTAGGCTGTACACTTATAGGTTCAGTGGCTCCGATGGGGGCGTTCATGACTATTACGATGTTGGGGCGATGCGTTTCCCAGAGAACGATGTCATGGACAGGTTCGTTTCTGACCCTCTCACGCCTCCTACGAATGATTGTTGACTTACTTGCTTCTAGAACCTTCCGACTCTTCAAATATCTTGACATTGATAAGGGGGCTTTGAATGACAGAAAGAAGCCCACTGATCCACCCAAGCTCGTGCCGTATTCTCTTACGGCGAAAAAGCAGCCTATGTACTTCAACGATGTTCGCCAAGTGGGAAATCCATGGGAGCCCTCCAAGCCAACTGCCGCCAATCCGTTTAATCTCAATAACGGAGTGCCAGAGTGTGACCAGATTCCAGCCTAGTCAGTTGTCGTGTCTACCCTTCGCAAGAATTTTTGCTGATAATTCTCTGATCAACAGTCTATTGAGGGAGGCTCCTGGCGATTTGTTCGAAAAGGCTATCGAAAAGTATCTTCATACCGTGCGAAGGGGTCTCGATGACCAGAAGGAAACAACGCCACCAACACCGGAAGAGGAGGAGAAGTTCTTCAACATGCTCATGCTCTCAGATCGGATGAGCGTTCGACAATTCCTTCTTTCGTACGTCGATAATTTCCTATTATGTCTGGTAAAAGAGGCTAACATGTTCCGCAGCAAGGAGAATGCTGGAGACATCCCAGATGGACCAGGCTACAACTATAGCACAGTCCAATGGATTGAGACGGCTACATTGTGAGTTTTCATTCTGCCGTTGCAATATCTAGTCCATGAAGTCAAGAAAGTCTAATACTCGTCCTTCTCAGTGGAACCGGTTGGTATGACCAGTCCCTGACCGAGGCTATCCTGGAGTCTCTCGACTTCAATACGCGGGACAACGAAAGTTGGTGGTGCGTCGACGGGGGCGCCCAAAGAATCGCAGACCAAATGAGGAACAAGATTGCAAAACCTAATGCGATCAAGTTCAACACACAGGTCATGGCAGTCAAGTCTAACGTCCAAGTCAACTCAGTCGTCACTGCGGATATGTCTTTGAAGGTTAAAGACACCAAGACCGACAAACCCAAGGAGGATCCCAAGTACTTTACCGTATTCAACTCGACCACTCTCGGCTCCATGGACCGTATGGACCTCTCCAAGGCAGGCTTGTTTTGGGACACCAAGCAGGCAATTCGTTGTCTCGGATACGGTGCCTCGTGCAAGGTCGGCATGAAGTTCAAGACAGCCTGGTGGCGACAAGCACCTTATAACATCACAGAAGGCGGTCTGGCTCGCACCGATCTCCCGCTCCAGGTGTGCGTCTACCCTTCGTACAACGTCGACGACCCGAATACCGAGCCCAACGTCCTCCTAGTATCCTACACTTGGGGACAAACAGCACAGCGCATCGCAAGCCTGATTCCATGTCGTAACGATCCCGCGGCCCAGGTGGAGCTTCGAAATGTGCTTATCCACGATCTGACCCTCCTCCATGCTGATCCTAGCAAGGAGGATTCTTACAATGCGACGCGGAAAACCATCTCCGAAAACCTCTCCGAGACGCACGGCTACGACTGGTACCGCGACCCATTGATGGCGGGCGCCTTTGCCTTCTTCGGGCCATGCCAATTCTGGGATCTGTACCCGGCAATCACGAAGCCCAACTCGTTCGGCCAGCTGTACTTCATCGGAGAGGCTGCCTCGGCCCACCACGCCTGGGTCGTCGGGGCCCTGGAGAGCGTCGTGCGCGCTGTCTGGCTCATGTTTGACTGTCTACACCAGGGCAGCAAGAAGGACACGAGACCGGGCCACAAGGGCTTCGCGGCGTACGAAAAGGCTATGAAGCTGTTGGAGGGGGACGGTCCCGAGAAGCTCCCCTTTTACCCTCTGCCTGCGGAACTGCCCAAGCGTTGCACAGACAGGCAGGAGACGCCGACTGAGGACTTGATTGACCACCCCAAGCTTGATCACCAGAAAGAGGTCCCGATCATGTATGGCGCCGCTCTTGTTGCTCTGAGCCTGGTTGAGTCGACGTTGAATGAGTGGGCGAAGCCTGATGTCAAAGTCAAGTTCTGAAAAGCTTGAATCGTTAGCCAAGTACAAGAAGTAATAATTCAGTTTATCAAAGCTCTTGCATAAATTTTCGGAAATAGGGAACTTTACACGGCCGAGTGAGCCTTCGGTTGAAGCGTAGAGTATGGAAATCTTGAATAACTCAATCGATCAACTGGAAGAAAGGTGATCAAGGAACATGGAAAGAGCTTCTTCTTCTTCTTCTTCAGCTATGGTGGAAAGATTCTGGGCTTCAATGAACAACAACCACAACCAAACGGCCCATTGCTGCAACGTAAGCCCCGAAACATACCCGTCTACTTGCAACTTCTCATGAGGAATTATCAAATCTTGACCTTGCCATTTTTTGCTGCGCATCGAGGCCAAGATATTGTGGGACGTGGCGGGGTTAAAACGAGGGGTGTGGGTGAAGTCGGTTTCTATACGAAAAATATCGGAAAATGTTGCAGGGTGCCACTTAGCTAAAAGTTTAGGGACACTGATTCAAAATGGCTCATCGGTACTACTGTAGTATGGGTCTCGAGAATGATTCCTATCATGAAGGGGAGATTAAAGAAACCCCGAAAGCCACAAAGGGAGTGAAAAGGCTCTTTCGGTTTTGGTCATTGGGACCAGCAGGATGCTGATGCCTCTCGGATTTCGGTCTTGTTTTGACTGTAGACCAGACTGAAGCGTCGAAGAGACCAAACGTATCACGAACACAGTTAGAGCAAGGACATTAGTAGAAGACAACCCAGACCCTGGAGCGCTTGTACCCCATCTTATTCAGACGCGTCTGCTTGGAGGCTTTGAGAGGCTGTGTGGAAGCACCACGGGATCTCCCTGCCGACATTTTGACTGCCACCCCATGTCCACCGGGCTGTCTACGTAGTCGGATTCTATCCGAGCTGATCCGGGATTTAATACAAATCACATCGTATGCCACTTTGAGATCCAACTCACTTAGCTATCGAGTCAAGAACCGCCCAATTTCCTCAATAATGACCGACCAACCCGAGTAGTCCGAGGCCAACGAGGTCACTGAGACGGCAAGGAACACGAAGGGGCGCCGTACTGCGCACAAGAAATCTCGACGGGGTTGCATGCAGTGTAAGAAGCGCAAGGTCAAGTGCGATGAATCACGACCGGTTTGCTTCAACTGCCTCCGGAGAGACGATGTCGACTGCAGCTTCCGGCGTCAGATTGACTCGGCCGGTGGTGATGGCACACGGACAGAAGATGCGCCATCACCATTGACCAAGAAGATCCATTCTTGTTCGACCTCAGCGCCCTTGCGCGTATTGGCGATGGTCGGTCCGAGTACGTGGCGAGGCAGATCGCCGTCGCGCTTAGGACACAAGCGGCGACACTCGCTCAAATCAATACAGGGCTCTCATCCTTGGAAACGAGCCTCCAGAATGTCTCGAACAACAACAGCCTGGCACCTTTGCAGCCGGACCATCATGCCGAGCTCGCTCTCCGTCACCATTGGTGCACGGTCACGGCACCATGTCTGTCGTGGAGTGATGCCGAGGCCCAACTCTGGCAAGTCCGCTTACCACAACTCGGTTTTCAACACGCCCACGTCCTTCATCTCTTGCTGTCGCTAACAGCCTTGCACGAGGCTTATCTCGGAGCCCCTGAACGCCGCGAATCGTTGCTGACGATAGCCCAGTCCTATCTTGTCTCCGGCACGCGCGGGGCGTCCTCCCTGATTCTCGGCCTCTCTGACGAGACGTTCGAGGTCATCTACACGTCGGCAGTCTTGATCGGCCTCAACGCCCTCGCCGAAGGTCCACAGCCTGGAGATTACGCAGCCTTCAGCGACGATGGACGACCGAAGTTTCTAGCACTCTTGCGTGGTCTCCAGACGGTCAAGTCCGGCCAGTTCTGCACCGACCACTCCACGACCAAACTGACAGGCAGAGCTCTATGGAGCAAATCACCCAGCGCTCGCACGACGCCGTCACTAGCCCCACGCGGTGGACAGTCTTCTCAAGTCACGACTGTTTCCTATGAAGAGCACCTGCGTGCTCTACGCCAGGCCCTGAATGTCTGGGACCCACCCAACTTGATGTACAAGTTTGCGTGCCGCATGGCTCTGGACGACCTTGAGCCCTTTCTGGTTGCGTGTTTTGATGACATACAGAAAACGGACCACGAGATGCGGGAGCGTGCGAAAAAGGCACACATTCAGTTCCCTTTTGGCTGGCTGTATCGTGCTCCGCAGGCGTTTACGCAGTGTCTGGAGGAGAGACTGGCCATCCCGCTCTGTATACTGGCTTGCTTTGCTGTTGTATTGAAGCGGACGTCGGACACTTGGCCCGTGGAGGGTTGGCCGGAACATATGATGAGCGGCATTCATAAATGGGTTCCAAGGGAATATGCATATTTACTACTTTGGCCAATGGAGGCATGAGAGAGAATAGAACCCCCAAGTTGACTATTCTGATCCCATTGAAACAGACCATCGATAGTGTCCTCGTCGTGCCAAGCTCTCTTGTGGACTTTACTCGGCTATGTGATGCATCATCTTAGACTTATCTTACACTTCCAGCCTCGGAGTAGTGCTCTGCCGTTGTTCAGGATTCTGCATGTTCAGCTCAGGGGCCCCCCTTAATGATGACGACTTTACCAGAAGGCCATTGACCCCTCATGCTCGAAGTAGCGGCCATTATGCGAGCGGCATAGACCCTGTCTCTGCTATATTGACTGAAGTATCTTGACAAGTCAAACCCCGAGCGGAACGAGGGTTTATCGGATTATTCTGTGGAGCCGGAGACTGTAGCGTGTTTGCAAGCTCGAGGAGGACGGTAGGCCCGGCGCTACCTTCCGCATCGTCGACTTCAACCTCGTGATGGACACAACTTTCGCATAGCACGAGGCTGACATTTGCTCTCTCCGTAGAGTCGATCGCGAATCTAAACCACCCTCCTCGCGTGGATCCCTTGACAATTCACACTTAGAAATCCAATCATGCCGAAGACCGGGGCAGCGAAAAAAATCGACTCAAGAAGCTCCTTGGGACAAGCATGATGGAAATGAACTCCAAGAAGTGGAGATATTGTTGAGGTCCAAGAACATATATCAACGACGTCTCTCTGCTACTTCCAAGTTCAGATCTCACTCAGAACTAAAAGCATTTACACTCATTCGCTACTACCAACTTCATCCACGGAAGCTACCATGCGCTGCCGGATCCCTCTTTACCTGGCAGCAGCCGCCTGCGCATTTGCCGCTGAACAGCCGTGTAAATGCGTGAGTCCCAAAGAGCCCCTCAATGTTCCCGTCTTCCGAATTTCTTCTTTCTCTCCCGTGGCTGACGGCATTTAAATTTCTCCCTAGATCCCCGGAGACTCTTGCTGGCCAACCGAAGACCAATGGATCACCCTCAACGAGACCATCTCCGGAAAGCTCATCAAAGCGGTTCCTCCCGGAGCCGTCTGCTACCCATCCCGCGCCGAGTTCGATCCCGTCGCCTGCGATGCCCTCTTGAAGCGTTGGCCTTCCTCAAGCTTCCACTCGTCCCATCCTTTCAGCATCCAGGGGCCGCTCCGAGCTAATGACAGCTGCTACCCGATTTTCCCCAACGGAACGAGCATCACTGGTGACGTTTTGGCTGGCTCAAAAGGATGCTCTCAGGGCTCTTTCCCTCTCTATGTCGTCAATGCTACTGAGGCGTCGCACGTCGCTGAGGCTGTCAAGTTTGCTCAGGGGCACAACATGCGCCTAGTTGTCAAGAATACGGGCCATGCTGGGTCTGAGAAGTAAGTCAATATCTCACATGGAGAACGCCTTCCCGATCAAACGTTATCGTGGACATGAACTTACAATCAATGGCAGGAACACCGCTCATAACAGCTTGTCGTATGTGACCCTGACGTGATGTGTTCGGACCGAGTTCATACTTACAAAGTTTCGTCAGTGTTTGGACTCACAATTTCAAAAACATCACGTTCCACAAGCAATTCCGGCCCCAGGGCGGCGACATCTCCAACTCGTCTCTCGATATGGCCGTCACGATAGGCGCCGGCGTACAGGCCGGCGAGCTCCATGCAGCAAATGCCAAGAACAACGTAATGGCCGTCAGCGGCACAAATCTGGTGAGTAACAATTCCCATCCTCTCTGCCCAATCCTCGTCCCCTTGATTCAAGCCAACTCATGATAACCTCCAACGGTCAGGACGTCGGCATCGCAGGATGGTCCGCAGGCGGCGGCCACGGCTACAACACGGGCGAGTACGGCATGGGCGCCGACAATATCCTCCAGGCCACTGTCGTCGCGCCCTCCGGCGATGTCCTTACCGCAAACGCCCACGTCAACCAGGACCTCTTCTGGGCTCTCCGCGGCGGCGGCGGCAGCACGTACGGTATCCTCACCAGCATGACGGTCAGGGTCTATCCTTCACTGCGCGCCACCCTCTGGACCTTTGATCTTTCCTCTCAGAATGTGACCACGGCACGGGAGTGGTGGCGCACCATTGCTGCATTCTACGGCCGTCTTCCGCAGGCTCACGAGCGCGGCGCCCAGGGGTATTACTCCGTCATAGGACCGCCGTCTTCCGCCGGTCTCGCGCTACACGGTGTTCTGTTTGGGTGGGACATGGCCAACGGTACCATGAGAGACATCGTTGCGCCCCTTCAAGAACTCTTGGACCAGTCGTTAACGGCACATATCCAGACCACGACGTCCTTTACCGAGTTCCCTTCCTTCTTTCAGATGATGCAGGCCCTTCCCTCGTCGGACCACGCCGGCACAACCCGAAGCCAGATTGTGTCTCGGCTGTTGTCGCGCCAGGTCCTGACTGACAAACAAGACGAGCTGGCAAAGACGCTCGAAATTATTGGCCCGAGCATGGAGGCTCCCAAAGCAAGCCAACGCTGATCCGTATCTCAACTGAGAGTACTATTGAGGGCTCTGTAAGACTGACTGGCTTCGTAGGATGGATTCCCCAACATTGCCATGTCAGGAACATTAACAGCAAGTTGGAAACCGGTGAACAACTCCCTGAACCCCGTCTGGCGCGATACAGCCCTACACCTCGTAGCAACGCAGGGCTGGGACGCCTCGAACGCCACTGAGACCATCGATGCCGCCGTCGACCGTCTCATGTACACCTCCCTCGAGGCCCTTCGCGAATTGGACCCCACGTCTGGAGCATACCTCAACGAGATGAGCTACTTCCTCTGAACCCACTGCTGGCATATAACACAAGCTCCGCCCTTGCTCACAAAGATCGCAGGCCAGTACGTTCGAGCCAAGATGGCAAACATCCTTCTTCGGCGTCAACTACCCCCTTCTCCGCTCCATCAAGGCCCGCTACGATCCCAACGATTTGCTCTGGTGCCCTACCTGCGCCGGTAGCGAGGGCTGGGTTCAGCAGGAGGACGGGACCCTGTGCAGAGCTTTCCGGCCGCTGTAAGATCTGGATAAAGCACAGGAGCTGAATGGTTCTATCGTTTGTGTCTTCTTGAGCTTCGGCGGTTGATTTCCGTTGGAACCCAGGGCGGGTTGGGGCGTGGTGCAAAGCTTATAAAGGCGATACATCGAGGTGGAACAGGAAACCAAACCGCAGGAAGGCTTTGTTATTATTCTCTTCTCTGTTACAACAAAGCAGCAAACGCCGTATAGCGTAAGCAATGCTACTTATCTCTTGTGGTCTTGTTACCTGCGATCGCTCCTGGCTAGGCTTGAAAAGGGGGGAGGGGGGCTGAGGAGTGGCAGTCAAGTCTTCAACAGTCGGTGTTCTGGCAATAGGTCTAGGGGGTTGGAACCAGATGCAAAGTCCGATTGGCAACAAGACGGTGAAGTGCCAAGATTTCTGAATTCAGGCGCATCTTGTCTTGAAGTAGGTATCAGGCCGGGCTGGCGTCCATGCCGTTTAATCACGATCTAGGCAAGCTGGAGAAGCATATTGGGAGAGCCATAATCTATGCAAGTACGTATATTCGGTGGATAATGCATTTGCCCTGGTAAGACGTTTTTAAGCATCCCGTCCGCGGCATGAGATATGTATGCTTCGTACTCCTGAATACGCCTGTAAAAAATGTAGACCCAGGGAAGATGCCGCCGTCACCCATAACCAAGCTCCGTATGACTTGAGGAGCTCGTTCAACTACATGCCTTCTTTGAATGCAAAATGCGACCTCAATTACCTCCCCACCCATCCCATCTCATCCATCATAGCATGCTTTGTAACCGCAGAGTAGCGCTCAGTTGATGTTCGTCCGCGCTGCCGTCACCTTACTCGGTGCGCGTCATGATTGCTGTTGTTGTCAAGACTCCTCGTCGGATGAACGAAATCGAGCTGGAAGTTTCCTCTGCCTAGAACCACGTTTGAGACCAACAATGTCGTCATCGTCGTCATCATCATCATCGGAGTCTGAACCAACGCCAGGCATCTTAAAGCTGGACTCGCTGTCATTCACCTCCAAAGGTCCCAAAACCCTCTTCTGCATCCGCCTCCTTCGGGATGATGGGGTAAGAGTGAGAGGCTCTTCGTCCGAGTCCACGACAGCATCCGACTCGGTAGGCAAACGACGCGCTCTTGATACCGATGTGCGACCACCCCGAGATGCCCCACGAGCTGTGATCGAATTCCCCTCAGCCCTCCGTCGACCTCTAGATCGCGAAGGAGTCGCGTCGATCTCTGCTTCATCTTCGTCAACGTCCATAGGATCCTCAACGGATTGAGTGAGAACAGACGTTGTAAACTTGCGTCCCCGAGCAGACCTCGAAGGCTGGCTCAGGTCAACCGAAATCGTGCCTCCCTCTATTTCAGGGTTCCGAGTGAGAAGCGGACTGGCGCGAATCTCATTTTCCACATGCTCCACCTCTGGCGGCTTTTCCACGGCAGGGCTCGGCGGACGAGGATTTTTCGGCGGGCGTCCGCGCCTCTTCTTCGGGGGCGGCGTATCATTTGCTGGCTTCTCGAGAACTGCTGAAATCTTTGCGTTTGTTTGAGAGTTGCTAATCCCGTGGGAATTGTTAGGACGTGCCCGACCACGCTTACGAGGGGTCGTTCGCGCGGAGCCATCCGCCTCTGAGTCTGACGGCATGATAGAACCCATCGATCTGACGCGTTGGATTCCGCTTCGGCGACGAGATGCGGCCGGTCGCTTCCCCTTGGCTCGCCCTTGGGCATTCTCTTCCGATTCCAATGACGGATTAAAGTCCTCATCCTCATCATCGCTCTTCACAACGCGCTTTCGCTTCCGGCTTGCAGGCGGTGCCACATCGACGTCGGCCAAAGCTTCATAATCGTCTATCGTCACCTGTGGCGCCTCTTTCCGAGCTCCCGTGCGAACGCTTTTCGCAATTTTCGCCGTGGCAAGTTTCTGCGCAGCTGATTTCTGCGTGCCGTCGACTCCCTTTCGGCGTCCGCCCCGGCCACGTTTGACCGGTATTATTCCTTCTTCTGCTCCAGACTCTGCGTCTCCTTCAATGTCGGCCTTCTCCTTGATCATCTTCTTAGTAAGATTAGGGAAGTTTTCGCCGTAGTTGAAGAAAAGCTCCTCGCCAGCCTTGATGTTGCGTGTTGCCGAAAAGCGAATACGGTATTCGCCATTCACGTAGAGAATGCCGGGCTGAACATTGGCATTCTCTACAGCATGGTTGATGTAGCGACTGAGATTGCCGTAGATAGCAGCGTCGACCCAGATGCCTTCGTAGTCTAAGAGACTGAACACATATGATGTGCTCTTCTCTACGGAGAAAGCCTCGCCGCGGCGTGCCTCTCTTCTGACCCCTTCGTCCGCCACGATGAGCTCGCCCGTGTACTCAATTACGAATTCATCCTGTGCGATGTCTTCTGCGGTGAATAAACCGTACCCACAGCCTTCCAATTGACTCTTGCCGAGAACGACAGCTTTGCTGACACCTCGTTGGATGGAGGTATTCTGGCAACCCGTCTGGAAGAGCGCGTCGTCGTGTCGGTTTTCAGGATCGGCCCGCTCAACCGCACCGCACGTTCCGCAAAGGTCTGGGTCACACTCGCGATTTAACTGTACGCAAATGCAAGGACGGCCCTCCTTCTGTTTCTGTAAACACGTTTTGCCGCTGCCATGGCATCCGCAACCTGTGAATTTCCAAGCGCAACACTCCTCTGTGCAGCGGCAGAAGCGCTCACACAAAATGTCGTTCAGTGCACATGGGCAGTCGTTCTCTTTCGAGCAAGGGCCTTCGTGATGGCATGGATCGTTGGATGGGCGGACCTTGGTGTCGTGAGAGTTTGTCTCTGCCTGCCAGTCGCCCAAAAGCATCTTTCTCTTGCGATCGTACCAAGGAAAGTTTTTGGCTCTCGGTGGATCGATCGTCTCAATGGGTGGAAGCCTGATATCTAGAGATTGCAGATGGCGATGAACATCCCGACAGTCTCTGTTGAGAATCTCAGCAGTAGCGCATTGGGCCTTGACCCGGACCTTGTTATGATCCAAGATCGTGAACAAGCTGCGTAGTAAGAGAGTCTCATCTTTGGTCCATGGCTTTCCCTGCGCATTAGCACTGCCGGTACCATGGATCTGGTAGCACTGCCTTTCACACGGCGGGGGAGACTCCAGCGGCTCTACTGCATCACTAGAAGATACCGTGCGATTTGCTGAGAACATACGCCCGTACATGCCGATGCAATCCATGGAGAAATTGCGTTTGTGGTTCTCAATGCTGTAATCTCCATGCTCGCAGGAATTGCTGTAGCATATGAGACAGCCCATGACCGTGTGAGTCTCGATCCATTGCTCCAAAGAGTCCACTTTTTCGCTGTCGTCTTGTCCACCTTTTGCTGTCTTCTTCGATTCGACAATTTCGTCGACGGACTTGTCAAGCTTCAGCACGTCACGGAGGAGAATTTCCTTTCCTTTAGGAGCGTCGTGGTAAAAAACTTGGTCAAACGCCTCGGTGAATACTCGTGCAGCTTTCAAAGCCCTTGGCGTGGTCGCGGCCATGTTGTCGTCGCTGTGTAGGTTGACCAGACTCGTCTTTTGCTGTGGTGTGATAGCATCATCGGAATTAGAGCTTGCCATATGGCGGATCAAGGTAGTTCGATTACAGTTGTCGATGGCGATCTTTCTGAGCCAAGAGTCCAAGAATAGTGATAGCGTCGCGGTCCTTTCCTTTTTGATAGTCCGGGCGACCCGTTGGTCACGGCTGCCGAGAGTCTCGAAACCACAGCTTTTGTCCATTCTCTCCAACTCACCAAGCCAGAGATTGTAGTCTCGCTCCTCGTCAGGGTCGAGATCTCGAATGACGGGCACGAATTTGAGCATTGAGTTGGGAGACAAGACATTCTTGATGATTTCCGTATGATGAAAACGATACCTGGGCACAGCAGGCTTATCGGACTTGACGCACACTGGGAGGTAGTGCGTAGCTCTGAGAGTGTCCACCTTTCTCCCACGAAAATGTTGCTTTGAGGAGGTTAGTCACGTGCATTTTTGAAAACAGTGAAGTCTTCGGGATGCCCGAAGAACAACAATTTGACTCACTTTGGCCCGGATTGTCATGGTGGTACCCGTTTGCTCAGCATCAGCTGGGGCCAGCTTTACATCAGCAAAGTAATCTATGCCGGTCTTGACGCGCGTTTCGACAGGTTTGGTAGACCTGAGAGCGTAGAGACACAGTTGCGAATGCACATTGCTGATATCGGCTGAGTAACCCCGCAGCGAAGTAATGACTTGCCGGACATCAGAGATGTCCTTTTTCGGGGTCTGCTTCTTGGAAACGGCGGCTTGCTTGGGTGACTGATGGCTTGAGGGTCGCGTAGATGACGGCGGCGTCACCTGTTGAGGCGTCTTCAACGGCGCCTCAAGTCGCGGCGGTCGAGGCATCTCGCCGTGTAGACCGTCTTCCAGGTCGATTGAAGAAACCGAAGGTTGAACGGATACTGGTGGTGGCGAAGGATCCAAGACTGAGGCGGCATTGCTGGAAGCGGCGGTTGAGCCGCCGCTCGGATCCGAAAGGCTGTGCGCAAGGCCCAGAGGAAAACCCGGAGGGCCTTGACTCTCAACCTTGGTCCTGCCGAGTGGCGCGCGATCGGCATCCAATTGGTGATGAATGGAGGATCGTGATACGGGACTCGAGTTGAGGGTAAGATCGATGATATCAATCTTTTTCCTAGACTCTTCTTGATCGCGGAATGGAGGCTCTGCCTGAGCGCGGTTCATGTAGTGGGTGGAGGCGGGATCGGTATTGAGTGGGAGAAATCTGGCGTAGTCGATGTAGGGACCTTTTCGCGAAGGATGGTCCCGGTCGGACCCAGCGCGGAAGGGGGACATGTCGAAGGACACCTCAGTGATTAAGGTAGGGCAAGGGCGCAAAGAAAGCGACGGTGGTGGCGCCTTCTTTCCCCGTCTCTGATGGCCTCTGCTACGTCCTCCTCACTTGCGTGCGCGAACACAGACAAAGACACGGTCGCTCACCATGCCCTCTTTCCCCGTTGTCAGCGTAAGCAAAGCCTGTAAACATTGACTATGGGAGTACCATGCTAGGCCGCCGCAATAATGAGCCGCTGATGCAGTCAAGTCAAAACAAAAAGTGGTGAGTGATGATGGCGACGAAAAAGGGGAGTGGCTTTCCACGAAGGTCTCGGAAATGGACTTTGTGAGATGAGGTTGATGATGAGAGAAGATGAGATATTGTGAGACGCGTTGGTGAACTGCGAGGCTAAGCGCGTTCATGAAAGGAAAGAGCTGGAGGGAGAGATTGCAACGCACTAGGCCGAAACTGGGGCGGGGAGCAGGGATTGCACTTCGAGCTGTTCGCAATCCCGGCCCAGATATTGTTTGGCTCCTTCTTTTTCCGTGCGTTGCGGACTGTCACTACAACTCTTTAGAGACTTGTCGACTCCCAAGTATCAGGCTCCAGATGAGAACTTTCTCTTTTGCAATCGATTTTAAGCATTCACTGAGTGAGTTTCAGTCATTGTTTCGATACGTTGCGCCAGACCATGCTATGTTTGTGACCACGCCTCAGGTACTTACCGAGCCGGATAACTAAGAGACTGTAGGTACTTTGTGCCTACAGTCTTCAAGCGTAAAAGATACTTGAGAACCTTAACAACTTACTTAACCACCCTGCCTAATACTGCATTGCTACACGCGGGTTTTGATTGCTTTTTACAACTCATGTATCTTGATTCTTGAACTTGCTTGTTAAGTTTGGACTTCGACACAAGGAGGGAACCGTGCAGTGGACTGACTCTAAAGCCTGCGTGTCAATTTCCGCCTGGGTTGGGTGTCTTGTAAAGCGAAGCGAAACGCAACTACTGCGCAGATAGTTGTCTTCTACAACAGCCTTCCTTGTCTTTACTCCTCCGTATGAGACAGGTAAAACACTCTATCAACGCATCAAACACATAGACGCAAAGAGACTCTATGTTTCCACAACCGAGGCAAGTCGATTCAATCAACTCAAGAAACTAGTGCAAACACGACGAGACAGCACCATGCCATCCTGAGGTAAGTTACTCGGCCGTGCATTGCAGAGTTCAACGTTCAAAGGTGTCAACCCTGGCAATCACGCGATTGACAGCCAAATGTGATATGCTCTCTTCCATACACCCCTCAGTTAATATGTGCACTCAAGCGCAGTTCGACTATTATTTTTTGGTTCAATTCGTCTCGAATTTCTCATAACAAGAAAGACGAAATTACCACTAGAAGAGCGGAACTGAATGAGTTAATCAAGAAACAGATTACTTATTGATTTGTTTGTTTCTCTACACACATGTCCTTTCGGCAGCTGCGCTCGTTAAAGCTTACGACAGTTGATTGTGATAGTTTGACCACGTTGGTACATCTTGTTGTTGAACCGGGTACTGGGCGTTAGGTGGAAGAGATTCTCATTCTCACGACGATGCAAGAGAGCCAACGGTAAATATGTGTTTGACATGTAACGGGGTGTGAAATGCGAAGACTTCTATCAATGCGGTCCTGTGCTCGACACTTTAGGTCAACAATGCCAGGTCAAAAGTTTGCCAATGCCATTATGCCCACCACCAAAGATGTTCCCCCTTTTGTACGATTAAGCTATTATATGAGAGCAATCCACCTCGGTACTCTCATGCATAAAGGCGATAGTGGCCTATATATGTATAAATATACCTAGGAAGCTTATCTCGGGATTTCGGGATTTTGGTGATAGATCTTCAATGGCGTGGCTAGACTTTTGACCAGTGGTTGTAAGATGGTTAAAATGGTACGGATATCGAAGACGATTATTGCTGAGTCATGCTACCAGCTATCATGGACGAGACTAGAGTACGGATCCCCGTACCTCACGTAGTAGTGTAAAACCCCTGGCAACCGGATAGGATTAATCCGGCCATGATGCTACAAAAACAGACGAGATGTGTTTGGAAATTGAAAGAACGGACCAACAGGAGAGGGCGGCGCTAAGGAATGGTTCGCGCAGTCAAAAAGGAATCGATGAAATCATCGCACATTACACGGCCAAGCACAGTTGGTCTAGCCTCCAAATACCTGGAGAAGGCCGTGCCGAACCGGACGGCATTCGGCGCTAGCATCACAAACCTTGGACGACAATGTGATTTGATGAGTCCACTGGCAAGACGGAGAGTTTTGAGGGCAATTTGGTTGTGTCTTGAGGAATGTCTGATGTAGTTTATGTTTATAGCCCGACGGTCTGCTAGGTAAGCACGTAAGGAAGGTACTTGGCTTGGGTATTGAAGCAAGGCTTTGGGCAGTGACGGTGATGGGAACTGAGAGTTGATCGTCCGCCTACGGTCTTTGTACCTTATCCGCGCAAATGCCCAGATGGCAGTCAAAAGGTTAAAAAAGCTAAGATGGACCAACCCATGATCCATCCCAGCCCACCTGCGTGCTGCTCAGTTCAATAGTCCAACCCCCGTCGGGACCTGCAGATGGCCTGGTAATGGGAACAGATAGGCATGGGTTGATGGGGCCCTCTTGCAGCTTGCGTCGAAAGCTGGCTGTCTTCCTCATCCCAACTTCCCAAGTCGGTCCCCTAGAGCCCGGCCGTCCGTTTCATGAACCCACATCGGGCGAAGGGTTCGTAGAGACGGCGCCATCCCGGAGGACGATCATCATGGCTGTGCTTGGGAAATTTCAAATGGGAGATGCCTGGCCATGCCTGGTGGTTGGTCTTTGGTCCCTTTCTCCCTCCCAACCACGGCACGCCGCACGCATTGGATGGATTCCATTGCTCGGTGTCAGGTAACTTAGCAGGGCCTCTTCTGCACTTTTCAGCTAACGTAGGCCGGGCTAGACCGCAAAGAGGGGTGACTTTGGATAGAGCCTTGGGGGTTGTAGCTTTTGACGGCAACATCGGGCTGGATTCAGCTGAAAACCACGCCGTCAATACCTGTCATGTGGGGTACTGCTCTTGTACCCGCGCAGGCCTGCAGGCACCAGGTTAGCTGGGTGACGCTGCGAACAACGCCAAAAAGTCGAGCTAAAGACACTGATGACGTCGTCAGCGCGAAAGAGGCACCGAGGGGGAGGACCATTCAAGGGGGCAATGGGGGGGGAGGGGGGGAGACGGCACACACACACTCCCCGCCAGACCGTCACCTCTCAGCGCCTGTGTACGAAGTACGCGCACCTTGTGTTGTCCGTCCCGTCCAGTCTTCCATGTCTCTCTGTCTCGTCCAGCCCACCTCAAAGTCCCGTCACCTCCGCAACAACCTCCCCTTAGACCACACCACTGGACCCTTTCCGGCGCCTACATATAAACACCCGGCCTCGCTTCATCCCCAGGCCCCCTTTGATCCGACCTCCATTTGATCTCTTCCCACTCATACCCCTAGTCACACCCCGCGATACCCTGCTTCCCAGCGCACCACTGCATTGAAGGTTTACTCTCGTCGATACCTTAAACAGATCGATTGTCTACAACGACTCTATACCGCCGACGCCGTCTTACCATCGCCATCGCTGTCAGTCAACGTCACTTCCGACATCATGCATCGCACATATTCCATGCGCCAGTCGAGGGCGCCCACCGCCTCGCAGATCCAGGTATGCGCCCAACTTAGCAACAATCTTCGATGTATGGCACGATGCTTACTGTAGTTATAGAACCCGCCTCCGCCGCCTTCTTCCACCAAGTCTGGTCGCCTGTTCAAGGGAGGATTTGGTAAGTAGTATTCTCTTCATCATTACGCGGCATTTGCGCCATGTCATTCCTCATCTTGGCCACCCGGAGGCACAATGGGCTAACAAGCGAATTCAGGCCATGCTCTTCGCCACAAGTCAGCCGGTGCCTTTGGCCCAGACCTCGCAAAGAAGCTGTCTCAGCTGGTAAAGATGGAGAAGAACGTCATGCGCAGTCTCGAGCAGGTAGCAAGAGAGCGTATGGAGGTTGCTGTAAGTCGTCCGAAAGTATCATCATCCCGTCATACATCTGCTGACTTCGATTTTCCAGCAACAACTTTCCATTTGGGGCGAGGCTTGCGACGAAGATGTATCCGATGTAACCGACAAGCTTGGAGTTCTGCTCTACGAAATCGGCGAACTCGAGGACCAATACGTCGACCGATATGATCAATACCGTGTCACGATCAAGAGCATTCGTAACATTGAGGCTTCTGTTCAACCCAGCCGAGACCGTAAGCTCCACCCTCTGCTGAACCTGTACAGTATCGGTGCCTAATTAACTTGAACTTAGGCAAGCAAAAGATCACCGACCAGATCGCTCAGCTCAAGTACAAGGAGCCCAATTCCCCCAAGATTGTCGTTCTTGAACAGGAGTTGGTGCGTGCTGAGGCCGAGTCGTTGGTCGCAGAGGCCCAGCTGTCCAACATCACGCGCGAGAAGATTAAGGCTGCCTATACCTATCAGTTCGATGCTCTCAGAGAGCACTGCGAAAAGGTTGCCATCGTCGCCGGCTACGGAAAGCACCTGCTCGAGCTGATTGACGATACTCCCGTCACTCCCGGAGAGACGCGCGCAGCTTATGACGGATATGAGGCTAGCAAGGCCATCATCCAGGATTGCGAGGATGCTTTGACCAACTGGGTCACATCTCAAGCTGCTGTGTCTTCCAAGCTGTCAACTCGCGCACGCACCCTGTCAACACGCCGCAGAAATAACATCAGGGCACGTGCTGAGGGAGGTCACGACCTTTCGGGGCAAGATGTTCCGTTGAACGACGACTCGTCGTGGACGCGGGCCCATAACAAGGAAACCGAGTACAGCGACGAGGACGAAGAGGATGACATCCACCACTCTGTCGTTGGTACTGATGACGGCCTCGGCGGTGAGACGAGAGGCCGCCAACACGAAAGCATTGCCGCATAAGATGATGACTGGATGTCCCTGACCTTAGGTCAATCCTCCCGCTGTTGGTATTGGACAGCATTGAGCACACAGCTCGTAATGGCAGTAATGTTCGGGTTTTGGCAAAAGCCAAGGAAAGCGTTTAGTACAGGTGTTTAGGAATCGGTGCCTCGGTAATCTAGTCGAGGTCGACTTGCTATGGTGAAATAGGATGGAATTTTATGGTTTAGAATAATGCCTTATTTTCAGCTCTTAATGTCCAGTCTTTTATAACCAGACGATGAACAACACCGTGCTCGTCGCTTGATGCTTGATAATATGTGTATGTCTCCATGCTACCAGTCTTTAACGCTTCAGAATTCCTTTACCACCTGTTCCAGTCGCGCAAACAGTCAACTAGCTTCGAGACCTACACGACAACATCGGCGTATGGATTCCGGCCCCCGATCTGACTCGCGAATTCTTCCACTTCAATCTTCACAATGTACTGCCCAGGCACCACGACCAAGCCCAGGTACCTGGATGTCATGTCCATCGTGACCGAGGCGGTTCCTTCTGTAGCCTTCTTGGCGGCTTCGGCCCGCTGCTGCGCTGATGGCTGGCGGTATTCGTAGGTGTGTGCTAGAACGACATTGCGATCCTATCAATCCGACCGATGTCGGCAGTCGTTAGCGAAACGATCACGACGAGGGGAGCCCATAGGAGGGGGGTTAGGGTTGGAGGGGTGGTAATTTACCGGATCGGTGCACTTGAACTGGCCAAGGAACATGCGACCATCAGTGGCTAGAACGCGCAGGTGTTTGTTGAGAAGCGAAGTCAGGAAGTTTCTTCCCTCCTCTTTGTCCATGGCGACTGGTTGACGGCAATGTTGGACATTGCTTTCCAGGCGTCGGGGAGAAGTGAAGGTTCTCTGCAAGGATGGGATGGCGCATAAACGGCTCTGTTACGAACAGTCCCTTTGGCGGCGATTGCTAGCGGATGAGGTTCGTGCCCCGCCGCTCACATTTGTGCCCAATCGATAAGCCTCGATAACGACGCCTCGGGTGGATGCAAGCGCGTCATGACCTTTAGCTCCCATGTCAAATGGCTTACAGGCAGCTGCGGCCGCCCTCATTCTTCACAGACTCATATCTTCATTCACATTTCACGATCGCCACACTGATATCTGTGCTATTTCGATTGTATCAGGACGTAGTGCCCACCTTCTACAATGCGATATACATTCGGTAGATGATGAGAGCGCTTCTCGCAGCACCAGATACCCTCCTAAGCCGACCCCTCCGTGAACTCCGAACCAACGCTGTCGGCTCTGCCCTCCCGTCGACACCATGGGTGTGAACGGCCTCTGGACCGTCGTGCAGCCCTGCGCGCGCCCGACGAACCTCGCGACCCTCAATCGAAAGCGTCTCGCCGTCGATGCGTCCATCTGGATATACCAATTCCTAAAGGCAGTGCGTGACAAGGAAGGCAATGCCCTGCGCAACTCGCACGTTGTCGGCTTCTTTCGCCGCATCTGCAAGCTGCTATGGTTCGGCATCAAGCCCGTCTTCGTCTTTGACGGCGGCGCTCCCGTGCTCAAGCGCCAGACGATCCAGGGCCGCAGGCAGCGGCGCGAGGGTCGGAGGGAGGATGCCGTCCGCACGGCTGGGAAACTGCTGGCTGTGCAGATGCAGCGAATTGCCGAGGAGGAGCAAGATAAGAGGAAGCGCGATGCGGATAGAGGCATTCAACGGGAGCGAGAGGAACCACAGGAGGATATACCCGATATGGAACAGATTGTCTACGTTGACGAGGTTGGCATGTCGCAGCAAGAACGTCAAAAGACGAGGAAGTTTTTCAAGCAGGATGCATATCACTTGCCCGAGATGGATGGTGATATCGCATCCATGGCCAAGGCGGATGATCCTAGAATTATGAGCATTGAAGACTTGGAAGAATATGCCCGACAGTTCCACAACGGCGAAGACATCAACCTCTACGACTTCAGCAAGATCGACTTTGACGGCGAGTTCTTCCAAAGCTTACCTGCGGCTGACAGATACAACATTCTGAATGCGGCAAGACTGCGCAGTCGTTTGAGGATGGGCTTGAGCAAGGAGCAGCTTGACGAGATGTTCCCGAATCGCATGGATTTTTCAAGATTCCAGATCGAGAGAGTTCGCGAAAGAAACAATTTGACACAGCGCCTCATGAAGGAAGCCGGCATGACAGGTCTCGATCTCACTCTGAACGGTGGCGGGAGAATCGCTGGTGAGAAGGACAGGGAGTATATCCTGGTCAAGAACGACGGCGCAGAAGGTGGCTGGGCCTTGGGAGTCGTGAGCAAGGAGAAGGACCTCGGCGAAGCTCACAAGCCCATTGATGTCGATGCCTTGGACTTTCAGTTTCAGGCAAAAGAAAAGGCTGAGGCATCTGAAGAGGAAGACGACTTTGAAGATGTTCCAGTCGAGGGGTTGAACCGGCTGCCCAGGATGCCTTCCAGTGCAGCTGTGCAAGCGTCCCGGCAGGCAGCTCTCCAGAGGCAACAGTTATATGGGAACCGGGGGAGCAGCGAAGTGAATGACTTATTCGAAGAGGAGGAGGAAAGTCTGTTCGTCGATGGTGACTTGCCCGAAGCTCATGTCAGAAGTGCAGCCAGGCAACAAGAAGACGAGCCAATGCACCCAGAAGAAGAAGATGACATCAACCGGGCCATCGCTATGTCACTACAAAACCAGCACGGCGAAGCTGCTGAAAAGTCCGAGGAAGACGAGCAGTTTGAAGACGTGGAGCTTGAGGCACCCGAATGGAAGCAAAAGTCCGTGGAGGCACCCAAGCCGATTGCTGCGAGGAGCGGTCGCATGGTTGCCCACATTGTTAACAACAGGTCCAATGCCGCTGTGCCGAAGAAGCGCGCCAACAGTGTCAGCAGTAGCGACGGAGAGATGGACCTGCAAGCGGCTCTAAAGGCCTCTCGACAGAAGAAACGAGTTCTGCCAAAGCCTGCTGTGCCTAACGTCAAGAACCCTTTCGATGGCCCACTACCATTCCCTAAGCTCGCCTGGGGTCCTTCTCTCTTTTCTATGAAGGCTCACTCAAAGAAGCCCGAAGTAGTAGCTCCAAAGCAGCCGGCGCAAAGTTTACAGGAACCGGCACGCAAAGATGACGATGCCGAACTCGGTGGCGGATTCCTAGCTGAAGGCGCTGAAGAGCAGCCTGCTGGCGATGAAGACGATGAAGGCGGCTTTGAAAGAGGACTAGAAGAAGACCGTCCCAAGCCTTTACCTCCCTGGATGGTGGATAATACCGATATCCGAGAATCGATCAAGCAACAGCGGCAAGTGGAGAGCGAGATCAACACGGAAGATAGAGAGGCTGCGCAGGAGGAGGAACGGAGGTTTGAGCGCCAACGGCAAAACCAGCTCATCGAGATTCAGTCTTCTGATGATGAAGACGACGACATTGAGATTCTTGACGCGCCTCCGCCTCCGAAGCATGCTGCTTCCCAGGAAGAAATAACTTTCCTCAACGAAACCAGTGCCATCGATGCCGCCACAAGCGCTGAGGTCGAGTCTGACAAGGGAGATGAAGCGACGGCTGCACTGTCAGAAAAGGCAGACGCAACGTCACGCAAGTCGCCGCAGTCTCCTGAAGTCGAATTTGAAGACGTTCAGCCTGGAGAAGTCGACGAAGACATGGAGGTCACTGTCACAGCAGCCCCTGACTCCCCGGAGCCAGACATGGAAGATGTCGCTGAGCCACAACGTCCCGATTCCCCTCCGGACCCAATAATGGAAGATGTCACTATGAGCGCAGATGAGCCGAAGCCCGCCGAAGAAGAAGAAGAACACGAGCTTACGTTTGAGGAGCTCATGGACGGCCCCACGCTCGACGATCCCAACACGGCCGGCGACGCGGTGCAAGACGCCGAAGCCGCCGATTTTGCCGAAAGCGACGATGAGTTCAGTGATCCGGAAGACGAGGAGCTCTTTGCCAACCTGGCGCAGGAAGCTGAGGAGCACGCCCGCTTCGCCAGCGAGCTTAACAACAAGTCGGAGCAAGAGAACAAGGAAGCCTACGAGAAGGAGCTCAAGGCGCTGCGTACGCAGCAGAAGAAGGACCGTCGCGACGCCGACGAGGTCACGCAGGTCATGGTCACCGAGTGCCAGGCTCTCCTTCGCCTGTTTGGTATCCCTTACATCACCGCGCCGATGGAGGCGGAAGCGCAGTGTGCGGAGCTGGTGCGTCTGGGTCTGGTAGACGGCATCGTCACGGACGACTCGGATTGCTTCCTCTTTGGCGGCACGCGCATCTACAAGAACATGTTCAACAGCAATAAGTTTGTCGAGTGCTACCTCGGCTCGGATCTCGAAAAGGAGCTATCGCTCTCGCGCGACCAGCTCATCGCTATTGCCCAGCTCCTGGGATCCGATTACACCGAGGGCCTACCCGGCGTCGGTCCCGTCACGGCCGTGGAGATCCTCTCCGAGTTCCCCGGCAAGGAGGGCCTCGCACAGTTCAAGGAGTGGTGGGCGGACGTGCAGCTGAATAACCGGCCCAGGGAGGCAGACGTGGGGTCGCCTTTCCGCCGCAAGTTCCGCAAGTCGCAGGGCACGAAGCTGTTCTTGCCGGCGGGGTTCCCCAACCCGGCCGTCACGGACGCCTACGTCCGACCAGAGGTCGACGACAGCCCGGAGCACTTCCAGTGGGGCGTTCCGGACCTCGAGGGTCTGCGGCAGTTCTTGATGGCGACGATTGGGTGGAGCAAGGAGCGCACTGACGAGGTGCTGGTCCCCGTTATCCGGGACATGAATAAGCGCGACATTGAGGGCACGCAGACGAATATCACGCGGTACTTTGAGGGTGCTGTCGGTGTGGGTGCGAGGGATGCGTTTGCGCCTAGGCAAAAGGGCACGACGAGCAAGAGGATGGCTAATGCCGTGAGTCGGTTGAGGGCTAATGCCAACGGGGAGCAGCCGGGTGGCGCGGAACAGGAGGGCGATGCTGCTGCTCCTGCTGCTGCAGCGGCGCCGACTAGAGCTACGGGGAAGAGGAAGGATAGGGCTAGGACGGCGGCTGCTGAGGACGAGGATGAGTTTGTCGATGATGAGAGCGAGGAGCAGGGTGGGCAGGGTGCTCGAAGTGGAAGAGCCCGGCGCGGGAAGAAGGCCAAGGCATCTACGTAGGAATTCTGCTGAATACAGACCACAAAACCTGACTTCCATTCACTTTGTGGTTTGAACGTGACCCCGAGAGCGACTCTTGCTTGGAGCACTTTCCCAATGCGTTTGTGATTCCAAGTACCAAATGTGATGGCCAGCAAGCAGAAGCAACGAGATCGTGTGTATGTGTGCAGAATTTCACTACAAGTCCCAGAGCCAACGGCCTCGAGTCAAAAACCACGAGCGGGCTCCCAAACCCCACCCCTTACGATATCAAAAGTCCGCTGTGGCGATGGGTGGTGCTTGAAATCGCGCAATAAAGCACAAAATCTCTCAGATTTAAGACTTCGAGTGGTGAAATTTTCAGACCTGCATATGAGTGAGTCACAAAGTAGCAAGCGGCATTTGCCCGAAGGAAGAAAGGCGCGTTGACAACTTTGTCCAATGAAGCTCTAGATGACCAGTCTTGCCATTGGATCGAAATACTTTTCTCTCAAGTCTCCGCGGGATGTATCAGCAGGGTTTACCGAGTACTCAGCGCCGAACTTGCTTAGGGCTGAATGGAATTCCATCGCCAAATCCGCTTTTCGAGACATGATTTTCAGGTACGACGTGGTAGTTTAACCTCGTTCTTAGTCTGGCACGTGCCAAGACTACAGTAGATCTGGGGTGGGAGGCCATAAGCGGGATGAACTAAGTTCTCCGAATGCCAATCGGACGGAAGGGATAGACAAAGTCTTTTTTGTGTTTCCACGTGGGGCGGGGTACGGTTGAGACGTTCGGGAGGCGAAGATCTCTCGAGGCAACGAATTTTTGTTGTTCTCACGTGTTGGTTGAGTGTTACGGATACACCGCAGAAATGCCGTGTGCGTGGAGCTGGGCAATGGTACGGATACCACCTCCTCAAGCCCCGGTGGTCCACTGCAAAGGCCTGAACTTTTGCGCCAGTCAAATATCTCGTGAGACGTGGAAGCATGCAAGATGAGCTCTGGCTTCTACTGTAGATGCGAAGAAATTGACTCGTCAACGTCCGAAGAACCTTGGTGATGTGCCGGCATATTCAACGTGGTGCGCCCTGACCCGGCCTGCTGTCTGGACTGCACAGCAGCGCAGAGGATGGTCAGCGACAGTGACCACGCAACGCCGTTGTCGAATAAGCATTCGCCACGGCGAGAATAGAGTACGCAAATGCAGATGAAAGTCCAGGGCAGCCAATGGAAACGGTTCGGGTAGGTGTTTCCGCTAATGCAGGAACAGCGAACGCCAAAGTCGTGGATGGTTGGCGATGATTTTGACTTTTAGTCGTCAACGTCTTCCAGCTTATCGCAGACAGCCTCGCTTCGGATTGCTTTGTTGTTTACTGCCGGCCCGGCTGGTCATTAGTTCTCTTTCTCCGATAACCTCGCATCGTCACCGACGCAGGGGACCTGTCAAGCTGTCCCTCTTTTTGCCTTGCCACAGCAGATTGCACCGAGTCCCACGACTGGACCTGCGGATCAACGACGTCAACGTGGTGATGGAAAGAACCAATGCCGCGAGACCGCCATGTGGCACGACGGGTCGGAAGGGACGGTCGGTGGAGTAGGCAGATGAGCGGTTTTCCCAGGTTTAGGCTTTTTTTGTTTTTTGTTGCCTCGGAAATTTTCCTTTCGTCCCGCGGGATGTTTTGTCCAAGGATTTTTGCTTTTCTGGCTGGCCATCGCGACTGGGGTTGCGACTCAGGCAACTTGAGCAAGCAAGACCGCCCGTCGCAGAGCGGATCTAGAACGGATCAACAGAGCCGGTTCACAGTCGGTGCTAATGAGAAGGAGCATAGGGATCTTCGTCTTCACCCTCGTGGTGCCGGAGGTTGGAACGGGTTGAAGCGCAAAAGTAAGACTAAGAACCACTGGAGGCGAGGCCCAACTCGTCCTTCCGCGGTGTCGCGGCATGGGTTGGACGGCACAGTGGTGTTGGGATGGTGCCTGTTGTTGAAAAGTGCCTGCGCGATTAAACATCGGATGAGATGGACCGCTCTGTGGGTTGAGTGATATCGGACGGGCGTGCTGATTGGGGCGACATCAAGACTCCAGATGTCACTGCTGTTGGGATGAACCCATGGCGAGCGAGGGGTCCCCGTCGGGCTTGAGATGGGGACACACCTTGGAGGACACCGGGCGCACACCACTGCCACCCCCAAACCCCCCGAGAATAGGCGGGGGGCGATGACCCCTGAGGGTAAACTGACTGAAGTCAAATTGAGGAGGGCTCGAGAGCGCTGCAATGGCACCTCTCAGGCTGTCCTTGACGCTGTCCATCTGGTGTGTTGCAATTGCTTACCAGCGAGGGTGGTGTTCAATGTTCAGTAAAAAGCCTGAAAAGGTCTCCGTTTTTGTGAACAGCAGCTGCAGCCTGCAGGTGTTCGGAACAGCTTCTTTGTGCGGATCTGAACTTCTGAAGAATGGCAGAGCGGGTTCCTGGGGAGCCGAAATGATCCCCCAGCCTCGAGCAGCAATGCCGAGGCCGTCACCTGATCCAAGTGTTCTCGAGGCGTGGCAAACCCGGGGGCATAAACCATTCTTCGTATTGCTCCGCTGATCTATCGCGACCGGTCTGGCCCTATTTCTTCTTGGTCTGATATCGTCCGTCTCGTTGCTGTGGGAGTGTCGCCAGTCGGACATAAGATGGCGGCGGCATTGTTGCCCTCGAATGTTGCATCTGCATCATGCCCAAAATTAGAGCCCAGAACGCCGAGGAAGTCTAGCTGGGCGTGCTGGACGGTGGTTGGTTGTCTCTCCCCAAGCCTCATGGAGAAGAGCGAAACGGCCTGGCTTGGCCCTTGGCGTTTACGGTGGCTCTCAGATCACCATGTCCGGGACGGCGTATGGATACACAGTACTCCGTAAGCGCAGGACAACAGTCTGCTCAGCTGCTGCAGCCGCTGGCCGCGGTCAGAATGCAACACGGCGGCACCAACAAGTTGACCAACAGAGGTACGAAGGGAGCCGCGGGCGAAGCTGAGGGAGAAAAGTATCGTTGCTGGGCCTGAGGTGAAATTGAGGTTTAGCTCGGCCCTCCCCTGCCAATAGCTGCAAGGTACGACCCCATGGAGAGCCAAGCCAGTGTTTCATGAAATATCAAGCCCGGATTGGTCCATTCTGTTCTGTTTCCCTTTTTCGCCCAATGATTCAACGGCTTTTTCCTGTTCCTGGACTCCTTCCTCTCCCAGACTCCCAAGGAAGGCACACCCACTCATCCAATTCACTTGCAGTCTGCAGAGAAGGAAGGAAGGAGGGAGGGAGGAAGGATGGAAGGAGGCACTTGCCACGGTGAGGCGTGCAAATATCCAATTCACCTTCAAAAACCAAGGGAAGGAGCGACTGGACCCCCCGGTTGGTTCCTGCCCAGGAGCAGGTCCGCTCCTGCCTTTCTGCTGTGACTGCCCTCTACTGTTCGTGCCTGCCCGTCTGCTATGACCTGCTAGGTGCCCTTCTGCCCTCCACCTTACGGATACCTCAGTATCTGTTGGTATCCACCGGGGCTAAAGTCCACCCAGATTGGATCCTATCCTTCTCCATCCACCCATTAACCTTGTTCCCCAAGATGCGCCTTCTTGCAACTTCCTCGTTTGCTTACGTCGATTTATTAACTCAGTCCTCCCACACTCACCTTATCCCAAGTCTTCTCTTCTTCTCTTTTTCTCCCCCACGATCCAGTGTTAAAGCACAACTTCGACCTCCCGGCTATCGAATAGCATCGACTCTCCTTCCAAGAGACTCATCGTCTCAAGTCATTCCTTATTCACGCACTCAACCCTTGGTCTCACTCGGTCCTTGATTCAGAGACAAGACACGCCACACCGTTGAACAGGGTTCACTGAGTACGCCAACATTCCTACCAAACCCAGTCACACCTCGCAAGTCGAGTCAAAGAACAATCTGGGCCTTATCCATACACCACTGGGACATTCCTACATCACTTTTACCAGCCACTTGCAATTCTCATCGAGGCCGGTCAAATATCCAGAGGAACTCACCAATTTCCTAGCAAATTTCACTTTCTGAACATTCATTCCGAGCATCTTTTCGAGAACGACACTAGAACAACATGAAGTCTTACACGGTCATCATGCTGGCTTCGGCCGCTGTTAGCCAGGCCCTCCAGCAGTGCTCCGGCACGGCCAAGGAAGAGGGTGGTAACTGGTGGTGCGGTGCTGTTGATCAGATCTTGTACTCCAATGTCGGTCATCCTGGCTCTTACAAGGCTGTCAACCATATGGGTGACGATGGTTCTTGCACCTTTGAGGACGTCGCTTTCTCTGGCCCTCTGGCCCCTTTCAACGAGGAGGTAAGGTTGTTTTTTTTTGAGAAGATTCACTCACGTTCGCACAAGTATTCACAACATGCTAGCTTGTTCCCGTCTTCCGTGGTCCCATGAACCTCAAGCAGGTTGCTGTGTACAGCCTGTCTACCAAGGCCAAGCGCTCCCCTCCCGTTTCTCACGTCCACGCTCGTCGGCATGGTCGGCATGGTCACCAGCACCTCCACAAGAAGTCGGTCGAGTCTCCCAAAGAGGAGCCCAAGGAGGAGAAGCGCGGTGAAGACTGGGTCGTTGCGGAAATCGACGGCAAGGTTGTGTCCTGGATCAACAACTACTTCGGCCCTACCCAAGCGGCACCCGCTGCGACTCCAGCTGTCGCTCCTGTTGTTGCTGCGCCCAGCCCAACTCCCACTCCCTCTCAGGCCCCTGCCGCTGCTGCTATTCCTCAGCCTGCCTCTCAGGCTTCGAGCTCCAAGGCTGCCGCCAGCTCCAAGGCTGCTTCAAGCTCTGGCTTTGTCAGCGGTGACTACGATCTTGTCGGTTACTACAACGCTGATAAGGCTATTGCTAACGGCATCGTGTTCCTTGGCAACTACGGTGGCCAGGGCTCTGGCAAGTTTGACAAGTAAGTATCACTTTGAGATGATTATTTATACATGAGTCGCAGTGTACTGACCGAAAACAGCGTCTTTGGTAACTCTTTGTCCTACCTGAATGCCGCTGGTACTGGTGGTGCCGCTTCACCTGAGGTCTTGAACCCGATCACCCTCAAGTCCAACCAGGAGTTCCTGATTGCCAGCGACAAGTCATGCGATGATGGCGGCTGCGGATACTCTCGCCCTGGCTCCGTTGCGTACCGTAAGTAAACTATAGAAACTCATCCTGCCCTTTATTTCACTAACAAATCATAGACGGCTTCAAGGGTGAGGATTCGGTCTGGCTCTTTGAGCTGAGCATGCCTCTCGATGGAACCACTGGTTTCAACGCCGACATGTCCGCCCTTTGGTTCCTCAACGCTCGCATCCCTCGCACTGCTCAGTACAACACTTGCTCCTGCTGGCCTGCCTGCGGTGAGCTTGACGTCCTCGAGGTCCTCGCCACTGGCGACACCAAGTGCAAGTCGACTTTCCACTCCAACGTCCCTGGCGGCTCATCCGACTACTTCGACCGTCCTACTGGCGCGCCCGTCAAGGTCGCCGTTGTCCTGGACGGCGACTCTGGCCAGGTCTCAGTCAAGATGTTGGACTCCAGCGTCGACTTCGCCTCAGGCATCACCCGCTCTCAGGTGGAGAGCTGGCTCTCTGCCGACTCCGTCTCGACCGCAAGCACCGGTGGCAAGAGCAACAAGGTCTCCTTGTTCGCTCTGTCGTCTTAAGTGTTTCCACGATTTTGATTTCTACTTGGATGGGATTCCAACAAGTACATGGTTTGCATATATGGGATTGGGGGTTTGACGACAACTTTTTCTTCTCGCTGGGTTGAGCCCAAGCAAGAATTTTTTTTCTTTCTTTCTTTTCCTTGCATTGGATCTTCGGCATCCGATGATTTGAGACTTCTTTTTTTCGACATGCAAGGGTACTAGTTACCTTCGCCTTTGGGGGCAAGGGGATTGCGAAACGACATTAGACAGATGGCGTCTAAGACGAAGATACCCACCGGCCCCGGAAAAGTGCGCTCTTTTTTTGATGATTTTATGGAAAGGAGGCAAGAGGATTGGTTTTCTCTAGCAAGACAGTTCAGCCGGAGAGTTTTCTTCTCCAACAGGGAGAAGGTACCAATTGATACCAACGTTTTCAAAGTAAACAAGCGTTTCTTCGCCTCTACTCATGCTCGTTGTGACTCGTGATATACTCTCGATGACTAGACATGCCACTTCCCGCTAACGAACGCGGAAGCTTGCTTGAAGGAAGTCACATGCCACAGGGCTAGTCACAGCTGTTTGCAACTTATGAAGAAGTCCAAGCTCTGTGGCTTTCGGCTGAAGACAGCGCACTCGCGCCACAAGCCACAGGTTGTACATTGTTAGGGCAGATGACATTCGCAAAAACAGGCGTGTGTCTGACTTGTCGTTGTGGCGCAAGATCGAAGGGTGTGCGAACAAACATCTGAAGTTTTTCGCAATTGGAAAAGTCGTTGTCGAATACCTATGGTGGTAAATGCGCGAGGTGAAGTGGTCTCGGTCGTTGCAGGAATCTCCGGAACCGGCGAACGAACGGACATCTGAACCGGTTAACCCTCCGTGCGCCTGACAAATGTATTGCAGAAAGCGTATTGCCTAGGCCGCGACTCGCGCTGCCAATTTACAAACTTGTTCTTGGCGAATTGTCAAATTTCTAAACCTTTCTGGCTTGTTCTCGTAAGACTGATTAAGCTTTTCATTACAATGATAGAGTGGGGAATAACCAAGGCGCGCGCTATACTGTACCTACCTACCTCGCGGCTTTTCGCGGTTGGGAGAAAGGATGACTCGCGGATTCTTGGTGGATGTGGACTCATGGGCCCGGCGAACCGCGAAGCTTTGTAAGCTCCCGCGCGAGAGGCCTGGGGGTGGGGGCTTGATCGATCTCACCCCCACCATGTTGTACTACCTACCTACACAGTCGTGACAGTGTAGCAATTATGTACGGAGTATCCTTTGTCCATACGCATACAGACTACAGAATGCTGTAACCTGTAGAGACCTAAACAGAAACTACGCTTAATTATTCGTAGTACGAAACTTTAAACATGGTAAGCATGCACGACTTGCGGGAACACGTACCAGCTGTTTGATTTGTAGTTGCTCAAGGTAACTAATACGCATTCCCTCATATGGACAGGCCAAGCTTTGGCGTGAATTTTGCGCGGGGCTTTAGTATGATAGACTTTCTGTAAATTATGAATTGACTGTATGAGGTACACAATAGCTTCACCGCTTACATACTCATACATACGGTACTATGGTAAGATAGAGAGGGGGAAGAAATCCTACCGATTGTCCAGCGTGAACATGCGCGCGGGAGCGACCAGCCTTGCGCGACCACCACTCTCAGTAGGTACGGGACGACCCTGTGGACGAGACGGAGGTGCATGATGATGAGGGGCTCTCCCGCCGCCCCAGCTTTGCCTAATCCGGTAGCTTATGTCGAGGTGTGTCTACCACTATCAGGCTATGTACATGTCCACGTCCTGAGACATTTGCGGGGGCGGGCAGAGAGGTTCGTGTAGCTGAATTTTGTTATAAAGACCGGACGATCGCTTGTCTTCGTTGACGTTGGTTATTGAAGAAGATCATCAAGCTACAATTACAACAACACATCGACTCTTATTACAGACGCACTTCGATCGCACGATACGCATCGTCTATCAAGGTACTTAGCATTCGGCAAATCCCCAATGGAATTCGCAGCGTGATGCTCATGACGAAGACTCTTAGTCTAACACTTCTGAAGAAACAGACCACCATCGCAACAGGAAACCCCCAAGTTTACACGAAAATGTTCAAGAAGATCATCACCGTGTTTGGCGCCACGGGCGCTCAGGGCGGCAGCGTCGTCAACATCTTCCTCAACGACGCCAAGCTCAGCAAGGACTGGCAGGTCCGCGGCGTCACCCGCGATACCACCAAGGACTCGTCCAAGGCTCTCGCGGCCAAGGGTGTCGAGGTTGTCTCTGTAAGTCTTCTCTACTTTCCCTTCTTCCTCATCTGGAGATTCCGGACATGGTCATAGGGAATTGGCATGCTGACGATTACTGGTGCGTCAAATAGGCCGACCTCGGTGATAAGGCTTCGCTGGCTACGGTCGTCAAGGGCGCTTCGGCCGTGTTCGCCGTGACGAACTACTGGGACAAGCTGGACAAGGAGCTGGAGATCCAGCAAGGCAAGAACATTGCCGACGCGTCTTTGGAGGCTGGTGTCGAGCACTTCATCTTCAGCTCCCTCCTCGACATCAACAAGCGTACGTGCCTACCTGCCTACTCCCGAGAAATACAGAGGCCTGTCACATTGGTGGAGAAAGATCAAGGGGGCTAACATGTCACGCAAACTTAGTGTCCAAGGGCATCCTCCCCGACGTGTACCACTTTGACAGCAAGGCCGCCGTCGAAGAGTACATCCGTACAACCTCCCTCCCCGCAACCTTCTTGCTCCCGGGCTTCTACATGGCCAACCTCCCCGGCGGCATGTTCCGCCAGACGCCCCCCGACAACGCCTGGGGCCTCAACCTCCCCGTGCCGGCCAGCGCGCCCATCCCCCTCTTTGACGCGGCGGCCGACATGGGCAAGTTTGTAAAGGGCATCGTGCTGCACCGCGAAAAGGTTCTCGGCAAGCGGGTGTACGCGGCGACGAGCTACATGACGGCGGGCGAGGCGGTCGAGACGTTCAAGAAGGTGTATCCCGAGGCCGGCAAGACGGCGCGGTTCAACGAGCTCACGCACGAGCAGTTCAAGGGCGCGCTCAAGGGCCAGGGGATGCCGGATTTCGTGGCCGAGGAGATGTTGCAGAACATGAGGCTGCTTAACGAGTTTGGGTACTATGGTGGGGAGAAGCTCGAGGAGTCGCATGCGATTGTCGAGGATAAGTTGACTACGTGGGAGGAGCATGTGAAGAATGCCAAGGCCTTTTCTGGACTGGCGTAGGCTCATCTATGTTCAAGGCTTGTTAGCTTACAATGAACAAAATTGTTGGGATGAATTCATGTCAGTATGTTATTGAGTGACTACAGATCCGAGTGTCATCCTGGGTTTATAAATCTGAGATAATGTAGAAGGGCATGTCTTGTTGCAAGAGTTGAAGCGCGGATCAACTTGGTTCGTTATGAGTTGGCCTGTCAGTGCTAGTAATGTAATGCAACCGCTCTGCAGCTCGATTCGTCGATCATCAAACCCAGCAAAGCGTGAAGTTCGTTCCCCAACAACCAGGGAAACCCCAGATTCCAAGAGTCGTAAACGGTAAAGCTAATGCGAAATGGCGACGGGAGGGAAGACAAATTCCCCCAGGATGCAAGATACCTCGGCCCAAGGACGTGTCTGCGGCACGGCGGCGGCGAAGGACGAAAGGTTGCGAGGGCTGGGCCGCCCAGGTCGGAACTTAACGTGAAAGATACCGAGGCAAGAAGCCACTGGACGCAGATGGAGCGGGACCCGCCCGTCCCCGACCCCATTTTTTGACATTCTGCGCCTCCAACCGCTGACTCTCCCCAAAGACCAAAGTCTCCAGTTTCCTCTCCTCTCCTCATCTCACAGGCTCACTCCACCACCTCATTGCCAACCGCCAAGCACGAGCCTCCGGGGTCACTTGCCCGCCGCTCTGCACTCAGCACTGTGACTGCGTACCCGTCCCCCGTCCGCCGCGGCCCCCATTACTCAAGTGCATTGCGCTGCGAGTCCAACTTGTTTCCGCCATCCCAGCGACCCTCCAGCTTTCTCTTACCCGTGGGCCGTCCCCGACTCTATCTTCCCCTCTCCTCTCTCCAACACGTCGCTGCACGTCGTTCGAATCCTCATTTCCATTACATCGCCGATTGAGGTTGATTGTCAATCCAGTCCGAGGACTTGGCCGGTAAACGCCAGCCTCCGTCGCGCATATCCGGAGCCCTGCCTGCAGTAACCGACAAACCAACACGACTCGAGAAAATCGCCACCGGCTGCGCTCCCGATAGGCGGATTGCGAGATAACGCCGAGCGAGCGACCACCACCACACAGTATCCAAGGAAAACTTCTTCCTCGCGGGAAAAGTAATTATGGCTTCCCCTCCAAAGCCCTGGGAAAGGGCCGGTGCTCCAACAACAGCTGCCTCAAGTGCGTTGAACACCACAAATGGTCCATGACCGTCGCCAGACGTTGAGATTTGCTAACGACCAGTCCAGTCTCACCCATGTCCGCCGCATCTATCGCGACCCCGACACCGGCCACATCCCTCTCCGGTGGTATCCCGCCCGCCGTTCCCGAACGACCTGCCTCCCTCGCCTCCACGGTTGACCAGAACGCTGCCGCTTATAGCAGAGCAGGCTTAGGTGCGGCCGCCAGTCCCTACGGCTCATACGGCGGCGGTGCCTACTCTTCTCCTTACAGCAGCCCATACTCAAGGATGGGTTCCTACGGTGGCTACGGCGGCGGCATGTACGGTGGTGGCATGTACGGCGGCGGTATGGGGATGGGCGGTGGCATGTACGGAGGAGGCATGTACGGCAGCGGTATGGGGATGGGAGGCATGGGAGGACCAAACGATCCGAACAGCCTGACCAACCGGTTCAACAACAGTACTCAGACGACATTCCAGATGTTGGAGGGTGTCGTTGGTGCCTTTGGAGGCTTTGCCCAGATGTTGGAGAGCACATACATGGCCACGCACTCAAGCTTTTTCGGTATGTCAACTGCTTCACATGATGGCCAAGCATGACTAACAAAATCACAGCGATGGTGTCAGTAGCAGAGCAATTCAGCAACCTTAGGGATACCTTGGGCTCGATACTCGGTATCTTCACCTTGATGCGTTGGATCCGCACCCTCATCGCTAAGATCACCGGCCGTCCTCCTCCAGCCGACGCGACGGCGCTCACACCAGCTGCCTTTGCCAAGTTCGAAGGTCGGTCGCCCATCGGCCCCGACGGTGCTCCTCTGGGACCCCCCAAGGCTTCCCGCAAGCCGCTCTTCTTCTTCCTCCTTGCCGCCTTTGGTCTCCCGTACCTGATGCGCAAGATGATTAACACCATGGCTGCATCTGCGGAGGAGGAGGAACGTCGCCGCATGGCTTTGGCTGGCGCTCAACAGCCCTTGGATCCGTCCAAGCTTGACTACTGCCGGCTGCTGTATGACTATGCTCCTCAGGCCGGCAACGCCGTCAAGGACGTCGATATGGAAGTGCGCAAGGGTGACCTCGTCGCCGTCCTCTCCAAGAGTGATCCCATCGGCAACCCTAGCGAGTGGTGGAAGTGCCGTGCTCGTGATGGCCGTACGGGCTACCTGCCGTCGACCTACCTCGAGGTTATCAAGCGACCTGGCCAGCCTCTCGCCGCCATCAAGGGTGCGCCTAGCGATAGCAGCCGAACCAACTCGCTCACCGGTGCCGCTCCGGAAAAGGGACCGGAAACCAAGACGAAGATTGGAGACGTCTCGGCCGAGAGCTTCCAGAAGAGCGTGTTCTACAACTAAACTACATACAAACCACCCGTCAGGAAGGGCGACCTACCTGGCAGGAACGATAAAAACGATAAAGCGGTGTGACGAGCGGAGAGACGGGTTTTTCTTTGTAGGTTTTGTACGATTCAGTACTCGTTTGGGATGTTTGTCAGTCCGGTTAGGACTCAAAAGCTGGGCGTTCAGGTTCATAATCGCGTCCCTTGGTAGTGGGAGCGGATGGAGTGGCCGCTTGGATATCTACTCAATTTGATGTGTGATTACCCAATTCGAAGCCACGAGTAGCGGTAGTGTAAGCGACCAGAATATTGACTACCTTGTTAAACCATTTATGTGACTTTGCATAGTGAAGCAAGAAGAATCGTGAAATCTTGCGGACAGCAAAACGCGACGAGATAAGACATGTGACTTAGCCAGCACCTTTGCGGCTCTATCTGCGAGATCTCGAGCGGGCTCTGGACCGGGTTAGTTCGTCAGACTATCCGCTTTTGCACTCCCATCATTTCATGTCTGGACGTTTCCACGATTGACGTCACATGGGATGACAAACGTCAGAAGCCAGTTCTTCCGGGTTGTACTCCAGACTCGTAGGTATGCCAGGCACACTCCCATCTGTTGACAGCTGACGATGAAGTTGTCTCTGTACATACTTGTATTTGCGGACACCAGAGCCACTCGACGGGCTTAGCTGAAAGCCCGCAAGCCGCAGCATAGGTACTGAAGAAGACCATAGAAAAGCTGCGTGCCTGAGCTCTCCCGTGGCTCTCCGTGGCTACCTCCGAAACCCTTGGAGGGCGGGTGCACGAGCCACCGATGACGTTGTTGACTTACGTCTTTTTTACGGCAGCTCTGGCACACTGCTTGCTGCACTTGCTAGCTGCTCCCAGCCCTGTTCTCCCGCCAAGGTCCCTCTCCCGTCCCGGCTACGTAAGGTTCCTCTCACTGAGTCCCCTTCACTTCAGGTGCTCAGGCAGGCGTCAAAGAGGGTAAAAGGTACTTCTATTCACGTACCTGCCACCTTTACCTACCAGAATTACCGGACCCCATCGTCACCCTCACACCCATCCTACAAAAGGCCAGCTCCGCCCAGCCTGTCAATTGTGCTTCTACAAATCACAGCTCCAGACACCAAAATCTCCCCTCGCCAAGAACGACACCTCTCAACAACACCACCGAAGAAGTCAGTTTGGGCTTCCGAGTGTATTCATCGCACGACACATCTCTCCCTGTATCTACGGAGAGCACACGACCACAATCCTCTTTTCCTAACTAGCTGTTCCGGGAGCTGAAGCTTTCCCCGCACCAGTCAAGATGACTCTCTACTACACTCTCGTACGTCTATTGTCCTCGATCTCAAGCTTCTTTCGCCTTTCGATATTGGCGGAACGTATAGCTCGTCAAGCCGTTGACAACGTGCTGACTTTTCGCGTCCCAGGTGTTTATGCTGCTCATGGCGGAGATGGGGCTTTTCATGCTCCTTCTGGTGCCCCTTCCCTTCGCCGTCAAGCGGAAGTTGTTCACGTACGTTCCTCCCTTCGTCGACCGCCTCTCTGCTGCCGAATCACACCAATACCACCGAACCAGTAACTAACGCATACTCTTCACAGCTTCATCTCCGAGAGTCCAATCGTTGCAAAAGTGCAGTATTGGATGAAGATTACATTTGTCTTCATCCTGATTCTGTTCATTGACAGCGTCAACCGCGTTTACCGCGTGCAGGTCGAGCTGGCGATTGCCACTGAGAACCAGAACAGCGGGTATGTTTCCCTTGCCCCTATCTACGGCGCCCCTGAGACGCTCCCTTGATCCAGCACCAGCACCAGACACTACAAACCCCCTACTGTACACAATGCTAACAAAGTTGTCGTACAGTGCTGCCGTCATGGGCCACGAGCGCCTTGAGGTGCAAGCCCGCAAGTTCTACTCCCAGCGCAACATGTACCTTTGCGGCTTCACCCTCTTCCTCTCCCTCATCCTCAACCGCACCTATGTTATGATCCTCGAGGTGATGCGTCTGGAGGACAAGGTCCGCGGCTACGAGGGCACCAAGGGCAGCGCCAAGGAGAGCGAGAAGCTCGCCGTTGCCGGTGATGCTGGTGAGCTCGCTAAGCTCCGCAAGCAGCTCGAGGAGAAGAACCGCGATCTCGAGACACTCAAGAAGCAGAGCGCCGGTCTCCACAAGAGCTACGACGAGCTCTCTGACCAGTACGCCACCACTCAGCCCAAGGGTGACAAGAAGGCGCAGTAAATCAGCAAAATGGATACAGATATTCGATTCAATGAAATGTGCTTGCACGAACGAAAGCGCCGCCTGACGGCGGCACAAAAAGGGGTTGGTGGACGAGCGACAGAATAGCTCCGGGTCGATGGCCCGTTTCACTGGTGTAGAGGCGTACGTAGGAAGCCTGGATGGCGTTAAGCTATAGCTATAATAAAGCTTCTCCTTTTGACACATCTCATTCCGTATGCTCCTAGACTCATTTACTCTCCCAAAGGCCTTGAGCCGAGTAGGTAGGGAATTTGATTTGCCCCAGCTTGCTAGATCTGACTGGTATCCCGGCACGTCGATTTCGGAGGCATGAGACGATTTCACGATCCTGAGGGTGAAATGATGACCCGGTTGAGAGTACGAATTGCACATGTCGATTTCACTTTATCATGTTACCCCCGTGTTCCTGAAGCGTTATCTCAAGCTGGGTGGGCGCTCTCATCGTTTCGGTATTCACAGCAGTATCAACATAGATCGGCGGAGGTTGGCACGGAACGCTATTCGATAAATGACCTTATTTCCATTGAACATGAAGGATGCCGTGAGGCATTCAAACGTCGCAGCCACTCCGACCACTGCCAGCCCTATAGGTATCTCCCGCGACGCAATGGAAGCAATTGCGGGTTGCTTCTACACTCTCAAGGGGAGCAGTCTGCTATATATCTTCAAGTTCCGCACCAAACACAAAGAAATCACATCCGGGTATCGACTGTCGTCGTAAGCCAGAAAGACGAGCTGATTGCTATGGCTGTCTGAGAGGCCGGCGTTCCATCCTAGGGAAGATCCGTGGAAAGCCGCTCGCTCATCGACGAAGCCTAGAAAGGCTCACATCCCTTGCAAGGGCCTTGGAAGTTGGCCACGGCTCCGATGCAAGCCACATCGGCGAGAAGGTCTACATCAAGTCAGCCATGTTCCCCCATACCACTTTTTTTTAGGAATTCATAGAAGTAACATACTCAGGAAGAGCTCATCAACAGCAGCTCCACAAGCCGGGATCACGGCCGCAAAGGCACCGATGCATGCTATTCCACCCCCTTTTGTCAGTCATGTATTTTTCTTCCAGGGGGGGGTTGGAGAAGAAGGGACTTACACCAGACATCGCAGCCTCTGGCCTCGTGACCTCTCAGCTTGGCAATGGCGTTTGTTGGTATACACGTCAGCAGGGCAACCGTACGGTTGGAACGAAGTGTCAATAATGGTCTATTATTGCTGCGTCCTGAGGTGGAAGGAGGAGGTTGTGGGCAGAGCCCACGGCCTCTCAGAAATGGTATGTAAGGGGTCGTTTGTAAGTGCCCATACCGCCTTCCAGATCCACCTTTTCTGCCGACTGCTCAGAGATCCAACAGCGTTGTTGCAGGCGCCGAGTTTGTTTGAGGTCTCGCACTGGTACTGTCTCTGTCTCTTTGCGAGGCTGTTGTCGGTTACTTCCGAGGGGACGGCGGAGGCCAGGGGGAGGAGGGCGGCGAGGAGGGTCACGGTGTTGATGTTGAACTGCATGGTTGAGATGAGGATTTGAAGATTTTGAGGAAGGGGAGTAGGGAGAAGTGTATGGGTTGCCTGGAATGTGGTAGGAGAAGTGAGCTGGATGATGGAGGGATCTTGGTGAAGAGTTGTATTGATGGTGATGAACAACCTCTTGTATTAATACACCTCGAAGTTAGACACGGATCAGGTTCCTGTTCGGAATCCGAATTCCTTCAAATCCTTCCTGACGAACATCGTATGCGTAACTTCAACAATGAGGACTTGGCAACTTGGCAGTGATCCGATGAACAGGCTCACGAACTCGTGTTCAGACGGTGCCAGTGGGAGAGTTGCGAATTGAGATGAGCTTGTCCAGTTGCTTGGGAAATAGATCATGGGCTCATGAGGCATTCACGGCGGTGTAAGTTGAAACACCTCGGGTATATTGGCTGCTTTTACCCCGACTTACACGAACCGTGGTAGGTTGGAACTTTCCTATTTCGGCAATCGCTCGTGTAGTCCAATCTACAGACACTTGACTTGTCATAAACTTTCCGTAAAGTCCGACTCGACATTAGCTTTTGTCGAGTTGTGCCTAACACAGGTTCCTGGTCAACTCTGGAGTTGTCGCTTGCTAGACGCTCTTGGCGATGGAGTTTTGGGTGAATATCACCCTTTACAAATGGGGTTGATAAGTTGGGTCTAATTAAGGTTATAAGGTGCGGTTGAATGGCACGATGGGAAAGAACCGAGGAGTTGTCCACTAGTTTGATACTATAATTGATTAAAGAAAAGGAAAGACTACAGGTGACTTTTGTTGACTTTGATTGCGCCACGGTTGATCATGGCCTCTTATAGGACCCCAGTCTATGCAGATCAATGGGGATAATGGGGATTTCGGGAAACTTGTCCCCGCTTCTGGCTTTACAATCTCTTCGTACGGAGTAAAGATAAGAGTCGTTGTATAGTGGATTTCGGAATCGCGTGGGATGAAAGGCATGGCGCTTGAAAGTATCGTGAATCATGTTGCTGGTGTTGAGGGCTCGAAAGGGAAGCGGCCGCCCTATTGCGGCCCTGGGTGACGGAGAGTCGGACTTACGAGGCCAAGCATTCTGTTATTGGAATCATGATTCTGAGAGTCTTGGAATCTGGGTAGTTCATCATGCCTTGATGAGAGGAGGAAAGTTGATGCCAAAGAGGAGAAGGGGTGAAGAGATACTATAGCTAATGACTTATATAAGATGCTTGATGATGCCCCTTCCTGGATGAACAGCCATCTCATAGACAATCAATCATCCTCACTTATCCAGTCAATCTTTCTCTCACCAGATCTTCACTCAAATCATCCAAAATCCAACTCTCCTCACAGTCAAGATGAAGTTCAACGTCATCAGCCTCATTTCCGTTGCAGCCTGGTAACCAACATCTCCCTCCGATGATCTTTTCATACATCACAACCATCAATGATGAAAACTAACGACGTAAAACCCAGGGTGCCGCTCGCAGAAAGCCAGTTCTCGTGCCACTGCCAAATGGCCAACAACGGAAACGCCGTCATTGCGGCAATCAGACTCTGTGATGCCGTCGGCGGGACAATTTGCTACAACTCGGCCGGGAACTACAATGTTGTAAGTGATCATCTGTTGCAATCTTCCACATCCACACAACACACATCAAGCAAATCCCGCCTTCTTCCGGCTCTCGCGCTGGCCAATGATGGACAATGCTAACCACGTATGGCAACGGATAGTGCAAGACGGGAATCCAGTGGACCGAGCAGCAGTGCCGAGACACGTTCCAGGGCATCAACCAGCCGGATGAGAGGTTCAGGGCTGTTTGCACTCCTTACAACGGCGGTGGGTGCCCGGCTTGATCTCGTCGTGTCGTGTAGCTATTCTCATATGAATAAGAGGACCGGGGGAAGTTTGGTTCTCCAGAGGGCTTTCTTCGTGGATTGAGTGTGGTCAAGATAGGTTGAGAAGAAGACAATTCGAAGCAATGCTCGAGATGCCCTACTCATAGTATGGGAAGACCGAATAAGTGACGGTCTATAAGATATCTCCAGAGGTCCTGATGAATGGCCCACACAGCTCATCTGAATTCTGCTGCTTGGCAGGTAACATGATGAATGCTAGAGAGAGGAGTGACACCTCAGTGATTTGACTTATTAGAGTATCTTGTACATGATCCCAAGAACCTGTGGAGCCAGTTTTTTTTCATTTTGTCGATGTGCCCACGCTGGCATGGTCCCGAAATCTGTGGAAATTCCGACACCTCGCGTCTTCGCACCACGTTACATCCTTGAACTCAATATCTTCGACTAGATTGTGAGACGCGGGGTCCAAAGCCTGGTACCATTGCGAATCGTAAGGCTCCAACGCCCTGGCATTAGACGAGCGTAGCTCTATCTTGCGCCTGTGGGATAAGATGATGCAGCCATCGTGTTTGGTACAGCGCGAGAACTCGGTATGTATGTATGTATGCTGTGCTGTCTCCTGACCAACGACACTCTCTATGATAATCTGCAATAAGTACTCGTAGTCACCTCTCTATCTTGACCTAATGGGAGAACTTACGAGGGCACTCGTTTGCAAACGGGTTCCAGCTGAACGGGCCAGCAACACACTCATTCTGGATTCTACCCCTCTTATTCTCGTCGACTACGCAGATGCAACGAAACGGCTTGAAGCATGCCATGGCATCGATTTGACGAGGACCTTCCTCTGGTAACCATAGGCAGGGTGCCTGCCTCCGCTGCGCCTCTAGGACTTGCCGAAGATCGCTGGCAAGTAACAAGGACCCCGGTTGTTCTCTTAGCTTGAATGCGGAAATCTTTACGTGGGCCCTCTTGTCGAGACCAATGACACTGGCCCAGGACGCGTAGTTATTTTCATGCTCGAATGTTGCCTTGACTTCATTGGGTGTCCCTATTACGGCTGGACTGTTCGAACTTCCTAGATGGTCTGGATGGTTGCATGTGATGCTCGTGTCCGCATTGGTTGTCGAAGAAATATGCACAAACTCGTCCCAGCCAAATGTCCTATGCTCGCAGAGTCTGATGTGTCCCTCTCGACCTATGCAGATTCTTTGTTGGGCTCCTCGAGTCGTTGCTTTGCTGAAAAGAGGGAAGAGGGAAGATGGATGGTCTCGACGGCAACTTGAGCAGTATAATGGTGAGATTCCCGCTCTATACTTCTGACTAGAACGCTTGCTATTATCTTTGCAAGGTCTGCAGAATGGTCCCGATGTGTTATTTGCGCGCAATATCTCTCTTCTCGTTGGGTTACGAGATGTAGCTGCACTCGAGTGGCGGGTGTTGACATCACCGAGTCGCCAAGATGAAATTTTCGGGTTATCCGGGACTCCCGTATGGTCACAAACGGCCTCTTCTTCACCCACACTATTTTCTGGGTCTTGGGAATCCCCGTCATCGACAGTGACGCTACTTACAAGATGATCGGGGGTAGATTCGCCGTAGTCTTCAACTATCGAAGACTCGCTCCCTTGATAACTATCGTCACGTGAGTTTTCTTCGGTCTCCTCGAGAATAACGGGGGTGTACGTGGATTGAAAGAGGCGTTGCAAATGGCCCAGAAAAAAACCTAGGGGGCAGGGTAGCCTAGGAGGCGCGTCGTCTGTCATCTTGGAGATTACATGCAGTGTTGAAGCAGTAGATGTCTGCGTTAGTAGGCGGTTACTTCGAGACAAGCAGAATCCACTTATATATATACACGGACCAGAAAGGTTGCCCAAAAGGTCTTTATACGCATGGAACCAGAGTCGCTGCGTAGATTTAACTTTCCCAACTCTGTGGGGCCTGACACCACATGTAAGGAGGAAGATCCAAGTCGATGTGATATAGTTAAGTACATCAAGCTTTAGACTTCCACTGTTGTCCTTGGCAGTATGTGTTTATAGTCATGTATTTGTTTGGTTTATAGTCATGTCTTCACGATAGAATATGTCCGTAGGGTCCTGAATTACCATCTTCTTCAAAAATCAAAATAATTTGCTTAGATGTACAAAACATCTATAATAGGAAGTAAGCTCTAAGAGGTAAGAGAAGATATTCCAAAAAACCCTTCGAATAATTTCCAAGGGCTTATTGAAAAGAGGAAGTTACCCAGACGTTGAAGCATCAAGCTTTCTTTCATATTGAAAGTGAAGTGAAGCTAGAGTCATAGCAAAGGTAAGGAAGGACTCATACGAATAACAGATCAGGCTGTTATCGTTAGAAAAGAGCTAGAGACCTTCAATACCAAGTCCCTTAGATTAGGAAAGTAATATCGATAACTCGTCCGCCGGAAGGTACACATCGGGAAGCAAGAGCTGGGTGATATTGTCTCCTTCCCAAGCCAGCCAAACTTCACCAGGCTCACGGCCACCCAATTCCGGACTTAACTTATCCTTTTCATCACCCTCGTGCCTTCCCAGAACATACACCGCATAAGAAGGACCAAGAATTCAAACGGAGCCCGCGCTGCCACCTCCTTCGATTTCAGAGGCCCATTTCGACTTTGCTTCATCAAGCAGCTTTAAAAGGAATCCCAACTTTACAAACGAAAAAAACTCCCTCTCGAAGCCGACTGCATACCACACAATGGAACAGAATCAAGCAGCCGAGACCACACCTACTAGACCTCGTCGCATCCGCCTGCACCACCCGTACGTCTCCTCACAAAAAGAGAAAGAAAAAAAAAACATCTCAGACCCAATAGACAAAAAAGAACAAATACTAACTTTTAACCAAAAATCTCAACAGAGGCCGCTTCCGAAACGTCACCATAGGCCTCATGATCGCCACCATGACCGTCTTCGGCATCCTCGTCATGGTCGCCCTCGCTCACACGCCCAAGGTGAACAATAACGAAGTCTTCAACAACACTTCGACCAAAGGCGGCGACTACACCACCACAGCCGTCATCACCGTCACCGCTGTCACCGATCAGGTGCCTACCGTGATGGTCCCCGACCGAGAGGAGAGTCTGGTCCTTCCCAAGGTCCCCGAGATGAACGGCATGCCCGTCGTTACCCGTGGCCCCATCTCGAGTGATGCTGCGTCTGTCTAGAATTTCTCTCAGCGACACCTGGATGGTCATTTAGTTGACCGACGCCGCTTCCGAAACCTCGTACATATTTGAGGGGGGCAGGAATTGGCTGAGAAGAAGAAGAAGAAGAAGAAGAAGAAGAAAAAGAAGAAGCTAGGGTGGGCTCGTAAAGTCGTTTGTTGCCCTGGGTGTCCCAGCACGGTGGAGGAATTGTACTGGTGCGGAGAGGAGAAAGGGTTTCCATGAGATCACGGGAGGACAGGAACAACGGAGAATGCGAGGCATTCTGGTTTTGTCTTTGCTTTCACGGTGGCGGGGGTTGTAACAAAGAGGCAACTTGGGCTGGACAGGAAAGCCATGGGGTAGCAGCTCCTGGCGATGCTACACGCTTCGTTTGAGTTGATCCAACGGCAAGGGGGGCCAGATCATTGGGAGATGTCACTAGGTTCACAGTGCCAGCAGATACCAGAATCATCAACGGCTTCCCCTCTCCCAAATAAATGATTGCAACAAAAACTTTTGACTTTCTTCTCTGTCTCACTTCCAGCTGTATCTTATGTTTCCTCAAACTTCGAGTCTCATTGAGGATTCAACCACATCTGAAAGCGATATCTCCGCGCTGCATCTCCAGATAGCAAGAAAGATATCCTCTCCCACCTCAGTTTCTTTCCCGCAGGCCTCCTAGTCTGGCCCATGGAAAGACTTCATGCTCGCTTCGACGTCGTTCATTAAAACTCAAACCTTAGCCCTCAGCCTCATAGGCATGGGACTTGTGCTTGGGCTGGAACGTAAAGTTGGGGTGGGCGGGACCGAGGAACATCTCGCTGTTGGATGAGTTAGCAAAACAATCTTCTCGGAAAGACATACAGCGATAATGCCAAAGTGCAAAGGAAATCAATCGTCACGTACCTAATCTTGATCCAGTCCTTGTAGTTCTTACTAGCAAGCAGCGTCTCCAGGTCGTCGCGGCCGCGGTACGCCGGCGGGCGATCATTCAGATCGGGCGGCAGGTGCTCCAGCAGGCCGAGGGGCACGTAGCGGTGCGAGAAGCTGAGCCACTCGAGCAGGAACCGGCGCGTGAAGCCGATGCCCAGCTCGTCGGTGCCCCAGGCCTCCATACCGTAGCGGCAGAACTTCTCCACGTACGTGAGGCGCTCCGTCGCCGACTTGTCGAGGTACTGGCCCTTTTCAATCTCCTCAAAGAGCCAGGGCTTGACGAGGGCGCCGCGGCCAATCATGAGGGTGTCGACTTTGGCCTTTTCAATGTGCTCGTAGTACTCTACGTGGGAGTAGCAGTCGCCGTTGCCGAGGAAGAACATGCGGCCGTCCTTTGCGTTGGGGAGGGTGGACTCGTCGGCCTCGCGGACCGTGTCGGTGATGTCGTCCTTTTGCTCGTTGTAGGCCTTGATCATGGCGGCGCACTCGGCAATGTAGCCCCAGTCGGCCTTCTTGGTGTACCGCTGCTCCCTGCTACGGCCGTGGAGGGTGATGGCCGCGCAGCCGGGGGCGCCGAGCCGGTCGCGGTTCTCGCGGGAGCCGAAGGCGAGCTTGCCGAGGATGGTCGTTGCCGTCGGGCGGTTCTGCCTGACGCCGGTGCGGAGCTTGACCGTGATGGGGATCTCGCCGGACACGGTGTTCATGCCGCGGACCATGCGCTCGAGCTTGCCATGAGCCTCGAGCAGCGCGGAGCCGCCGCCGGACTTGAAGACCATGTCGATGGGGCAGCCGCAATTGAGGTCGATGAGGCGCAGGTGGGGCACGTAGCGGTTGAGGAGGTCGGCCGACTTGACGCAGTGCCAGGCCTGGCTACCAGAGATCTGGGCACCGAACTTGAGATCGCGCGCGTTGCCGTAGCCCTGGACGATGTTGCTGTCCGGGTTGACACGGGGCGGGCTGATCTCGGTCTCGTGGGCCTTCATCAGCGCCCAGTCATTCTTGACTCCTTGGACCAAGGGCATGCCGAGGGCCATCTCGGAGTAGGTGAGCTGAGCGCCGAGCTCGACGGCGAGACGACGGAAGGGCAGGTTGCCCTGGGTGGTCAGAGGCGCAAGGGCCGGCGTCTCCTTGCCAAAGTACAGCTTGCGCTTCTCGGACGGCTTCAACGGCGGGTCGACGAACTGCGCGCGCAGGTCCTCCTGGGTGCTAATCACTTGGTCCTTGCGGCGCTGGTGGAAAGCATCGCCCAGCTTCGCCTCCTTGTTCATCCAGGAGATGTACTTATCGGTCTCCGTGAAGTCGATGCGCTTGCGGCTGAGGTCGATCTTGAGCTGGTTCTCGGTGTTGTTGTAGACACCGGAACGGAGATCTTCGCGACCAGTCTCAGGCGCCTCGCCGCTCGTCTTCTTGGCCTCCTTGGGCTCCTCGACGAGGACAAGCTCCTTGCGGCCGTCCTCGTGGTCAATCTCCTTCATGTGGCTCTTGACGAAGCGGCACTTCCAGCCGGAAGAGCAGACCCCGAACTGCTCGAAAACGGGACACTTGCCCTCAAAGGTCTCGAGGTCCTCGCGGCGGCCCTCCTTGAGATACTTGCGCAGATCGTGAAGCATGTTGCATCTCTCTCCAAACTTGCACTCGCGCGGGGAGAACTCGGGGGCGTAGGCGCGGGTGTTGCAGAGGCGGAGGGCGTCGTCAAAGTGACCGAAGCTGCGCTCCTTGTTCTGGCCCTTTTCCCGCTTCTTCTTGTCGCGCTTGTCACGGCCGTCACGGCTATCACGAGCATCGCGGCTATCGCGAGCGTCGCCCTGGTCACGACCTTCGGCAGCATCATCGTCGACGACCTCGTCTTGCTCCTTCACTTGACCCTCCTTGTGAATGAGAAACCTAAACTCACACGTCAATCTCTCATGAGTCTGTTGCACGTCCCGAGGCAAACTCACTCAGCCTTGATGGGGGCCTGGCCCTTCCTTACGTCTCTGGCATCTTGCTTCGGCTGTGCAGACTCCCCGTCGGCCGGCTTTTCGACAGCAGGTGCCTCGCTCATCGAGACATCAGCCTTCTCGCCGTTGCCAGCGGCAGGGACAGGCTCCACGCGCTTGGTAGCCTCATCGACTGCAACACGTTCCTCGGCAGCCTGAGCCTCAGCGGGCTTCGCAACCTCCTCAGTCTGCTGCGCGGAATCGTCCACCTTAAGACGCTTCGCTGCGCGTTGCTCAGACTCGTCGATCTGGGGTGCCTGGTTCTCCATTTTTTGCCTCCAGTTTCCTTTTGGTTGAGTGCTAAATGGATGGAGAAGGCGTCGCAATTGGGACTTTCCGCAAGAGAAAGTCAGATAAAAGGATGAGCCAAGGATGTGGTTGGGAAGGAGACGATGTGGGTCGGTTCAAAGTGAAGAAAGTCCCGAGTGAGGTTGTGAGAGGAGGGTAGAGACAGAGGACGAAAAAGGGCAGTAGAGGTAAATTTTTACCTACTTTCCGCTGTCCACTTGAGCTGGAGAAGTCGCACCCAGCCGCAGGAAGAGGCAGGTAGGTCAATTCAATAGGTAAGAGCCGTACTAAGCTAGTTCAATACGCCGTGCAAAGCAATTGATAATGGATTCGAATGTTCGTCTGTCCCGCAGCTTGTCTTTCTCGAGGTTACGGCTTGAAGGGAAAAAGTTGATGTCACAGGCTGAGCTCAAGCAAGGCGTAAGTAAGTGGGGCCGCTTCATGGAGGGGCACATCCCGCGCGCGATGCAAGCGCGGTGCACTCACTCCGTTACACTACACTCAGGGTGCCTTGCATTCAGCGTCATCTCGCCTCACGCTGCTTAAGGTAGCTGAGGTCTCCTGTTCACACATAACATACATGTGAAATGTCCTTACAACACTGGCAAATGAATGTCACGGCGAAATCTCACCAGGTAATTGGAGGGGCCAAGCGTGCAAAATCGAATCCTAGTTCCACACCTTAACTACCTTAATGTATAAAGATGACAAACCCCGCTAGTCGATGCCTTCATCGATGAACATTCGTAAATGTACTGGATGTACGCAGTATCTCTAGCTCGCGGTGCAACCGTTCAAGACAGGCTGGCCAATCGAGAGTTCTCCTCAACCATCGTCCACCAGTTCCCAAGGGCCGCAACCGATGCATGCCCTCTCGCCCTATCGTATCAAGGAAATCCGCAAGATTCCCAGCTGCGTCCTGCTCTTGCCCGAGCCGTGTGTAGAGATCGAATAACGAACGGCACCTGCTAGAGTTTGACCCTGCCAAGTATCCCAACCTGGCCATCACTCGACTCGGCTATTACGCCTTTCGCAGGCATCGTCCGTGTACGACCGGACTCGAGTAGGTGCTCATGTCCTTCGGGGAGTTCCACCTGCCGAGGGTATTCGTGATGCCGCCGGAGCCGCATGTTTCGCCTATTGTGTTCTGACCTGAAATGTTCTGCCCGGTTGCCCGACTGATTGTAACTCATAATAATCCATCAATGAATGGAGATTCTCTGCTGTCCCTCGTCTCCCCAGCGTGCCTCCTCATCAAACGCTTCGCGGCTCGACATGTGCAGGCTGTACTGAAGTTAGTGACTGCGCTGTCTTTGCGTTTAGAAAATCACGGCGTCTACTCACCGGGCTGTTGAGCATGCTCTGCCTCTTGTTCCTGCCCTTCTTGATGTGGCTCTTCAGCGCACTCGAGTCTAGCGGCTTAAGCAGCTCGAAGCTGCAAAGCAATTCATTCGAAACGGACATGACCGCACCCCAGTTGTCGAACTCGCCGCAGTACTATGGCCACATGTTAGCAGAGCTCGTCCAAAAATATCCGTAGAGACTTACGTTGGGGGCACTGAAGACTGTTACAAGGACTCTATCGTTGAAGAATTCGTAGCCGTCCTCAACCACCATGTGCGCTCGACAAATCAAGTCAAAGTCGTGGGTTGCAAGGAAATCCAATATCACTCTCTTGCCGAAACAGTAGCTCACGCCTCTCTCGTTGGCTTCCCAGTCTTGCTCCATGTCGGCTGGATCAGACCACAGCAGATCGTTCAGCAGGCCGTAGTCGGGAACATCGGTGGGTCGAGCAATGTTGCGAATGTCGTCCATGTGGCTGAGAGCAGGGGAGAGGCCTCCGTGCACGCAGAAAATCTTGCCAGCGACAATGGCAGCAATCGGGAGCGTGTTGAAGCAGTCAATGAATGTCTTCCAGATCTTGACATTGCAGCGACGCTTGCACTCGTCGTAGAAACCGTACACTCTCGTAACATTTGCGCACTCGTGGTTTCCTCTCAGCAAGAAGAAGTTCTCGGGGAACTTGAGCTTGTAGCAGAGCAGCAGTAGAATTGTCTCGAGAGATTGCTTGCCGCGGTCGACGTAGTCGCCCAGGCAGAGGTAATTGGACGAGGGCGGGAAGCCACACATCTCGAACATGCGGAGGATGTCCGTGTATTGGCCGTGGACGTCACCGACAATCTTGACCGGGGCATCAAGCTCCAGAAGGGCGGGTTGGGAGAGGAACACTTCGCGAGCTCGTTGGCAGATTGCGACAATTTCGGCATTCTTCAAGCATACGCTCTTTGTGACCTTGCCAGCGTAGCCCGCATCCAGAAGACGCTTGATGAAGTCGTCGAGGTCGATGTCCTTGATCTCGCTCATGGCGACGCCTCCCTCGTGTCTGTCTCCCGAGTTTGTCGACGAGGTTTTGGCGACCGGGGTGGCAGCGCCGTCTGCGTTCTTGGTGGCCAGGATAGACTTGCCCGGCTGCTGCATATGGGTATTGAGACTGCCTCCGGCACAAGGGGGTTGGTCGGATACATGGTCGACCTCTCCTGATGCTTGCGCTGCGCTCACGTCATGAATGCCGCTCTTGATGGTGCTGGACTGGGTCGGGGATGGCGGCGGCTGAGAGTCATCGAGCGGGGGTTCAATGTCAGTAGAGGGGGACGTCGGCGACGTGGCGGAGTCACTGCGGCTTCGGGGGACACCGGACTTTACGCTTTTTCCCGACTTGACCGAAGCAGCGTCGGATTTTTCCTCGGTAGGAGACGTAATGACTGAGTTTCTCGGGCTGTCCGTCTTGCTCGAGCCGGGAATCTTGGACCTCAGGGCCTTGAAGGAGCGGGAGGAGTCCTTGGTGTCGGATCTGCCAAAGGAAGGGTAGGACTTGAGGGGTTCAGCGGTGCCGTCGCCACCAGGGCCTTTGGTGGAAGCGTGGCCACCCTCCTTGGATGGCTGGTTTCCCATGATGTAGCTCGTATGCCGATGCAGAAGGAACGACGATTGTTGTAGGTGTCGTATGTCGGGTTGTGCGCGTGGGCTGGCCTCGTCTTCGTCTGATGTGTGGCTGGCCTAGACGTCTCGCCGCAACAGCCCGGATCTGGCAGGGGCTCGAGATGGGAAAATGTAATGTTGTGTCGCAGTAGGGGGTCCTAGGGAGGATGGAATAGACGATCGAGGATGGACAGGAAGCGGATGCGGGAGGGAGAGCGGCGTCCACTTGAGATGTCCGTTTTGGGCGCGTTAAGGCGATTGCCTTTGATCGATCGCTGGAGATGGGGAGGAGGAGGAGGGTCGTAAGTAAGCGAGGAAACGGGCGAGTGACGTATACGTGGCTCGCGGGCGGCGGTTGTGTCGGGTCAAAGAAGCGACGGGATAGAAGACTCGAACGAAGTCGGCAGGCGCGGATGGAATGGAGCTATGGAGGCATTTGTCGTCGACGACTGCGTGTGAGGAGATTTTGGTCAGCCTTGTTCGGATCGTGTGGGCTGGAGTCTGGAGATAAGGCGAAGAATCCGAGGTGTTGTTGGTGAGTATGTACGGGAGGAGAAGGTACAAGGAGGGACGGATGCAGGACGGGCGGGATTGTTCTAGGCGACAGGCATGGGGACAGAGCGGGCGGGTATTAGGTTTGGGCTCCGTACCTCGATGGATAGAGAGACTAAGAGGCACCTTCTGTGGAAAGGCTACGGGATACCTGAGGTGTGCTAAGGAAGGCGCAGATTCAATGGAATGCGGGGGGGGGGGGATTTATGACGGATGGAGCCAGCAAGTTACCAAGTGGTGGTGGAAGCAGTAATAGTAGTTAGTACCTTGGTAGTGGTGGTAGGTTGTCTGGTAGAGTAAGGGAATTGGCAAGGTACGGATAGAAGAGGCGGAAGAACAGCAATTGGCAGCGGAAAAGACGGCGAGGGGGTCCTTTGTGCTGGGCGTGCAGCGTGCGTGTGTTGTTGTTGCTCAGGTAAGACAGGTGGAGAGATAAATTGGGGAACCTTGGAAGGATAGAGAGCAACTGTGACTGAGGTGGGCTAAGGTTGTTCGAGGCGCACGCAATGCACAAAGTTATCGGGACAGCAGCCGGTGTGGTGGTTGTGTACGGAGTATGGACAATATTGTGAACAAAGCATGGGAGGATCAAGTTATTGTGTTTGTGTGTGGCGGGAAGGGGGGGTTTGAGTGGTGAGCAGAGGTGAAGTGAGGTGAGGTGGGTGGTGGTGAGAAAGTTAGTACTGCCATCAGATGCTACCAAACGAGAGGACAAGTCCAGTCTCCGATTCAACCCAATTCCCAGAATTCCCAGTATTCCAGCTGTGTGCCCGGTTGCTCCAAAGCACCAGTGGCACACCCAAGAGTCCCAAGATCAAGGTCCCAAGTTCTTGGTTGGCGGCCGGGTGCTGTGGTGCTATGGTGCGCCTGCCAAGGATCCAAAGATGGAGTTGGATCACTTTCTTCCCTGCTAGGTGTTTTCCCTGTTCTACGGCGCCTGAAACCCGTGGGTTAGTTCGACTGGGCTGGGCTGGGCTGACCTGACCTGACCTCACCACCTGGGGGGCTGTCTACGAAGTAAGGTAAGGTAAGGTGGTACTCTCTCTTCTGCAGCTTGTCTGTGACACTCTGTGCTGCACCGCTCGTAAATCTATTTACCTTGCTCTGCCCTGTCACGCCTGCTCAGCTTCCATCACATTGCCTTGCTTTGCAATGGAATTAATCTAGAGTGACAAGGGAGGTGAGAATGTGTGGGACATATCGGGCTAAGGCGTGCGCCTGTTCAATGTTGGGTGCTTATCTCTGATAACCTTGATTGACCCTCACGAGAGAAGCCGGATCTTGATTGCCTCTGCGCATAGACTATCCGTAAGGTATTGAGTTGACAATCCAAATGGCCCAGCCAGATAAATAATTATGCTGGGATGAAGTAAGGTAGCCACAAAGTGTAAAAGCGCTTGGGTGATTGATCCCTTTTTTGGAGCTCCAACCCCTGTGTCGATGTTGCAGAGACAAAGGTTGAGACGAAGACAAGCGTCCCGGCAAGACACTCATACTGCAAAGCAAGAATATCCATACACATCCAGAACATACATCACGTTGGCAGTCAGTAAGCATACGTTGACACAGGAGGGATATTCCCAAGACTGAAGCCAAGTTTCATCCTGTCCTCCACACATTGAAGAGAGGAATCGCACCATATTCCCCAATTACACACATTGACTTTGTGGACGATGTGGTCTGCATGTCGGCACCTAAGCCTACCTTGTAGTAGCCCCTCATTGCTCCTGTTGCTGCTTGTTGTTCCCCATTTCAACCTTGGTAGCCAGTCACACCAGATGCCTTAAGGCTCAGCGCAAGACAAGCCGAGTGGTCAGGCCTCAGGATTGAATCACTTTCATCCATAGGTAATCCATTCCAACAAGTCTCCAACTGCTGTAGCTCGTCCTGCTTGAAAAGGACCAGGCCCGGTGCCAATCAGAGCGCCGACTAGGTGGGAGAAGTTCTCCGCCAGCAGATAGCCCGGGGGCCTGGACCTCCTCCGCCGCACCACCACCACCACCACCACGATGGCACCAACCGCTTGTATCGAGTGAGGAGATGTTCCCTCTAGAGTCTTGCCACCCATTCCCCTCCTCCCCTCCTCCCCTCCTCCCCCTCCTCCCCTCCTCCACCGTCCCGCTCCCGCTCGGTCAGATTTGGACCGCCTCTCCCCAGTGACGACAGTTGGTGCCGAGTAGTTCTTGTCCAACGTGTCTTAGCGGGCTCTTTCTTCTACGCGTTACCGCCGTGTAGAAAACCACTCGGCCTCTTGCGCTGATTCTATACCAGACCAGATTGTGAAGCGCCCCGACGCGTGGTCAACTGCTGTTATTGCATTATAGAATCTGCAGCAACTTCTAGGTACTCCCCAGCTATTCGTATGCGCGTTCGAGTTTGGGTGTGGTAGCCGGGCGGAGAGGGGAGGAGGCAGAACAAGCCGAGATGAGACGAGAGGAGAGGGGAGGGGAGGGGAGGAGGCCAAAGAGGGAAAGTGTGTGTGTGTGTGTGTGTGTGTGAAGGTGGGTGGAAAGCACGGGAGGATGTTGAGAAGTGACCATCGTGCGATCAATAGCCTTTCGGATCACCTTGTAGAGACTTGTGTGGTTATTCACTCAGTCCAGCTTTCTTCAATGCCTTTTCTTTCCTCTGAACGTATCAAGTGCTTTCAGTAATGGGCTCTGTGGTTGACGATCAGCAGAGGTTTCGTTGATAGTTGGAAATCCATCCACACACACTTGTGCATGTCAATTTGATAGTAAGTCTCTCATCACCACTTGGAACCGCTCTCGAATCCACGAATGCGGTTCCAACTGTCTCAAAACCTTCAAACTTCCGGCTTCGGTGCAGCGGTGTAAGAGAGACACTGATTGACAAAACCCCACACAGCCACCTGCCGAAAAGAAGCAGGACGAGTGAATCGAGAAAAGGTTGGATGAATTGAGGATCCCAATGCTGACATTCCATTCCAGAAAAAAGTGTCACACATTCCTTCGGTGCGTTGTCCCCGCGTCCACACGAGCACGTGCTGCACCTGGCTGCCGTGCAACGGTGGTTGAGGGCCTCAAAAATGGCGGGGGAAGCGGTTTTTGGCTCCCACGTTGCCGGCGAATCCAACAAACAGGAATCTGGAATAGGTAGCTGCGACGTGCGACGGTAGGCCGCGTTGTGTGTGGTCCGCGATAGGTTATGCGGCTGCAGGTTTGCGTGGTAGGTCTCCCAGTGCCACGAATGTGATGCGTGAAATCGTGAGTATCGTTCCCAGGGTACGCATGTAGCCAAACAGGCTTCCCAAAATGCCAGGTGAATTGTTCCCCCTCCAAAGACTCAGAGGCAGACAAGTCTTCACCGAGCCCAGGTAGGCTTACCCGCGCGCAAGACTCGATAAGTCGGTAGGGCTCGTCCAAGTCGGTACTCCGAGGTGTGAACACGCCACAAAGTCGGCCGCGCGAGAGCGAGTTCATGCAGATGGCGAGATGTCTTGTAATGCCGCCGCCGTACACCGCGCGTCAGGCCGGTATCGCCGCCTTCGGGAGGGAGGGGCATTGTGTCTGGCCCCGCCGGACATGGACCCCGAGCCATCAACCAGCTCTTTCGTCTTTCTGGCTGTCTTATGTATTAGAGAGGACTCGGAAGCCGGCCAAAGAAGGTTGCGTGGCTGCGGTCCTATATCTGGGGGCCGCTATTGCAGGCCCTCCCCTGCCGGGCATGTCCCCGCCTGGGATTCAGGGTCTCTCGAAATTTCGCTCTCGCCGCTGAAACGGATCTCGACTCGAGTTGAACTTTTTCGAAAACGTCGTTCGAGGCTCTTGCAGTCGCGGCGTGAGGTGAGTGGGGGACGGAGAAATTCGAGGCTTGATCGCGCAGCTGTTCCCGGGATGTACTCCGCACAGCATCTCCGTGGGCATTTACACTAGGTATTCGCTCCTAAAGGATAGCGTTGCAGCCAAGGCCTGAGATACGGATATCTATCGTCCAAGTTCTGCCAAATGAGGAAGCAAACAAAACACCAAAGAAACACAGCAGCAGAAGACAACAACTTACACGAGGTGGGGCGGGAATGGGCCTGGTGGCATACCTTTTTGCCAAGAGAAGCAGCAGCAGCAAGTTAGCAACGATGGCAAGATTCAGATAATGCGACGAACCAACGCAAAGCTGCAGGCTGCAGCGGCCTGAGTTCGTCTCTCCACAAACCCCATGAGCCAAAATCCGAGCTCTAGCCTCTAGTCAGCACAGGCTCCACCGCGAGATGCAAACGCAGAGCTTGGGGTTGGCCGAGCCACGACGGTGTTCGCGGCCGAGTCGTACGTATTTTGCGGGAGCTGCCACGACGGGTAAAGAGACTGCAACATTGGTGGGGGTCGTAGTGAATTTGAGTTCATGTCAAAGAAGAGCCATCAACGGCCCCTCTTTCGGATGTAGGGCCAGATGTCACCGTCGCGCAGCATGCATCAGAGGTTGATAAGCTGGTCTATCCGTTGTGGGTTCATGTTTCTTTGAATTCTCGCCGAGGTAGGCGAGGACGGCACGGGAGCTAATCTACGGTTTCAGGCCCTGTTCCTGGAGTTTGCGCTGGACAATGGTGGCGGTGATGGCTTCGTCACGGTGTCGAGAGGTGATGCCCAGCCAATGACGATGAATTCAAGGTCGCTTGTTAGGTTCTTCGAGAAAGCTCGGCAACCTTAAAAATTCGAAAGAGCCACAGGCTTCAGGGCCCTCGGGAGGGCCCCGTATTGAAACCGAGCCTCGCGATGCGTGATTCGGCGCCGACGACCGGAAAGTGGTTGTTGGACCCGGGCGTTGGTGTCCCCGTTTGGTTGGCAGTTGGGCGGTGTTGGACGAATTGTGGGAGGGAAAAAGAAAAGAGACGGGAGGAGTTTCTAAAATTAGCTGGTAGAGAGAGAGAGAGAGAGACACACACACACACAGAAAAAAAGAGGGTTCCATCTGGTGCTAGTGGGAATTGGGAAAAAGACGGGTTGGGGGGGACACTGGGGAGCGGGGCCAACTTCTAAGTGGGCGATCTGGCGAAGCCCGAAAAGATGACCAGCCACCATCATTAATACCACCTCACTCAGCCCAGCCAGCCAGCCAGCCTAGTTAGTTCGATAGCCGGTTGTTACCAAACACGTCCCGTGGGGCTGAGCTGACTATCACTTCACCATGAATACAGCAAAACGCCGATGTCGATGGCTGTACGAATAGATGCGCAGTTGATACGGTAAAAAAGAAGAGAATTCGGAACGTGGGCAATGGAAAATCCGGTACCAAGTGCTGCAGTGCAGGTGTCACAAAAATCACACTAGTCTTCTTTTGCGCTGCCGTAATTCTCTCTTCCGCAGTCTCGAAGGACGAGAACTTGGGAGGAGCAAAAAAAAAAAAAAAAAAAAAAAAAAAAAAAAAAAAAAAAAAAAACCAGAGCTGAGCCTCCGCAGGATGACGAACCCCTGGACCACTTTAATTGCGTGGACGGATGGAACCCAACTAGCAGCTTGGACGTGTCAGACTGCGAGACTGCCTGCCGATCAAGGCAAATCGTTGATGTAGATGCGACTCTGATGAGCATCTTGAACCTATTGGACTGTTTTTGTTTCTTGCTCTGGTCGCCGCTAGTGTACTTGTCCCTTGAGCAACACACGAGCGATCGGCTGTCCCAAGGATGGTGATTGACGTGTGAATCTTGTTATCCGCAGTGATATCAGACAAGGACCACTTCATTCCCATGCTTCTCCATGGGAATCTGGAAAGAAACTGGAGGTTGGCTGGCCGGGGGTTCATGTTTCTCCAAACTTTGTGAGAGGCTCTGTACACAGCTGTATACAGTGATCACAGTGTGCGATGATGATGGTGGTGGTGCTTGGTGCGCCGTTCCATCTCATCTTTTCCGAACTTCCACGAGTCCGACCGGCCACGAAGCCAAGGACGAATGAGAGATTCGAGGCAATGGACGCGTACGACGAGATGAGAGCACCAAGTGGAAACGTTCCTACTTCCGAGGACTTTCGCCGTTCGGGAATAACAATCAGTTACCTCACACATCGGCTTTACCACCACCCATCCTCACTTGAGGTAGTTTATCTTCTTTCGGTCTAGGTAGGTACCTTTACAATAGCATATTCTAAGCTCAGCTCCATGGTGTCTTGGCCCGGCTCTACGTTCAATCAATCTGCGGCGGCTTTGCTGTACGGTGAGATTGGACTTGTTACTTCCTAGTCGTCCCAAGCCTCGTCGATATACAGGCCGGCATCACATCCCGTAATTCTAATGATGGCGATGGGGCATGCAGATGCTCCAAAACATCTCAAGTCTGCATATCTCTCTCTTTGAGGAATCATTGATGATTTGAAGGTGAGTCTGTTGAAGCAGTATGTTAGCTGAAGCAGCAGGATCTGAAGGGAACAGAATCCCGGGCTCGACAGCTACGGCAAAGGTGAAGGTGAGCAAAGTTTGACGCCAGTGTCAGAAAGTACCCGTGCGCAGGCAGCATAGCCAGAAAGGTACCCGTCTGTGGCGTCACCGCGGCATCTGTCCTACGGATGGACATCCCTGTCAGGCTGTCAGCATCTACCCTTATTCCTAATTCCAGGCCTTCCCCATCTTGTCCCCCGGCTTCAATGTCTGTGTCTCTCTGTCCGTGAAAATAGAGTAGTAGAGCCTCTGTAGCGGATACATAGCAGTGTTTGGAAGGTGCTGCATCGGTCATTTTCATCGTCAAAGGCCAAGACGGCAAGATGAATGCGTGAATGCCTTGCGGACATTGTGCGGACATGGATGATGATTCGAGAGTCGCGTACGATACAGTGTTTTCGCACGGCATGTGGGAGGAGGAGGACGAGGACGAGAAAAAGAACACCACCAACACACGTCAGGACGAGAGGCTCGGAGACAGAGTGGAGGACAGAGGAGCCACAGCACAGCATAGCACCGCTCCCGCACCTCGTTTGCTTGACGGTTCGGCTCCCGCCTGCTATTTGGCAGCCTGGGGTCTGGCTGTCCTGTCGACGGGACGCCGTTGCTCGGTCGAGGGATTCTCAAGGGTCATGGGTGTTCCTAGCAGGGCCGGGGGCTGAGTCGTTGGCCCGCTACTGTGCAGCCCGTCAGCAACGCAATCTTTGCCTTAGCACCTTACGGAGTCCCTATTACTAGGTATCCGTAGGTGTGTGAAGGTGAAGGTGAAGAGTGAATCCCTAGTACTCCGTAGATGCCTTACCTAATCATCCCCCGGTAGCCGTCCCATCTCCACCAGAAAAAGCCGTTCACTGTTCGCGACTTCGCGGTACTGCGCCACGTCCGCGTCCCTGTCCATGTTCCGCTTCCCACGGTGCCCACTGCCCACTGCGGCCTGCCCACCCCCCAGTGCCCCCCAAGCAAAGTGCAAGTGCCCCAACCTGCTCGCCCTGCGCCTTCCTTGCCGTACTGTGCCTTACGCAAAAATACGTAACGGCACTTCCAAGCCTGCACCTACGGTCCTGCTCCCTCCTTCCTACTGTTTTATAAACATCAACGCTCGTCCGTCTGTGTCAGCCTCTTACTTCTTACACTCATCACACTCACATCCGTTTGCCCCTCTCTCTCTCTCTCTCTCTCTCTCTCTCGCATACACACTACTCTCAAAAAGGGCTTCTCTTCTTCCCTTTTTCTCCTCACTTCCTCTTTACACACTTTCCGCCCACCAACGATCGTTTCTTTCCTAGTTACATTCGTTGACGACAAGCCGACCCACTTACCGAAATCGGCCTATCTACAAACACTATAACTCTAAACTTATACACCAGCCTTTAACCAACAACCACACAACAGCAAAGATGGGTGTCGGCCGTGTTATCTGTGTGGCTCTGCCATTCATCCTCAGCGTTGGTTCCATGATCTTCCTGTTGGTCGCTGCTCTCGGCGGTGTTTCCAACAAGGACCTTTACATGTTCCGCGTCAACCTCACCGATCTCGAGATCAACCCTGCTTCGTTATCAAGTATAGTCTCAAGAGACGTTAAGGCAGTCAACTTTGGCAAATACCACGACCGTGCTCTTCTCACCGGCGATGGTGACAACGCCATCACCAAGGCTGCCACCGACTCCACAACCCAGACCAGCAACATCACCGCCGCCGACCTTGGCCTCGACAACCTCTACGACATTGCTCTCTGGGGTTACTGCACTACCGACACCAACGGCGACAAGACCTGCACCAAGGCCAAGTTCGACTGGGCTTCCTCCTACCTGAACACCTCTACCCTCGAGACCATTGGAACTGCTGCCGGCCGCAAGATCGAGCTTCCCGATGAGGTCAACACCGCTCTCTCCACCTTCAAGACCGCCACCAAGTGGACTCAGGTTGCCTACATCATCGCCTTCATCGCCCTTGGTCTCGAGATCGTCTTCGGCATCTTCGCCAACTGCACTCGCGTCATGTCCTGCATCACCTTCCTCGTCGCCTCCCTCGCTTCCGTCGCCGTCTGCGCTTCCGCCGCTCTCTCCACTGCCATGTCTGTCATCGTCGTTGGCGCTGTTGAGGGCACTGCCAAGTACTACGGTGTCTCTGCTGGCTTCAACAACAGCTTCCTCGCTCTCATCTGGATCTCTGCCGCTCTCGCCCTCGGCGCCGGCTTCTTCTGGATGTTCACCGTCTGCTGCTGCGCTCCCAGCCACACCCGCAAGGACCGCAAGCTCAACAGCGACGGCGAGAAGCTTCTTCCCCAGTCCAGCAGCTACCAGCCCATCCACGAGGAGAACGGCTTCTACAAGCAGCAGCAGGCTACTCAGTACGGTGCTCCCCGCTACGCCAGCGGTGCCCGTGGTGAGACTGCCTACGAGCCTTACTCCCACCGCTCTTAAGTTCAGCACTTGAAGGCGCGGGGTGGTAATTTTTAATTGTACGAGGAAGCCGTTCGATTTGACAGCACTTTTGATTTCAGCATTGTTGGCGTTGGGTAACGGCTCACTATCATGAGAACGACGAATACGCACGGAGGTGGATATGAATGTTTAGTAGCTATGCGGACGAAGATGATCGTCAGGGGGATGACGACAGTTGATTCCTTTAGTGGACTGCTCGGGATTGGAGATACCCCCATCCAGGCTTTATTGTCTATAGAATTCCAATGCTCATAGAGCAATTACGAAAATCATACCAGAATTTTACAAACTTTTCTGTGTCTGGCCAAGTGAAGTGTGTAGGTTTCATGTGAGAGAGTGTGTCCTACAATTGAATCGTGACTTGCATCTCAGATGGTGGGCAAATCCCAAACAACGTGCATCTTGGAGTCTATTGACACTGTCAGAGGATTACCTCGAATTTCTCACAGAAAAAAAAAAAAACCACACCAGAGAGAAAAAACTCCACCAAATCGCAGAGGGGTGGACGATGACTCGATCCACCACATTACATCCTGAACCACCATCAAGTGCTGACCGGAGGAAGGACCTTAATGCAACCAGCTCAGCTCAGCCGCAAAAGACTAGCATCTTGCTCTTGGGACCTTAGGCAACCACCATCCAAAAGAAACGCACCGCTCCAAGACCTCGCTTTTCTAAACGCTAGGACAACCCCTCTAGTGAGACTTTTTTTTTTTCTTAGCAAGTGAAGATACGCAAGAGTCAGATATTACCCGACTTGGGCAGGCCTGTCTGAACGGCTGCCCGCTCTTCCTTCATGAACCGTCACCATGCAGTTAGTAATCCATGCTCTGTCTCTCACCCCCTAGACTCCTAAAATAGTATTCACATATTGTTTCTCTAATAAAGAAAGAAGGGGATTGAAATATGTACTTCAAGCTAAAGAACAGAAACAGCAATTCGTAGCCGGACCCCTGCAGAGGGATCACTACTTCACCCCCGTCACCGGCCTCAGCTTCTTCAACGCCAGGGATGGCGAGACGTACCTGCTCGCCGGCGAGGACACGGAGCTGAAGGTGTACGACGGCGAGGGCCGGCTGCGCTGCCAGCTGGGGATCTTTCACGCCCAGCCCATCCACGGCATCCACGTCGCCGCTGCCGCGGGGCAAGGCCGGCGGCATGTGCTGCTCTGGGGAAACCAGGCCGTGGCCGTCGTCTCTGCTGGCATCATTGAAGAGCTCATCCTCGGAGGTGAAGACGGAACGGTGGAGGCACCGGTAGAAGTTGTCGAGGCCAAGGCGCCGGATTGGATCTACGACGGCGTCATCTGCCCCGAGGACGCGGACCGCGGCGTGCTGATCACGGCGCATAACGAGGTCCTCGAGTTCTCCATCGGGACCGATGGCAAAACGATTGCATTCGGCCGCATCGTGTCGCCGTCCCGGCCGATCCTGTACTCGGCCAACCTGACGTGGATCTCAAAGACCTCCGTGCTCGTCGCCGGCGGCACAGTCTTTGGCGAGATTATTGTCTGGAAGTGCCACTTCTCCGGCGACGGCGGCACAGCAGCCGCTGAAGACACAGACGACGCGAGCGCGGGCAAGCCGTGGTGCGAGGTCCTCTTCGTCTTCACGGGCCACGAAGGCTCCATTTTTGGCGTGGACATTTCGCACGAGATCGACCTCGGCGAGGGACGCACGGCGAGGCTGCTCGCTAGCTGTAGCGATGATAGGACGATTCGCATCTGGGACATCACCGAGAGACCGGGCTCGCCGCGTCTGCAGTACGACGCCTTTGGAGAGGCCAGGGAGACGGGCTTCGGAGGTGCTGCTGCTGCTGCTGCTGCTGCGACTTCGACGGCTGCTGCCACAGACCTCACTACAACACAGGTCGCATCAAGTGCGCCCCTGGCTATGGTCATGGGCCATATCTCACGCATCTGGCACGTCAGGTTCCCGTTTGGAGGGCTCGATGAGCTGGCGCGAGGCCGTCCCGCGACAGTGTACTCCTTTGGCGAGGACTCTACGCTGCAGGCCTGGTCTCTGAAGGTCGACGTCGAGGAGTGGCGGCGGAGAGCAAAGTCGGCGGCGGTCGAGGGCGAGGCGCCCGTCGCTGGGAGCATCACGTACAAGGAGACGTATGCCCGCCACGACGGGAAACATATCTGGGCTACCGCCGTCATGGAGAAGGCCGACGGGCAGATTCTGGTCGCCACGGGCGGCGCGGATAGCAAGATTAACCTCTTCTCGGACCGCGCGGCTGGCGGCGGCAGCAGCAGCACCGCGTCCAAGCTGCAGGAACTGCCGAGCGAACTGCAGACTTTGGTGATGCGGGACGTGGTCAGCAAGCTGCCCCCGCGGAATCCCGACTTCGCGATTCCCCTAGAGACGAAAGAGGCCTTCCAGCGTTTTGCGTTCGTTCACGAGGACACTATTGTCGCGACGAGCACCACCGGCCGTCTTCTCGTCGGCTCCTTTAGACCGGAACTCACGTGGACACAGATCGGGACCGACGGAGAGACGTTGCGCGCCCTGAATGCCTGCACGAGCTTGAAGAGCCCGGCACCGGACCTGGCACTGATAGGCACGGCCAACAAGAAGATCCTACTCTACCGCGACTCGACCGTCCAGCAGATCGGCACAGTGCCCGGTAAAGTGGCAGACATATTCCCCCTGAACAACCCCTCGGCAGAGGGATCGGAGAAGAAGAAGAAGAAGAAGAAGCTCGAGTTCCTCGTCACCATGCTGGGCAGCGGAGACGCCATGCAGATCCTGACGCTGGACCTAGACGCTTCAGCCGTCACCTCCATGGTGCCCGTCCCCGAGCTCGACAGCAGATTCGTCGTCACGGCCGCCTGCCAGATCAACGACCTCCTCGTCCTCGGCTCGCGCCACGGCTACGTGTCCGTCTTCCGCCGCGCCCAGGGAGACCAGCAGCAGCTCATCCCGTTCCCGGCACCGGACCGCCGCTCCGGCGACGCAATCACCTCCATCAACGTCTTCCCCACTTCCTCTGCCTCTGCTGCGGCGGCGGCATCTCACATCATCACGACGAGCCGCGACGGAAACTACCGAGTCTACGAGACCTCTGCCTCCGCGATCCACCTGCGCCACGAGACGGCGCCCGCAGCGGTGCCGAACCTCGAGGACGCATGGCTTTCTGACGGCGGCAGTGGCGGTGGTGACCTGATCCTCTGCGGCTTCCGCAGCAAGAACTTCATCGTGTGGAACGAGACGCGGCACGAGGAGATTCTCCGCGTCGACTGCGGCGGCGCGCACCGCGCCTTTGCCTACACCCGGCGAGGCCACGACAACAGCAGCGGCAGCAGCAGCAACAACAACAACAACAACAACAACAACAACAACAACCTCTCTCAACACGGCATGCGCTTCGTCTTCAACAAGGCGGCTACCTTGGGCGTATACACCCAGCACAACCCCTCCGTCGCCGCAACCCATCACCGCACCCTCAAGCGCGGGTCCCACGGCCGCGAGGTCCGCGCCATTGCGTACTCTGGGCGTCGCTACATCGCCACCGGCTCCGAGGACACTTCGATTCGCATCTGGAAGTACACCGCCGCCGCTGCCTCCGGGTCTTCCACGCCTGAAAGGTGGGAGCTGCGCTGCGTCAAGGTCGTCAAGGTCCACACGGCAGGTCTACAGTCCCTCAAATGGCTCGGCGAGGATCTCCTCTTCAGCTGCAGCGGCAACGAAGAGTTCATGGTCTGGCGGGCGTGCGATCTCGGCGAGAGGGGGCTAGGCTTGATGCGCGAGGCCGTGTTTGCGGATAAGAGCGAGGACGGGGACCTCCGTATCACGAGCTTCGACGTCGTGGCGCTGGACATGGGGGAGAACGGCAGCGTCGCCGTCACCATGGCCTTTTCCAACTCGTTTGTCAAGACGTATAGGTATACACCCGGCCAAGGGTTCGAGTTACTCTTCAAGGGGCAGTATACCGGCGCCTGCCTGACGCAAGCGCGGCACCTCCGGGTCCAGGAGGGTGTGTTTGACGTCATTACGGCCGCGACGGACGGGTGTCTTGCTGTTTGGCGATCTGAGGGGTCAGAGTACGTTCTGCGGTATACGGAGCGGATCCACCAGAGTAGTATCAAGGCCCTTGACGTGCATTCCACATCTGACGACGAGGTTGTGGTCCTTACTGGCGGCGACGACAATGCGCTGGGCATCGTTACACTCAGCAGCTCTGACAACAATGAGGGCAGTCTCGAGCCCCTGACGAGAGCCGGGGTCAGGAAAGCGCACGCGGCGGCTATTAACGGGCTCACTGTCCTCGGAGGGTCTATGGAAGCAGGAGGAAGGGTGGACTTTGTGACGGTCAGTAATGACCAGCGGGTCAAGATGTGGCGGCTCGGGTGGCGCGAGGGGGTGGAGGAGGTTACGTTGCTGGCGGACGAGTATAGCGGCGTCGCGGATGCCGGCGATGTTGAGATTATTGGGGATGGCAAGGTTGCTGTCGGCGGTGTTGGGCTCGAGGTTTGGGATTGGAGGTCGTGAGGGAAATAAAAAGGGGCTCGGGTGATGGGATGATTGGCGGGAAAGCATCATTACATGGTTAGATAAAATAGAGATGAAGTAGATGATGGTTTACTGATACAATGAAGCTATTCTGAAACCTTGCTTCGCCGCAGGTACTTGTGTATTGATTCGTGATTCTATTATCATGAACTCGCAGTAGCAAGGACGACAACAGGGGCAGCAGCCATCGTGTAGGTTCTGTCTCCCTCACACGGCATCTAGGGTCCGGCCCAGTTCTTACGACGACAACGGTTTCTTTTGCCTTCCGTCACTGAGGATCCAAGCTCCTCGCACACTCAACGTTCATATTGGTTTATCTCGACCAAGGGGAGACTGCGTAGATAAGTCTGAGATGTAGGTTTGACGAGCTTTCGTACCTTGGAAGGCAAGCCGCCGATTAAGCTTGGGGTGGGACACGCTGAAAGAGGTGCCATGAAGCTTTTTGGGAGCAGGGCAACCGCTCGAGCATTTCAATTCTATATCTATAAAGCATCGTCTCTTTCTACTTCCCTCCAGATCTTAATATTCGCACAGGTATGTTCATGGAAGCCTGATAACGAGCGCCGTCATTTAGTGCCGTTTAATCCTGCCGGTACCAGTCGTACCTGGCATGCCCACTCTTTGGCGAGCTATAGCAGATGGACTTTGAGTAGTCGAAGAAGTCCATCAAGAATTCTAAGACGTGTTCTTATCTTTGTCGCTGGGGAGGTGGTGGTATTCATTTTCAACGTGATGGTCTCCACGAAATCTGGAATCACGCCCCGGGGCTTGGTTTGAATCAAAACGTTTTTCATAAATTGTGTTCTCCGCCGCCTCAATTAGTTTTCATTTTGAATTAACACTTCTAATGCCACAAAATCCCGCATTTCTAATTTCTTCACGATGTCACAATATCGTAGCAACGGTGATAAAAGGAGTCGAAACTGGGGAAGCGACACGAGAGAACGTCGAGGATAGAGAGAGACTATTTAGATGGCAACTAGATATCAGAAGCACAAAAGCTTGCATAAGACTGGCAAAACCGCAAAGGAAAGGCCTTGCGAATCTCGAGATAATCATACTGATGGCAAAAGAACCGATGATATAAGACGCAAGAACGACTTTGAGTAGTCGTATTCTAGAAGCCCCCCCCCCCCCCTGGAGGGACTCTTTCTCATTGTTGCACCCTTCGAAGATGCGGGAAAACAACGCAGCTCCCCTTTCACATGGCTGTCAGTCTCAACAACTTGGGCATACTATTGCAAGTTGACCTCATTTCAGTTAAGGAATCAAGAGGGGATCGTGGTCAGCCATCTGTCTGGTCTAACCTTTGGCGCTCAACGCTCTTCATGATTACATGGCACGGGGGCAAGGCAATGTCGTAGACGCCACCATGCTCAACGAGGCACTCAGATGGAACAGACGGCCAACCGGATCAAAACCTCGTCTTCAAATATAAGTGACGAGCCGCAGTGTAACCATTAAACCAATCACTCTTGCTGAAATCCATGCAAGTGCGCACCGGCTGTCCTGCAAGAGCGATGCGTCGTTCACTGCGATTTTAACTCCCCCCAAGAGCAGCACACCAAGCATCGCGATACGCACGTGACAGAGACATTATTGATATTTTCCTAGTAGCACAGTAAACCTCGAACCGGCGATTATATGTCATCCTGCGCCTAAGTATACAACATCTGAGTAGCTATCCCGTAACAAAAAGATGCAAAAAAAGGAGTCCTTGCTGGGTATTTTCCCCGATGCGAACCAAAAAAAAAACCCCCCGAACCACGCTATGCAGCCCAAAGACCACCATATCTCTTTCTCTCTCTCTCTTCTCCTTCTCGTTCTTGCCCAAGATTTAGTTGTTCCCTCACGAGCCCCTCGTAATATTCGGCCCCGTACCGATACCCGTCAGCGTCCGCACGAACCAGTGCGCCCAACTCTCCGTCTCAAGCGTCGCCTTCAACTCCTCGGCGCGCTTCTCCACGTCCTCGACTTGTCTCTCAAATAGCCTGACGCCATCCTCGACGTCGTCAACCTTGCTCACGAGCCCGTTGATTTCGTATTCGAGCCGTGCCACAAGTACCTCGACCTCCTTAATGGCCTCGGTGATGTGCGCGCGCTCTTCGGCGATGAGCTCCGTCGAGCTCTGCTTGACGCGGTGATAGGCCTCGCTGAGCTGGTAGTAGAGATTCTGCAAGTCCTCTTGCTCGCGGCCGTAGTGCTCATCCAAGGCGTCTACGGCCTTGACCTTAGATTCCACCCACGGGTTGACCTCACGCTTGATGGTGGCGATGGAATCGTACAAGCTTCGGGCGAACTCAGCCAGACTGGCCTGCTGCTGCAGCGCGTCGGCGGTAGAAAAGTGCTTGTCGTCATACAGTTCGGTGATTTCCTCCCATCTAAGAACCGCTTCTTCGGCATCTCCAAATGACAGTCGCCGGGGCCAGCGGGCTTCGTTCAAGGGATGCTTATACCTGAGTCTGGAGACAGCGACACTATGCCGCCGCTGGAGGAAGCTGACAGCCGTGTTGCCGTTTCGTTCTGCTTCAAAGGGGCCGTGGAGGTCGGCTTCATCAACCACAGACCCCGCTACCGATGTTTGTATCCGATCATGCTCGTCCTTGACCGGGTCATTAGGGGGTGTTGAGAACTTCTCCGGCTCGACATGTGTCGAGCCCGGGTCCGAAGACTCGCGCGTAGGTTTAGCAATCACGGGAACCATTTCAAGCTCCTGTGATGATTCCCTTAAGTCCTGGGCAGCTTCGGCCTCTTTCTTAAAGGCATTCATGTACTCCTCTGGCTTATTCTTCCATGTGAAGGCCCTACCAACCATGACCGGAGACGACAATGTTGCCGAAGACTGCGCCAAAGCCGAGATGCCGGGAGCGCTGTGGTAGCCATTTTCACCGAAATCGTCTCTACTAGGACGACTCGCGTGACCTCTCAGTCCAGTACCGACGACATCTTTGATGCGTCCAAGGCCAGACTTGGCATCGCTGACTCTGCCAGCAACCGATTTGAAGACTGTCTTTCTAAGCGCGTCTTTCTCTCCCGATCCTTCAACCACACTAACAGCTGAGGCAGGCGCTGGAGTTGAGTATACGCCAGGTGACTCTTCCTTTTGTCTCTGAAGTTCCTCTTCCAGCGGCAATGATTGCGTTCGCTTGCTAGATGGCGGTGCAACTTCATCCTTTCCAAAAAGCGGCTGCGCCACGTCTGTTGGTTTCTCCTGTAGTTCCGGTGCTGCTCTCCTGGGCTTCCCGTACCAGAGCCATTTCGCGCGCTCGCCGTACGCCAGGGCAATGAACTTGTCAATGTCTACCGTCTCGATGTCAGCTATGCCGGCCTTGTCTTTTCCGCCAACCATGCCAATTACGAGCTCGCCCCTCTTTCCGCCGATTTCGGCGACGGTGGACTTGACAGCCTTCTGCACACCCCAGCCTTCACCAGCAGCAGCTTTCGCTGTGACGGAATGAAGCTTGAGAATTGTCGGACGATCCAGTCGTCTCGTCCGCTCAAGTTTGTATGCCTTCTGGAAGTACCCAATGCCCCTTTTGGTGCTTTCGATATCAAAAACGTCCTTGGACACGGGCGCACCATAGTAGTGCAGTCGATTCCTGGCGCCCATAAGTAGTCCGAGCAGGGCTGCCGTTGTCGTCGGACCTAGGATACCGTCTGTAGGCTCAACATTGTAGCATTCTGCGCCAATCTCTGTCCACCAGTTTCCGATAGACTCTTCAGTTTTGTCGCAAAGCAGACCATCAATGTACTCCATATCCAGTTTCCCAAACATGAAGAGAGAGACTTGGCACAATTTGACAAGCTCCACCGCCGACTGGGTAAAGGGGACTTTCTCGCTTGTCCTGTACAGCTGGTAGAATTTGGCCTGAGTTGCAGGTGTGGGGTCTGAAAGATTCATGCCAGATCGCCCAGAGCATCCCAGTCGCTTGAGGTTCTCGTTGACGATGAAGGCTTGACGATGGGTGCGAATATCACCCTCGGGTACGGGTATGACTGTCAGAGCTGAGGGGAAGCTGCTGAGGTTCGTGACCATCACGTCGCCCAACGGCGTTTCCTTCGGCCGCGCATGGTACTGGTGGATGGCCTTGAAGTAGAATCGTAGGCGGTCGGACCAGATGCTCTCGTCCGCAGGGACGGCCAGCACCCCAACAACGACCTGGTGCTTCGGGTCTCCCGTGTACGTGACGATGACCAGCGTTGGCGATTTGCGTGAACATGCCCATTGTTCGACCAAGTATAGCTCGTATCCCTGCAAAATTCCTCGTCGCTCGAGGACCGTGACCGCTGGATCGCTCTCAAGGTATCTTTTGCGTGAAGAGACGATTAGCATGGATGACTCGTCACGGAGCCGGGACAGTAGAGCTCACCTAAAGGCTACAGGATCGGCAAATACCCATTTCCTCTTCGTGGTCGGTAAAGGAGAGGGTGTCGCAGGTTCGGTAGAGGCCTCCTTTCGCGCCTCAAGCGGTAAGGGCGTGCCCAGGGGAGAAGGACCATTGGCGCCTCGCTGAGAAGCGACTCTCGCCAGAGTCAGTTCCTCCTCGCGATGCATTCGCGGGTCGTTGACGGGGAAGGGAAAGCGGAATGACATCTCCATTTGCAGGAGTGCGGCGGTGAAACTCGGTGCATCGACGACACTTTTGGAGGCGCCTGCGACTATCTCCAAGACGAAGAAGTCATAGTCGTCGCAATCGCTCGCCTAAAGGGGGGTTTCTGCGCAATCAAAGAAATGTCCAGCAAGTGCTCTGTATGTGACTGGAGGGGCGCGTCTTCGTCGGGTCGCTTCGTTCGTGCTTCGAATGTTCTGCCGCTTCGATCGTTTAGGTTGTGTCTTTCTTTCTGTTCGGAGGGCTGGTCGGCATGTGACGCAATGTCCTACCGTCGCTGTCGTGGCTTGCGTTGGTTGATTGGGCCGGGAGCTGTACGACCAGTACTGAAAGAAGGGTAGCACGAAATCGAGCGGTACTGCGGTAGACGCTAACATTCCCCGTCTCCACGTCTGTAATGACCCAGATCTGCCGAGCCACCGAGCTAACCTCCCCTGCCCCCCCATGCCTTCAGGCCTCCCCTCGCTAAACCATCGCTCAAATTCCC